CCACCGTCTTGCGAAGGTGTCTAGATTGCCGAGCCGGCCCCACGCCGCTCTCGGGCATGACCTTTATAGGATGAAGTCGAGCTTGCGATCGACGCAGCGCTGTGGCACGGGCCTACATAGCGGTTGATTTATGTCTCGCTGCTGACGTTGTGCAGGCACCGAAGCCAACCCTTCTCAAACGAGACGGCATGTCGTGGCTTGGAAGTTGACCAGAGAAACTACCCGGATTGGCTGAAGCCTATGATATCGGACTTAACGGAGAATGATGACGAGAAGTTCCGAGTTCGATGCAATGCAATTGAACACCGTCGCCTCCCTTGAGACCTGAGCGGTTTCTTCGCTGCTGAGGTTGATCTGTAGTATCTCAATACTGAAGACACGACACTGATGATCGGACCTGATGGCCGGTATGGAATCGGAGAAACGTATTCTACACTATGCGAGGTTGCTGGATGGTCTTGTGTTTGTCGTCCACTGTCTCTCTTTTCCACACTCGACAAAATGACGCGAGACACCACACGTTTCGGGTTTTCGTTACGACAGCCGTTGTGATTTCGACGGTTAGGGGAGGTTTTCGGTATCACTCCTGCCTCAGGTGAGCTCTATCGTCAGGTGCTAGATTTGATGCCTCCAAGTCTCTCAAGTTCTCTTCCGTCCTGAGGCTTTTGCGCGCGCTGAGGTTTTACGTCCTGTTCTTTTTCCCATCAGCGAACACTTCGTAACCGCTTCTTCAACCCTTGTTAGCGGCTACCCCGTGCAGTCGGATCGGGTTGATCCAGAAAAACATGGCCTCCCTGCCAGCCGGAAGAGGCCGAGCCGGGGGAGACGCTCTTGCAACGCAGTCCTTGTGTTTCTTTGGCCTTTTATGGACCGGTGGCGTTGGCGCTTCTTTTTCTCTTGGTTGCTATTTGACAAAATGCGAGGTTGGCGTCTTTTTTGGCAGGGGAGCCTGAAAATCGCCCGGGGTCTTGGGCGAACAAAAACGGACGTGCGCCGACCGCCTGGTGTTCTTCCAGCCGGCCTCCTGGTCAAAGGTGCGGAGGCAGCGCTGCCGTTGGGCCCGAAGTATTTCCGGCGGCCATTTCTGTGGGACCGTCATGGCCCGGGGATGAAGTCTTGGAAGGAAAGGAAACAAAGCAGTATCCGTTCCCTCCATCATCACATTCCAACTTATTATTCCACCACTGCGGCCCGGGATTCTGGGACCCGAATTTTTAACCTTAAACGTGCCAGCCGGAAAGTCAACCAAAGGGGCCTGATCTCCGTGTTTTGCACAAGCGGTTGCAGCCAGCCGAGCAGGCTCACTGGGACCCAATCGGCCGGAGCTGCCGTTCAAATGTTCTTCTTCCGGCGTTCTAGAACGAAACGCAACGGACAAACGACGAAAAGGTGACAGAAAACCCATGGTGGGTGGCAATTAGAAGAAAACTCGGCCCGTAACTACCTACCTATCCACACGAGGTAATGGGTTATATAATTAACGCGTCGGGAATCAAAAGCTCTTTGACGAGCGTTATGTACGTTATCTTGAAACACCCTTACCCACCACACGTGTACTTCGCAGCGGTGGACGATTCCAGAAAACAAAAACCGGTGGTTGACTTCTCTGTGTGTTCCCGGCCTCCACAAGTGGTGTACAGTACATGCTGTGCTGATATCGTCTTCTTATCGCATGCTCCCTGGAGCTGGACGACACCTGTCGCGATAACTGAACGGTATCAGATACTGCTCTGATTGGCGTCCAGGGTCGCTCATACATGCTGTGCACTGCACTACATAGTACATTGCTAACGAGGCTAAGTGACGAAACGGTAGGAAAGCGGTGGATGAGTGTGTACACTAACTACCAGACTGCCAAACTCGTCCGCTGTTGACCCGGAACGCAATTCAACTCGAATCATCGAGATTCTTGTTTTTCGGTACGCTTGATCCATAAACAACAGATAATGTAAACACGACTCTACCATCCAATCCGGTGTACTATTAGTAGCTATGTGGTGATTCTCGCTGCTGCTCACTCCAGCAGCATATGTGGTATGTACATACTCTGTACATAGTAAGTGCACCGCTGGCGCGAGCTAGCGTTTGGGTTTGGGGTTCACTCCATGAGTCGTGCTGCAGGGGTATCATTGTCCACAAGCACCGCCAAAATGTGCAAACCTGGAAGTGTGGAGAGAGCGGATCAGACCCCTACAAGCATTTTCCATGACCCGGGCCTCTGTCCACCAAACAAGAGACCAGGCCATGTGGAGCGAGCATTTCCGTCAGCCGAGAGGATGAGCACCAATTCGGCCGACGGCGGTTTTGAAGGACAGCGGCCAGGCCGTGGCCAGGACGACAGGACACCGAAGGGAAAACTTAGAGATGAGCCCGGTTCACCCAGCCGTATTAACTAAAACAGTGGATGATGTGGATATGGAAGAATAACTCGAGGACTAGAAATGCCCCGGGGATGCTGGAGTTGACTCCGAGGCGGTGTCGAACAAGTCTCACCTCCACTTTGCGCCAGTGACGCAAAGCCGAACACGGCTTGTTAAACAACGTTGTCATGCCCTACTCAGGGCGTCTCCACGGGGCGTTGTCGGTGGTCTAGGGAAAATGTGCATATGTACGTACCTGGGACCTACACATCTACGGCAAGCAAAAGAGTACATTAAAAGGAATATAAAAAGTAACACAGGAAAGTGGTTCACGGCCGGTGAGATGGGTGACTGTTGAGAGAAATGCGACAAGGACCTATTTGTTTTCGTGACAGCAAAAAACGGGTCCTGCATCGCACTGCATCACGCTGCAGCTTCTCTCCGGCCAGCCACGCGAAAGGACGGCTCCTTGTACGAATAATAGTGAGAAGTTAACACCACGAGCACCACCTCTGTTTGCCACAGAGAAAAGCGCAGCGGAGCACCGAATTCCATTGCAACCCAAGTGGCCTGTAGCAGCCCATGGCGGACAAGATGTTCGCCCCTTCGCACGCTCCACAAATTCTTCTCTTCCTTCTAGAAGCCAACTCCTGGCGGCACTGACGAGTGCGCCCCACTCCCGGCGCAGCTGCTCCCATGATTTTCATTTCCTCCACCCGATGATGGCTCACTGCCAGGGCACACAGGGGTACCGGGGTTAGGTGTCCATGGTGCCACAGGGATGGCCGAGCACCCCAAGAAATGCTCCACTTCTGCTGGTGCTGCGTGCACACTCCCAGTCCCTCCAACAACCTGAACTTTGGCACCCAGCTTCGTCAAGCTCATCAGTCTGCCAAGGTGGCATGACAGGCCGGATCGGCCATCCCACTGACTCTCGTTCGGCGGGCTCCGTTTTCCCTTTGCCCATTGGAGTCACTCCCACTTACACAGCTATGTTGTCAGCGAAGCCGTGCTCTTATGCAAATCGTGAACCATCAATGGAATACAAACCCAGCAAGGTTTTTCGTTATCTGCCGTCGAGCGACCTAGGAGGCGAGTTATCGGGGACCGCCGGTTCTTGGGTAGTCCGACAAAATTTCACAAAGACTGGAGTGCTGGAGCCGGGCAGACGCAGGAGATAGAGCTCCCGGGTGGGACCGTCTCTAAACAATCGGCGGATGAAAACGTCAGGAGCAGAGGTCCCCAACGTTAGCTACGGGAATGAACCCATCCCGTCGTCCAGAGGGGAACCGTGCCAGACGTGCCGTTTTCTTTGCTCCTGGGGCCTCTCCACCAAGCCCGCTAGCGCCCCTCGTCCTTGCCTGTTGGGTAATTGCCCGCGCGAGAAGAACCTGACCTCCCCGGCGCTGCCCCACAACCCTGCAAGTTGCCGTCCCCTGCCCCTCTCCTCTCTCTTCCCACCCCCCCCCAGAGATGCTGGATGTTCTTCTGCGAATCTTCTAAAAGACAAGGCTGCTGCATGCCACGCTTGGTCGGGTTTCCCTTTTGATCTCCCTCCACCAAAACTACACCCAAAAACCACACCCAACGAACGAATGATCCCGAAACGTCCAACTTTCCGGCCCTTTTTCATATCGCCTTACGATTTCTTCTTCCGAGCGATTTTAGATCGAAGCCGGTTTTTCCAACGGACCAATTTTTTAGAAATCACGACTTCTTTTTGCCATCTCGAGCGTCATCTGAGTGGATCCACTGTCCGGAGTAACTGCTTTCGTTCTCTTTGACGTCTTTGAAGGACCGCACCCGGCGGTCTATCTTCTCCGGCAAAGCCCGTTCTCACACGACTCGTGCTGCCCAAAGGTCTTGATCGTGCCCTCCACGGATTGCTTTGTCCGGGAAAATAAAGGCACAAACGACTCGCCATCGACATCGTCCAGACCCTTTCGACCCTCCTGTCCGAACCCAGCCTACATATCTGCAGGCCCTCCGCGCGCTTCTCTCCGTTGAATTCGGTATTGGACCACGCACGAGCTTAGTTTTGTGCTGTCATCCCCTTACGTCGCTGCTGTACATCCGTTGGTTGTTTCAGGGTGGCGTACTACAGGCAGCTCTTCTGGGCTTCTAGATCTTCTCTGCTGCGTTTCCCCTCGCGCTTCGCCAAGTTCCACCACCGGCCACCGGCAGAATCCGTTGCACGGCCGGCGTACACATACACGACGCAATCCAGCACACATCGAAATCCGACTTCGCGGCAACTTATTCCTAGCTGGACAAACTACTGGCTCCCTCCGCATGTGCTGCACTCGCCCGGCTCCCAACTGAGTTCATTGGCTAGCCCGTGACCGGTACACGCTTCTCGCCGGGAAACGTGAGGTTGCTTGCATTGTGTGGAGTGAGCAGCAGCACACTTCCACGCAACCAGCCCTGCGAGTCCCTGCGGCTCAAGGCAAACGACAAATTGGCGGCAACCCCGCCATCATGCTGCATCGGGAGGAATGAAGAGAAGGAAGCACCCGTCTTCTTCGTCCACCACACTCGCCTTCGCTCGTCAATTCGGCGGCTTGGCCCCATTGGCTCTCAGTTTTACCGAAGCATAACACCACCGCTACCCTTACCACAATATCCTCACCCGCGGGCAGGATGCCCAAACCACAGCGTCGCGGGCACTCACCACACCGGGTCCCTTCGAGGCCGATCTCGAGGGAGTCATCTGTAGTGCAGCCGTCGTCCGTCTTGGACGACTGCGACTGCGATTCCAATATGTCGACATCACGACCCCCCAGCCTGGCTTTGATGCCACCATCCTCGGCATGCTCAAATTCGGCCTCGCCTCCACCATTACGAGACATCCTCACCAACGCTGCAGCACCACCTTACACGCTGAGCGCCTTCACAGCTTTCTTGTCTCAAAACCATTGCATGGAAACCCTGGAGTTTACCATGGATGCGGATCGCTACACGACCGTGTACTTCAACTGCGCCAGGGAACAGGCCCTCGGATTTGAAAACGGCATCGAGCACGTCGCCTCCCTTTGGCAAAAGATCATCAGTGCCTACATCGTCCCCTACGGCCACCGAGAGGTCAACCTCCCGGCACACGTTCGAGATCGGCTTCTCTCGCTCCCTAACACGCCCATCCCGCCCCACCCGTCAGAGCTAGATGAGGCAGTGAGGATTGTGTACGAGCTCATGAACGACTCAGTGCTAGGGCCTTTCCTTGCATCCGTTGCGGTCCACCATGAATGGGCTGAGGAGAACCCCGAAGACCCCAGACATGTGCGGACACGGCTTCGCATTCCCAGGGAATTCTCCCAATCCTCCGACGATTCTGGCCGATCGCCGAGGGTTGGCTTCCTCCCGATGCTCAACATGGCATGGACCAGCGAACCTAAAAGCTCGGCGTCGTCGTCTAACGAGTCCGCCGACCGTGGTCTCACGGACGGCAGTGCGAACACACCTTCACCAGGTGCGAACGAGCCGATGACACCGCCCACAACACCACCGGTTTCGGACTGGGAATTCAACACGTCGCCCGGCGGTCTTGTGAAGTCCCCCAACGGCCACAGCAGTAGCTGGAAGAAGATGAGCGCTAAGCTGGGTTTTGGTCGGATGAATCGCAGTAAACGGGGCCACAGCTCGAGTGCTACTTCTGTCCCTGTCGAGGTCGAGGCCACGATGCGCGATGTCGACCACGCCCGAAGGAAAACCAACCCCTTATAGGAATTACAGGTCGTGCCGATCCCTGATGACGACGTTACCATTCCCTCCGGATGTGCCCCGTCGGTGAAGCCCCGCACCGTCACCGATGAAGCACAGTCTGAGAAACCGTCGCCCCGTACCTCGGGCGACTGGGAGGAACCACACCCAGGGCAGCGCTACTCGATCGCCACCAAGGGGACCGAGCGCCCAAGTGTCAGTGTCAACACTCATGGTAACGGAGTCGTCAAGGTCGGCATGGCCGCAAAAGCCTATTCGCCATATTACGCCCGTGCGTGGTCATCGTCATCATCATCCGCGCCCACCGCTGCCCGGCGGTTCGCGCCGGTACGCCTGCGCAATTCCTCGCATCGCCCGAGCAAGCTTCCGCACAACAGCTCGAAGACGCCCACCTACACGACGAACACAGACTGTAGTACTCCGACTAACACCAGCCCGACCCTTTCGGTCCCACGGCCGAATCATGCGCCTACTCCCAGCCCGCTCTGCGGATGCCCTCTCTACCTAAACAGAATCGCCTCGTCCAGCCCCAAGCCACCCTCCCCCGCTACCACCGTGGCGGAGACACCTTCTTCTCCATCTTCCTCTTCAGCAGCCACCGACGACCGCATGTCTCTGACCGACTTTTCCGGTTTTCTCCGGCCAGCGCTGACCACCACCACGACTGCAACCACGACGTCCAGCGTAGACACCGGTTCGTGTATGTCGGTCGATGTCATGGAGAAGCCTGCCGTCTGCCCTGCGACAGCTGACGACCTGATGGCGGATCCGGATCCGTATGGCTGGGAAGCGGAGCTAGAGAAGCGTGTCACCCCACCTACCTGTGAACCGGGCGGCGTTGGTTTGGGACTCGGCTTGGGTTGTCCAGGAGCAGTGGAAAGCGAGCCCGACTACAACCCTGTGCTGCAGTACCGGCGGGCGGGCGGGCAGAAGAAGACGTTGCTACAGCGGGTATTGAGTTTTGGTGGACCTGGGACTGCGAACCATGGTTATGGTCGGGAGTGATGCGAATGCCACATCCTCTTCCCTCTACACTTCCCCGGCTCTCTTCTCCCCGCCTCGTGCGCCCTACTTTTATTTTTTCACTTGTTTTTTTTTTTCCTTTTTTCTGGTGTTGTTTATGGTTTGGTCGGGTGTGATGTGGTGGAAATACCCTGTCGTATTGTCTGTGACTAAATCGGGCTCTCTGGCTTAACATCGTTTTGGTCGGCTGTTTATGGGGTTCGGGGCTGGTCGGCAGCTGGATGGGGGAGGAATGGGGTTCTTAGACTTGGGTCATGGGTGGTCTAGAGCTCGCGGCTCGCCTTTTTTTTGTTGTCATTTTTTCCGACTTGGCCACCCTCTTCTCTCCTTGTTAGTTTTACTATGGATGATGACATGGGGGAGTTTGGCTTTTTTTTTTCCCTTTTATCTACGACGTGGCATGGCGAAGCATGAGAACGGCGGGGCAGGCATTGGGCAAAGAATCGGTTGGCGGTGTAATGTGTTGTTTTATGTTGTCGTTTCCATCATGTTCTTTTGTCAGTGTGGTACGAGTCGAGGTGTACATACAAGTTTTGGGCGGGTGGGTGAAAAACTTAGAGATGGGCAAATGCATGGGCACAAAGCATACGAGGCACGCAAGAAGCAATGGAAGCATGGCAATCAAAGCACAGCAGGGCGTTCCGGGCGGGCTCAAGAGAGGGGCAATAGCAGGGTGGCCAAGGCTGGGAGGGTGGTTTGACATGCATTGCACATATTTTGCATATATATACACATACAAATACATGCAGTCCTGCATCTCAATGGTCTGAATGAGCCTTCGTTGTTGACTGTTCTGATTCTTCTCTTGTGATACATCATTCACTTATGCCTGGTTAGAATTGTGACGCTGTTGCTGTTTGTCTAGGGAGTAGTAGTGTGAGGGTTGAGGTGCAAGGAGAGCCTTCTTTCCCCAAGTCAACTCCACCAAATGGGTGGAGTACGACAAAATTAAGTTTTGGCAGACCTCATGACCTAAAGCTTTTTTTTTCTTGTTTTGTTTCAAAATCTCCTTTAGAGTGGGCCGTTGCCAAACGACCGACTAACTTTTGGGATTTGTACGAACTGAGTTCGCCGTAGCCCACATAGCTAATACTATGTATACCTATAGTAATCGTTATTTTCCCACTCGTGCTCGATGTGTCCCCTTATCGGATACCTGGACTTCCGGCCATGTTCGACAACATCCTTCAGTGGGTACCCATGCTTCAGAATATGGCATTTTTGTATTCAAGGGGTGAAGTCATTGAAAACCGGGAAGGGCCGTGTTTCAAAAAGGGTCGACAAACTTCCCAACCGCGTGGATGAACGGCCCCACTAAAAAGAACCGGGACAGTCTTACAGTTGGAATTCCATCCCTTCTAACATCAGACGTCTCCCGATCCCCAGGCCTACTCCACTCCTCCCGAGGATCGGGAAATCGAGAGGCATCTGAACCTCAACACACCAGAAAAGCAGACGGCAAACAACCAACAACCCTGGTGAATAGGATCGTTTACCCTTGTGTATCTGTTCCCACATCGTCATCGTCCTTGTCTTCTTGCCTTCCTCCCTTCCTCGGAGCCTTGCCTCTTGCTTGCTCCAGTTCGTCCGGATCGATCATGCCCGGGTTCGTGGGTGCTTATGTTCGTTCTCATGGAGGGAGGGTGTTTGCATCGCCCCACCTTGTTCCTGCTTTCTCCCTTTCTCTTCGCGGTGTGACCTGGGAGTGCCCGGCTGGGTTTGTAAGGGTTAAACCTGTTGGATATACCCATGGATTCCATGGGCTCTGAGGGCTTCTGTGGATAAGGGGGTGTCTCTAAGGAGGTGAAGAGACAGGGAATGGCGGTTCGCCTTATCTCAATGTCCTCGAGGAAACGGTGGACTTGTTATAGGGTATGCTGGGAAACGGAGGAGTGCGTATTTCAGTGTATGAATCGGGATACCCTGAGATCTTGAGTAAGATAGTGTAGTAAGGATCACCTGCATTCTGCTCAGGCTAACATCGTAAACATCATCAACGCCACCTACCTGACTTGCTCCTTATCGTAATGTGCCTCCCAAGTTAGTGTAGACCTATCCAGTCACAGGCCACTATCTTCTGGATTTCTCTGAAAACTCACACAGAAGTTCTTGGCCACCACCTCCTCCGCCTTCTACTCTCTGGGGATTTTGCCCCCAGCTTTTTGAACAACAATCTAGATCTCCTGCTTCAGAGTTAATCTCGATCGGTACTACCAACCCTAAACTAGCATTATAGCCACTAGAGATAGAAAGGGGGGGTGGCGGACACCTGTGTGGCATTATTGGTGGTCATGTTGTTATGCCGATACCAATTCCTTGCCTATCTCTCGTCTGTTCTTGAATTCCCCTCCCTAGCTCGCCTCCCTCTATCTTCTCAAAGCGACGGGCCCATGGGAGGTTATGTCCCGGAGAAGTGGCGTATTGTGGACGTGGAACTTTCGTCCGTCGGGTCAACTCATCCGTCAGGGGTGCTTATCTCGGGCCTGGGGTGATGGAAGGTCAGGGGGTCTAGATGATGAGTGACGTGATTTTTCAAGGTTGACAATGCCTTCAAAATCGAGAGTCGGGTCCATGACCACATACCAAGCTATCTCGTACTAGATTTGACGGTATTGCTGACTCGCTGGGAAAGGGGCCGATGAAAAGGGCAGTGAGGGTGCAGGCAAGGCGGCACCTGTACCAAGCAACGGACTCCGAGATCTCGGTAACGATGGGAAGTTTCAAGAAGATTTGCCAAGTTTCATGGCGGATCAATAATTGAATTAGTCGTCGGGCGGTTGTGCAACATGATGATGTGATGGACGAGTGGTGTAGTGAAATACGTGATGCTAGCCCGGTTGGGCAGATAACGACGGTAAATCTCGACTGAGGTGAGTAGGGACACAATCATGATGGGCGTATTCTCGCCTATTATCCTCTGATTGGGCTTTGTTAAGAACGCTCATCAACTTGACTCGGCCAAGCTCAGTTGAGTAGTTATCACCCGTCATCACTTCCCACAAGTCGTGTTGGGACGAGCAAAAATGCTGCGACCCAACCATCGTCGATCATTCCATGGAACCAGCGACAAGGAGAAGAAAAGTTGTAGCACCCGAGAGGCAGAACGTCTGATGTTCAAAATACCCAAAGGTGAAAAAAGAATACCTCGCCCTTATTCTATACCCATTAACGAATACCGCCAATAGCTAAAGTTGGTACATGATACAAACCATAAACCCCTGGAAAGGTTCAGATGATGTACACACGCAATGCAAAAATGCGTGTAGTGCTGAACGGAGCAGAATACACTCTGGACAAAAACGAAAAGAGGCACACCCAGCAAGCCAGGAAACGCTTTTTGCCCTTTCCACCCTCGTATTGTTCCCTTCTTCCGTCTAGAGACCAGCAGACCACCGCACCTGCGCAGAGAGAAGAGGCGAACGAGACAGATGGGGTAAGGAACGCCACAGCCCATGTCTACCCAACCAACCCTTTTCTTCCTTTGTTATGATCTTTTATCCATTTATTCTTTCTGGAAAATAGGATCGAATTCAATTACGCCTTGTCATCCACTGGCTTATCGTGACGCGAGTACATGCGGTACTCGAGCGACGATTTGAAGTCGATTTTACCCTGCTCAATTTGCTTGCGAGTGACGGATAGCATGGGTTGGGGGAGACCCATGGACTCGAGGAAAGAGACGGCTAAATGGTGTTGTGCGATTAGTCAAGTGCTCTTTTGTTTGTGAAAGGCAAAGCGAAGAACAGAATTGCGAGGGCTACTTACTCTCCTTCCACTCCACATCCTGCCTCTTTCGATCCCACCCAAGTTCCTGCGACATGATATCAATCACCTTCGGTAGCGCCTCTAACGCGGCCTGCGCATTCAAGAATGCTAGCCTGGTCCGGCGCGCCAGCACGTCGACCGCGGTCTGGGCATACTCATGGCGCACGGCATATCGCACTTCGCCGTCGACGAACGGATACAGCTGTGAGATGCGCTCGCCGCGGGCGGGAAAGCGTTTCTCGGTGGCGCGGCACAGCGCAGCGACGGTCCAGGCGCGGTCCCCGTAACTCTCGGTCAGGTGCTTAGCGACCTCGGTCTCGACGCCGAAATGTTGGATAATGTGAATGAAGAGGGTGCGGCTGAAGCCGTGGGCGCCGATGAGACGGACCTGATGTGTCTGGCACGAGCCGTCGAGATCAGCGCCGTCGTCGACGTTCTCGGTGCCGCTAACGCGCGGGGCGTTCAGAACAGGTCGGACTGGAAGCTTGAAGGTCTTGACAGCCGCATCAACGCATTCTTCGGCCATCTGGCGGTAGGTCGTCCACTTGCCGCCCGCGCAAGTGATCAGGCCTGACTCGGAGATGTCGACCAGATGGCTGCGCACGAGGGACTCGGTGTTCTTGGCCTTGGGATCCTTGACGAGCGGGCGCAGCCCCGACCAGGCGGCTAGCACGTCGCCACGGCGCACGTTGATATCGGGGGATAAGTAGTGGCTGACCTCATTCAGGATCCACTGGATCGACTTCTCGTCCGGCAGCGGGTTTCTGGACACAACGGCCGGCTCGTCGGTGGTGCCGGCGATGGTGTTGCCCTGCCAAGGCAAAAAGAAGATGACACGTCCGTCCGAGGTAGCCGGGTCGATCAGACCCATCTTCCCGGGGCTATAGTAGCCAGGCAGGATGATGTGCACGCCCGACGCAGGGGCTACAATCTCCTTGCAGTCCTGGTCGTCCATCTTGCGGATGCCATCGGTAAATGGGCCAGTGCAGTTGACGACACACTTGGCGCGGATGTTGAAAGCCTCGGTCGGCTTGCCGTCTCGCTCCGCAATGTTGTCCTTGACCGTGGCCCCGCACAGTTTCCCCTGCGCATCCTTGACTAGGCCGGTGACCTCCATGTGGTTGACAACAGTGGCTCCATACAGGGCGGCTGTCATAGCGAGCGACACGTTCATGCGTGAGTCATTGTGCGCACCGTCATAGTACACTAAAGCGCCCACTAGATCGGTTTGCTTCAGCATGGGAAAGGCGTCAATAGCCTTACTCCTGGTGAGAAAATACGAGCTCTCTATGCCCTCGCTGCCAGCCAGAAAGTCGTAAAATTTGGTGCCGGCCCAGTAGTATGGGATCTTCCACCAGCGATCAAGTGGTAGCATGATGGGCAGCCAACTGCTCAGATGTGGCGCGGTCTGCAAAAAGTAGGTGCGTTCCTTGAGTGCTTCCTTCACGAGCTCGTACTGGGAATAGTCCAAGTTCCACACGGCCTTCTCAAGATACCGCACACCACCGTGGACGAGCTTGGTGCTTTTGCTGCTTGTACCGCAGCTGAAGTCACCGCGCTCGACCACGGCCACCTTGAGCCCGCGCGTAGCCGCATCGAGGGCAACGCCGGACCCCGTTGCGCCGGCCCCAATGACTAACATATCATATTCCCCCCCATCATCAGGCGCAATGTTCCCATTGAGGCTATCCGCGCTACTGCTCTTCTTGAGGTCGGCGATCTGCTCGAGGCGTGACTTGACGCGGGGGAAGCGGGGCAACTTGAAGGTGCCGTCGGCCCCGAAGATGGGGGGCGGGACCACCGGGCCCTCAAACCCGGGGATGTTTCGTGGACGGTATGTGTAGTAAAGAACACCACCCGCCGCGGTGGCGATGACCAACGGCGGTAGTAACCGCCTTGATCGTAGGAATCTCGACATCAGTAGCTGGGATGCGGTTCTAGGGAAAATCGGACAATTGCTGCGGTAACAACGGAGGTGACCAAGATGCGTGTTTATATGTCTGGGCGTGCGTCGGTTCTCTAAGTCTATAGGGAGGCCGGCTCGTAGATCGGGAAGGGTCTGGCCCGGCGTGAGGAGACTGAAGAGTGGATTGCGACCACTCCACCAATGACGCAACTATCAAGACGGGCTCGCGGCGGGACTGATTTCCGGCGCGAGCTAAACCTGAAACCCGATGTTAGCAAATTTGATTCATGAAGGCCCAGGGTGTACGGGGTTGCCAAAAGTCAGTATCAACGAGCTACAATCTCACCTAAATGTTTTGCCTCTCTCCTCACCTGTGGTGTTTCTTTTGTCACGGCTAATTCAAGCACAGCCCTGGCGGCCGTGTCGTTACCGTGTCGCTCGGCGAACGGGCGCGATGGGGCAAGCAATACGGCACGAGTCAAGACCTACGACTAGGGATCAACAGGCTCCGGTCCGATCGGAAATGGGCGAATGACACTGCCGCAGTTGGTTTCGAACAAAAAAGGAAGTAATAAAATAGGTGAGCTGCTCGGAAGGAGAGATTTGACTTGACTGGAATGGTGGAGAACTATGCCCTTTCCTACACTAGGGATAGAAGGGGGTTGAGAAAGAGAAGAGAATGCGGCCGTCGAGGCCATCATGGGAAAAGCATTTCTCCTCCGTCCAGGGCCCCTTCCCATCTTGCCCCGAAGTCCGAGGCCGGGGTTTGCGGCACTTCTATCACTCATGGCCCAAAAAACATGTGTAAATGACAAGCTCTCCACGGTCTTCCTTTAAGGCCGATTGATGCTGTGGTGAAAACTCGCTGGGGCTTGCGCCTGGAACGACCGCATTCTCCAATTCTCCACCCCCCGCAGCAGCCAATACCCCAGCAAAATTATCGCACGTTGCCCCGCCGTTTTGATGACCCTTCCCCCAAGACCTGCCCGTGACGCTAATGATTTTCCGCCAATGGTGAATGCACGAACAACCGGAGGGCAACACAGTGTTGTGACGACTTGCTGCAGAGCTTCACGACTCCTTATGTTCCCTCGGTCTTGTCGGGTCAATATCAGCCGGGACAACAGGACGTTTGAAAGCCGCACATCGGGCTTGGTCCCCTGTCTAGTCAGCCGTTGACAAGGTGTGGACTCGTGGTCAGGAGGCCAATGGATGATTGAGATACGGTTTCCTTTACATCCTCTGTGTTTGTTGGGGGAGCGGGCAGGGCGAGGGCCCGACGCGAGTGTGCTTCAAAAAACATCCCTTTTGCGCTCCAATTAGTTATGGGGAACAATTTTCGGCATGGGCAGGTCCTAGTATCCCACAATATCATAATACCCAATACATTATCAATATCTAGTCTAATAAGAGTCATTAATATCTGTTCGAAGAACCATTCCACACTTTACCATATTATCCCAGGGACAATCCCAGCTCGCCTTTTTCTGCCTTTCTTTGTGGCATGTGATGCTCCTTACAAGGTAATAAGCTCTAACCACCGAGTCGTGTCACTCGATTTGAAGTGGTATGGCAGTACACCTAGGACGGCTCATCTATCAATTTACATCGTTCGTTGAACGCATGCACTGTTCGTTGACGAACTAACGTGTGTGGCTCGGTTCTAAAGGAACGAACGGTTGGTAAACTTGAAATAAATGGGGGATTCTTACACTTCGTGCCCACATACTCTTGGGGTGGCGCGGGTTTGATATAAACTAACGTTTTCCATTTTGAGCCCGTAGAACACCTAAGTCAAGCACATGTCTCCTCGGAGTTGCCAAGTTGACGTTGGGTGTTGTTAAAGATTGTCGGCAATTATACACACGTCGAGAGCATCAAGAAAAAAAAGTCGCATTCATCGTGCAGTACAATATTTACACCATCCAATATCAGCCCCCCACCCCCCCTATGCTTCGTCAAACCTGCCGCCCGTCCATTCCTCCGCTCTCCGGCCCGCATCCCAAGAACCAACCTCCGGTTCCAGCGAGCTATCATATCTAACAACAAAGGAAAGTGACGAACGCATTTTATGCGTTGCTCGACGGGGACTGCACGTGGCCCTTGCCCGAGTAGCCTTCTGAGGAGAGACCCGTCAACGGGTCCGAGTTTTGGCTCTGTAGACGAGAAGAGATCCGAGTCAGTAGTGGTCAACGACGGCGCTGGGAACAGCAATGGCGGGTAGCTCGGAGTAGGGGAGCGCCCATTACCCACCTTGAGGTACTCGTTTGTCGCCTCCTGCCACTCCTTGGTCATGGTGCTGGGTGGCGGGCCGGCGAAGAAACGCATGATACCGAAGACGAGAACACTAAAACCAACACCGACTAAGGTGTAGAGAGCAACCTTCTTGCCCTCGCCGGGAGGGTCCAGGGCACGGGGGCCGTGGGGACCGAAAGCAATCCAGTAGGCTGCATAGTAACGTGCCGAATTAGTACTTTGATACCTATGTTGTTGTTGTTGTCGCGATGCTGGGAAATGGACGAGGGGAAGATGTATCAAGAATGCGGGGGTGGTATGCGGGAAGGTGACATTGGGCGTTTGGACAGCTCAAGAAGCTCCCGTTTACCCATTGACAACCGCCAAACTGGAGCGAGCCCTTCACGTATGGTGTTTGGAGCTTCTCCCGAGCTTGCTACAACACTCTTGCGGGATTGGTCGCTTTGCATCGACGGAGATCTGGAGATAGGCGGAGGACGAAAAAGAGGAGGAGAGTCTTGGCATCGCCCACTTACCAGCCTTTTTCTCCTGGACGGTCAGTTCAGCCCAGCTCTCCTTCATGCGGTCGCGCAGGGCCATCCAGAGGTCGGCCTGCTCCTGCGACGGCATGCCCTCCCATCGCTTCTCAATGTTGGCCAAAGTGGGCTTCGAGATGGCGTGCGTCGAGGCCGCGCGGTAGCCGAGGGCCGTCGTGGCCGATTGCCGGGAGGCGCGCACCAGGGCGTTGCGGGCAAACGACATGGTGAGCAGCGATTGATTTGATTCGGAACCTCGTCGGTCGGTCGGCGCCGCGTAGTCACGCGACGTGAATGTTGTGGTGAGGGGAGATGTTTTTAATTGGGTATTTCGGCACGGCGGCCTGGCTGAGCTCGTTCGTCGGCGCTGTTTTGTGGGAGGTTGTGAAGCAATGCACGGACGAGCTTTTTTTCGTGCAGATGGCCTCAGTTCGGAATTCGAGGTGGCCTGATTGGGGGACCCGAGTCACACCCCAGCACTTGCTCGGCTTGTTCGCCCGCTTAATTACAAGTTTACCGGACCCCGCACTACCTGTGTAGGCGGACTGTTTACAATCCATGATGTAACGATTTGTGAAACCCTGCTAGCACCGTTGTTTCTTTGTGACGTTAATAAGAGTACAGAACACAAAGGAGACAGGGTCACACTGTCAAATTTGAGAGATCTTGAAAAGCATATCAAATGGGGGCTGGGGATGAGGACGGTCAGGAAAGCCAGATATGTATATGCAATTAACCACCATTGCCACAATCGCAGAATCCTCCGACGTCACTTTCCCAGCTGGACGACAAAGAGATTGTATGTAAAGCTTATTCCTCAAAACTAGCGGTTCGTGTTGACAATAACAACCGTAGTGGACTATTCTCTGTACTATTCTTTATCCTTATTCGGTTGCCGTTCCTGTTGTGATGAGACGGGTGGTTGTGATGCTGTAGGCCGTGTCTGGGGCTCTAATGTTTTACTGCTCTCTTGTGAGCCTCAAATGGACGCTCGGGAGCAGGTATATGCAAACCAACCTTATATATGTGCCTTCTCTTCGGTCCCTTAGTTCTCGGAAACTTGGGTCAAAAGTGTAGTAAGCTGCACCAAGTTAACGCCCGAGCCAAAGTCTACCTAAGTTTGGCAAGGTGTTATAATGACGATGCTTTCTTACCATTGGCGATGCCGAGTGTGATGACCAGGCCAAGTGTGATGAACCTTGCTTGATTGCTCATAATGAAAATAGGGAGGGTTTGGGAGTGTGGGGGAGATAAAGTTTCGGTGTCTTCCTCGCAGGTACCTTGGGTCGGAAGTAAGTAAGCTCGTCAATAACCAAAGGTTGCCCAGTGGAGGTGATGGTGTTGCCGATTGACCCATTTCTGTGGGTACGAAAACCCAGCGTATTTTGTATTTTATGTTTTCTTTAACCGAAAATGGGCAAGAAAGGCCTCTATGTTGAAGAAAAGTAATGAATATTTGAAAGATGTAAAGAAATTGAGTGTAAACTCAAGATTTTGTCTGGTCGGCACACAGCTCAATATTCATTTTGTTCATTATCTCCTACAGGTGAGTTTCTTGCCCCTTGCACGGTTGTAACATTACTGTCTTACGGTATGTGCCGATTTTGCTTCCTGGCAAATGTCCCTGGGTTTCGCATCTTTGAACGAAGGCCGCCAAATATCTCCCTTATTTGCGGGAGGTGGTTTTATTGAAACCGGAACTGGTACCTAGAATTACTTGACTTCTGATAACTTGGGGATCTTGGTGCTGAGTTTCGGTGACTTGTCCAAGTCACGTGACTATGCGTCTCACAAGCCGCCCCACCTCACCGAGCTGCTCGAGCAGTCGCGTCCCGCACCCCCAATTTACGCGTTCTCGTGGTGTGGCCCCGGAACAAGCCGAAAGCCACGCGTTCCCAACGCAACTCCAATCCACCGGACAGTCACGCCACTAGGACGGTTCCATGACTTGATGCATCCACGATATGATAATCATACCACACCATGAAGAACTGGAGGGAATTGGGGGAGGTGCCGGACTCGGACGACGAGAGCTTCGATGATGCGGATTTCTTCGACAATGAAAACGACAACGATGGAGCCCAATTCAACCAGATGCCCACGGAAGGCCCCGAAAACATTAGAGGGGAAGAAGAACAGGTTTCCTTGGTTGGCAATGGCGACATCTGGAGCGTCCCAAGCTCGGCACTGGAACAGGATACGCTGCCTTTACCTCGCCCAGCCAATCTTGGACAGGCTTCTCAAATATTAAGCCAGGCGCCTCGGGCCTTAAACCCGTCTCCAGGGAAAGACTCACATACAACACCTTCTACACCCACTGAGAAGACTCTCGATAGAGCTGTGTCTGCATCTGGTACCAACGCCGTTACCATCTCGATGGACGATGAGATATCGACTAACTATGTCCGAGACGCGTCTCCCAAATCACCCCTGTCGTCCGCTGCCAGCTTTCTTTCGAGAACTCCTTCTCCGCCGGTGTCACCTTCGCCTGCGTATTCACACCCTAATCCTGCCAGTGTCTTGGCCCAAGAGCCATCACTTGGTGCCGTTGAGGAATCAAGACGCGCCGTTGTTGCATTGGAACGGTCACTGCGGCCCCGTAAGCCCATTCAGCAACATCCATACATTCTCGAGAATGCGCAGTACGCAACGTTTATGAAATCCCACGGCGTGCGGCCGATTCGGGTCACGGTGGAGTCTAGGCCTGCACAAGACGGCGCTGGGCAGGAGGATTCCCAAGACCAAGATTTTCAGGCCGAGGAAAGTCAGGAGACTAGCGTGCGCGGACATCATGGGTTGGAAGACTCTGGCTCAATCTTGTTTGGTGATGACGAAGATGAGCTTTCGCTCACTCCTTCCCTTCCCAAGACATCGCCTCACGGCCCGCCGCTGCGGACCAGTAGTCAAAGGAGTACCACCGACCAGACAGACGCTACGAGCGTATCAGATGAAGAGTTTCCACCCCTCGAAAGGCTGAAACCGCTTTCGGAAAGGAAAAAGCTGCGAATTCTGAAGCGACAACGGTCTCAGCCACCGCCTTCAATCAAGCAGAAGAGGGCCAGATTCGTCTTGGATTCATCATCTCAAGCATCCCCTCAACGGCCTGCCTTCATATCGCCCCCTTCACCGAAAATCTGGGACCTGCTGTCCTCATCACCCGCGCCGCAACCACAGGAAGAGTTGCCACAGTTACGCAGAGTCACGCCCCAATCGCCAGTGCAAAAAACCTCACATATGCCCGACGGACCTGTCCAAAACTCAAGATCACCTACATTTGTGTTGGAAATCGGATCTTCTGATTCCCCGATTTCCAGAGATAACGGCGCTCTCAGTAACCTGAGTGATGGAGATGTGACCGGCTCTGCAAATAGCTCCGAGAGTGAGTCGGAGGCCATTCGACAAAACAGTCGTAGGATTCGTGGGGTATTACCGGCTTCTTGGCTCCGAATTGGTCAACAAGGAGGACCTGCCCCCCGAGGTCCGAAGCGTCGCTCTCCTGACCATTCTCCGGACCGGACGGCTAGGCGGGGTGTGGCTTTGCCTCGTCAAGGTTCCCCAAAGCCATCGAGCACGGCGCTCCTGATGATGTTTGATGAGACGGATGACTCGGATAGCGAACTACAGCGGCCTGCCTTGATACGCGACAAAACGCCTGCCAGGTCCGCGCCGAAAGCGCCCGAGGACGATGATGGCGGGATTTCAGCCATGGAAGAGGATACCATTGATTGGATGCTACCAGGCAGAAAACGGCCAGGCACGCATTGGAAAACCGGCAGGGCCAAAAAGCAGAGACGAAGTCAGACGAAGTCTACCTTCAAAGCACAGCCTAAAATAACACAAGCCCTCCAAAGATTTCAAGATGGCACAGCGTCGTCATTCAAACATGGAAGGTCGGCTCGCCGCCAGCGTCGCACAGGAGGTGTTGGGTTGGGATCAAATTACCGACCAAGGAAGAGATCAGCTACGCCACCTCCCTTGAGTATCTTGGACGTTGTAGAACCCAACGCGCCGAGATTTGTCAAGATTGCGGCTCGTGCCGTTAAGAAAAATCCAAATCTGGGTAAGATGAGTCCGTCGAAGAAGCTCATCAGCTTAGCAACTCGACACGACAACATCGACGCTCTCTCCATTCTTCGGGATTGGAAATCGGGAAAAATCAAACCCAAGTTTACGGCCCCTCCATTGGCACCATCAGACAGAATCAAGGACAGACCAGCTTTGCGCGAAGTTTCGGCAAATATTTCCGCTCCACGCCCACCCGGAGCCAGACCCCAGAAGCTGGTTCGAGGAAGCACATCTCGATCATTCGTCACCGTTGCCGAATATGTGGAACGGGGCCAGGTTCCCCAACCGCACCCAAATCCGCCCGCCGCGACACAGAAGCAGAAAAACAATCGTGTTCCTAGTTTCCACCCGGCGCAACTCGAGGAAGAGGAAGCCGAGAACCAACGGCGGCGACTCAATGCACGGAAACGAAAGCTGGACGCGTTTTATAGAAGACGTCGGGGGGATCTGAATCCTTTAGCAGACCATGAACCGGCTCAATTGTTAGATGTCGATTTTACACTCAAGGAACCTGAATCTGGGCCTGGGATTCAAAGCGACGGGATTTCAGCCGACTGGGAAGAGGCACAACCCCCGGCTGAACCGAGGACGTGGGTCGGGGCTGGGAAAGCCAGGTTGCGCAAGAGGAGGGCACCTCAGCGAGTGAATTTGGAGGCGCCGCAGTATCGTCTTGCGAACGACCCGTTGCCGACAGACATCTCTACCATCGAGACACCGGATCCTCAGCCTCAGCCCCGGACCGGGACCGGTGCTGGCGGGGACAAGCTCCAAGGGCTCGGGCCGTATGGCACACATTACACCCACCATTTCGATATCTTCCCCTTCGATAAAGGCGTCTTCTTCCATGAAAGCACGCTTCTTGGCCGTGGGCTCGTGCGAGAAGCGGCAGATCCTTCCCTGCCTGAGAAAGTTCGCCAACAACGACCTGCTGTCTCTTTCTCCCTCGATGGACGGACCCTCAGATGGGGCTGCTGGGACGCAAACACCTCTTCAGAGCTTGGTATCCTTGTCGACTGGGTTGTCGAGCACCTTGGCCCCGATGTACCAGCAAGCGACGGTACAACTCAAGTTGTGGAAGCGGCTGACTTCGTGCTACGCTACGTGCTTCGGTCGTTGATTGTTTTGAGCGACATCGAAGAAAGGGCATTTGTATCACGGTGGCTGGAGGTCTTGACGGTTTTTCTTAGCCGTTTTAAGTCGATCGACTCGGGCGCGTTGTCAGAGACCACCAAAAGGACGAGTTTGGAGGTTCTGATTCGGTTCTGCCTTGCCACGCTGGCGGTATGCTCTATGAGTAGGGCGTCAAACATTGACCCGCATCAGTTTATAGGACTAGAAGACCTTCTCAAAGACACAGCTTCGGCTACTATCCGGCGGCTTCTCGATTGCGGCACCGAGGCACTCCAAACTCTGTACGGCGACCTACAGCGTCCAACTTTCCGAGATCGAGGGGTTCGGTCCGACAGATTTGTCGCAAATTGTTGGGTTGCCGTCATGAGAACACTAGAAAATGCTTCTATCCCCCGGAGTTCGTTTTGGGAGGTGACTCAGTCCGTTATGCTGGGCCAAGCCGTCACATCGTCCTTGGATGCCAGGTTGTTTGAGAGGCTGTGGCAAGATCTCTTTGCCCTTCTACCGCTTTCCGAGATTGATGACGCTGGACTTCTCGTTTCGGGGTCGAGACACACTGCGCCGGTGGAAGGTTGGGCGCTCCCGCAGCAGCTGCTGAGGTGTGTTTTCCAACTGTATCAGGCGAACCCTCGCCAGCCTCCCGGTTTCAATGACTACTGCCGGGCGCTGGTTGGGCGGTGCCATTTTCTTGTGCAGCAATGGGGCTGGCGGAAATGTACCGGCGTGCTTGGGACTATTTTCGACTTTTTTGGCTCGCAGGGGTTGGCAAACTTGCGGAATGAAGAGGTGTATAGGTCTCCTCGATTTCTCGAGGACCTCCACGGCAGCCCCTCCCTGGCTATTGAGCCCGAAGACCGGTGCTTCCACATCTTTATCAAGCTTCTTGCGTTGACGATTCAGCGCTTGAAAGATCTCGGCCGGGCCAACGACATCAAAAACCTCATCACTAGGACGCTTCCGAACCACGACCGACAATATCTCAAGGAGGATACAATTCACCAGCACGACTTGGCAGCCCTCAGAAACCACCATGACCTCTTGTGTACACTGTACTGGGTCTCGCCGCCCGAACTGCGGCGGGACGTACACGAGATCGAGAAACTGGTAGCGCCCGGAAGCGCCCACAAAGAAGCTTGTCTGATTAACGTTAGAGCCTGGAACCAGCTTGCGCGCTTTGTGATGGCCCGAGACGAGGGCCCGGATGTGTTTCGGCCGCTTGCCGTGTGGCGGAACAATGTGTTCAACCAAGTGTTAGACCAATACCTGTCTGCCGCGTCCGATATTGAGCAGCAGTTCCGCGCTCTGTCGGACGGGATGCCAATGATCAGCAAGATGATGCGGGACGACATGGTGGCCAAGAACAAGGCGACGGCGCTGGACGTGCTGCACTTTTCTGCCAGAGCGTCGTTGGATGTGCTTCACCGTGCTCCGACTCTAGGGGCTGCGCTGTATGGTCTCAGTCTAGGTAAGTGTAGTCTGTTGAGAATGATAGTCCTTGGGTTATAGAATACTAACTCGCACTAGGGCAATTACAAAAAGTGTTCACCGCCCTCGACTATCAATCTCCCGGATTCGACTGGGGCATTCTCCGTGTGGCTCTTGACACGATTGACCATTTGATGGGTAGGATCGACAAGGCTTCGGAAGAGCAATACTCGAGCGAGTTTGGCGTCAACCCGGATGCCCCTTTTCTGGAGGAAGCCGTGCTGGTACGTTTTCTAGTCTTTCCCGTTGCCATCACAATGAACCCTTTGCTGATACAAATGCGACGCAGCTGGTCAATGAGCATCTCACCAAAGACTTCTTTTGGATGTGCCGGACCACTCTTGCATTTCCGGTGGAGAAAGCTGCGATGAGGCAGATACAGCAGTCCGAATGTGCCGAAAAGGCGGTAACCCTGGCCGCGAGAATCGCAGCCCGGTTTGTCCAAAGCAGAGTCACGGTTAGTTCGGCCCCTGCTGGCTCTCTACCTTGTTTGTGTCGTTTACTGACGGGGTTCACTAGCTATTACTGCCCTTTTTTTCTTCTGGGAAACATGCCTTATTTTCCGACATCCCGGGGAACTTGTCGACGCCCGACAGAAAGTACCTCCCGCTTTTCATTGCGGTTCTTGTCAAATACGATGTTTTCGACTTCAAGGCCCTCGGGATCAACATCCTAGGCATGTGGATGCTCTCGGTGGTTAAGCCCCTAAGGTACACGCGATATGAGAACTACCTGGCCGAAGTTCTCAAGCGGCATCATCTGCCCTTCCTGGAACGTGCAGTGGTTACGGTTGGGATACCTCCTGACTACAACTCGAACTTGGACTTTTTTGCTGGTGCTATCCATCATATGCGCAGAACACTCCGGGAAAGCGCGTCAATGCAGGCGAAACAGCATCGCGATGAGTTCAAAAAGACGCTCCAGCTAGTCATGACCCGGATTAAAGATGATTTGGCCCTCTTACGGTCCGATGCCCACGAACATGGGCCATACATTGCCTTTGTGAGGCAGGTAGTGTCGCTCATCAAGTCTCATGGGGTGAACATCTGCGCGGTTGACCCCTTCTTCCTACAGCCGAGCGTCGACTACTCGCCTCCGGTTCAGGACCCCCAACTTCATACCGCTGGGATCATCGCGTATGGTGTCCGACTGAGCGAAAGCGATGTCAACGCAGCCTCATCGTTGTTCCATTACCTTTTCAACAACTTCAAAATCTCGCTCGGCAACGACAGTTTGGAGCAAGAGCGCAGTATCCTCAGCAGGGCAATGCGGAACTCACATGTCATGTCCTTCATGCTGCAGTACATGATCCCCGCTGCAATTCAGGCGTCAGTGCAGATGCCGGCTTGTTGGGCACTTCTAGAAGTTTACAGCGCGGCACTCGCGGACAGCCTTGATTCAAACTGTGTGTCAAGAGAGCTGCAAAACGAGGAAGCCAAGCATACGGCGGAGATCTTGATGTCGATCGTGGCGTGGTTCCGTGCTGTCACCGAAGGCTTGTCAACGACAACGGAGCTCTCGATGTCGCAGCTGCACGTCATGGCACTGCTGGCCACGATAGCTAACACTCTACAGCCGAGCCTCACGGCTTACCTTCTGAATGAAACGGATTACGACCGTGAGGACATAAATGACGTTGTCAGTAACATCGGCACCCTCTTCTCCGAACTCCAACTCCAGCTCAATACCCTCCTTTCTCTCTCGCCTAACGACCTCGCCCCGACGTGCATATCCCAAAGCATAGCTGGCGCAGTTATCACCGTCCCTTCGCCACTAAGCAACAGCCCCGCTCACGGTATAAACGGCCTAAACAAGCGAAACCCGCGCTTGCAAACCTTTGCCAGCACCATTGTCACCGATGTGCGGCAGAACTGGGTGGTATTGGCGGACCGTGTGATGGTCAAAATGGCGCTGTCGTCGTCAGCGATGTCGTCTTCAGCCGGGGGGGCAAGAAGGGGGATGTTGACGCCAGGGAGTATGCCAATGTCGAGCCAGGTCGGTTTGAATGGAGGCGGTGGAGGTGATCATGGTGCAGCCTCGCTGAGGGGAGTGAAGTATGAAGGGTGGGAGATAAGGGGGCTGTTGGAAAAGCTGAGGACCGCTGTGGGAGAGTGGCGGTTGGGTGGAATACAGGAACGGGAACAAGAGTTGGGGAAGAGGAAGGGCTTGAGCGGGCGAGCGAGGAGAGAGGTGGTGCAGGATGAGTTGTTGTTTTAGAGTGAGGTTTTTGGGTCAACGATGTGATGGTATAGATTCTATGAGTAATGACAAGGGCCAATACTCCCTCTGTAGCTATTTGTGGTCGGTGAAATCTGAAGAGATGTGAGTGTTGCTCGGGATCGAGGCTAGCGGAGGCTTGCGTATATAACCCTAACCCGTGTGACATCGTATTGTACGTTGGCCCATCTTTTCCCCCGACTCATGCTTTGTCAGCAGCTATGTCACTAATTAAATTTGAAAGTTTCCATTTTCAGTATTCGACATTTGCGGGTGCAACTCCCGAATCCTCGACGCACCATTCCCATTCCGGGGCTTAGCAACCCCCCAACTCGACCGCCACCAACCTGCAAAACGAGTAGCCTCCGAAACACGACGAGAACACGTCCAATTGCATGCGTGTGCTCGACCCCCGCCGTTAAGCCGCACCACCCGATGCCTCCGGCCACTAGGGCCCGGGCTCTGCTGTCGGCGTCGGCTTCGTCGGCGACGACGACAGCGCAGGGAACGAGCCGGCTACCTTCGCGAGCTATCTTCCGAACCAGCAATAATGCTCCGCAGCATCATCCCCGTGCCCATCACCTCCATACCCGTGCCTGCGCGCAGGCTTCGACGCAGACCCCTCGTTGTCGACCCTGCCAACTCCTTACTCATCACAACCGCCCTGTACGGCCGTTAGGCTCGCGCAGGTTTCACGCTTCGGTGGGGTTGAGGCAATCCTCGGTGCCAGCGGACTCCGATGGGGACGGTCGTGGTGGTGGGAATGCGCCGGAGACGCCAAGAGGGATACCGACGGAGAGACGGACTGAGGGGCTCGGGGCGAGACAAGGACAAGATGCGGCTGCTGCTGCTGCTGCTGTACCAGAACCGGGGCCGGAGCCAGGGGAAGGTGAACCCGAACTGGACGCCTCCGAGGTTGCTAATGCGAAGAGGGAGCGGCTTAGGAGCGCGGGGTATGGCTCGGCGCGTGCGCGGGCGAGCCGCAACAACCGTGTCGAGGAGACGCCGCCGTTTGCGCTGCCCACGTGGTTTCTGGAGGGGCATGTATCGCTGCGGGGTAAGCGGGTAGGAGGCTTCGCAGAGGAGGGCGCGGAGAGCCGGGTTTATCTGCCGTGGTTAGACGAGGCGAGGCGCGAGGAGCTCATTGCGGACGCGGAGGCCGGGTTTGAGCGGATGTCGCTCTCGGAATCCCGGGTGGCCCAGTTCAAGCGGATCACGACGACGGGGGAGGCGGCGCCGCCCGATCCGGAAGATAATCCGAAAGATTCCATAGCCTGGGGTATAGGAAGGACGGCAGCCGAACGGGAGATCCGCTTGGTTGGGATGTTATCCGCCGGGATGGTCGACATGGCCACCTCACTGACGCTACTTCGCGACACCCCTGTTGGCGACAGGGACAGTCACTACGATACACTGCGCCGGATGCACCAGGCCTTGTTCCCTGAGAAACACCTCCCTCTACGGTGGCGCTATCTTAGCCCCAAAAACGATATGGGAATCACAAAGGCCGAGATGGAAGAGGACGATGTCATGTTTGCGTTGAACTCCTCAACGAGTTGGGCCGACGGCGAGCACGCTGCAACGGCCGAGTTGCTGGCCACCACGGCTGGCTCGCTCGCCCTGCCGCGCGCAGACAGCTCAGATTTCTCCGACGGGATGCTGCGGCCACCAGTGGTATTAGCGCTGATCAAGGGCGACGGTCGGGGCCGGATGCTAGCGAACGCCGTGGTCGACGAGATCGCCGTCGATCTTGAGGCGGATGTCGTGCACCTGAGCGCCCACTTCCTCGCCCGCCTACTGTCGCGCTACATGGGCCAGAACGCGCCCGCGGCCCCGGGCTCCTTAGCGATGGCCGGCTACGTCGCGGCGGAGACAAACGGCCGGCTCATATCGCGGTCGGCAGCCGAGGATAGCGAGAGCCCCCTGAAGGTTATGTCGGTGAGCCTGCGCTCGTTGCTGCCCTCGGGGGGGTCATCATCGTTATCCCTGAACAATTTACGGGACGGGCTGTCTGGGATTGGCGGTGCATCCGACGGCCGCTGGGAGGAGATGAAGCTCAGCGCGGCGCTGGAAGCGATCTTCGAGGCGGCAAAGACTAAGCGTGCTACTGCTGCTAGTACGGGGGGCTCTTCGGATGTGGCGGTCGCCAGGGAAATCAATGAGAATAACGAGAAAAAAGAGAATACCGTCCACAACACCAACAATAATAACAGCAGCCACAAAAGCAGCGGCAACAACAAGAATAACCTTATCATCCACCTGCATGACTACGTTGAGCTGAGCCGAAGTCACGCTTCGCTCGTGCAAAAGATCCGCATCCTTGTGGACCGGATGTGGCGGGCGGGCAAGAACATCACGCTCGTGGGCTCGTCGGCCGGTGACCTGGATAGGCACGCGCCGTGGCGGGCGGAGCTGGACGACCTGGGAAATGCCGGCGCGCGCGTGATCCCGTTTGCCACGCCCGGGTGTGATCGCGACGTATCCAACGAGGAGTGGAGTTCCGTGCACGAGAACTTGGCCAACATCGAGGCCATGCTCCGCGGTGCGGTTGGCGACGACGAGGTGCCTGTTAACGGGTTTGTGGCCGAATATCTTGATGCCGTCAAAAAGGAGGCTAACGCTACCACATGGGCGGCACTGCCGAACATTGACCTTGTGAGGATGAGGCTCAGCCCTGGCGTGCTCGACGCACAGTGGGTTCGGCGTCTCGTGTCGATTATGGTTAGCACTGGTCCTCATGAAGGCTCGTCGGAGCAGCAGAAGCCGCAGGAGCAGCCACAAGATCAGCAACAGCTGAAACCACAGCAACAACCACAACCACGTCAATACACCCTAACATCACTAGCTGACGCCCTAGCCTTCATGACCACCGCTGATTGGCATTGGAGGAAGTCGGATCCCAAGATCGCTGGCCCTTATTTCTCCCCGCTCGCAGTCACGCCCCGGGACGCGACGCTATCATCGATTCCCTTCGGCAGCCACCACCACGATGAGGACGACCGGCACCACTCCGCCGCCCTCAAAAACCTAACCGGTGCCGCGGCCAAGCACGAGTACAAGCCCGAGGAGAGGAAGCTGCTGTCGGGACTCATCAACGCCAAGGACATCCACACCACCTTTGACCAGATCGTCGTGCCACCCGAGACCAAAGAGTCCCTCGTCGGCCTGACCACCTTATCCCTCCTGCGCCCCGAGGCATTCGCCTATGGCGTGCTCAAGACCGAACACATTCCCGGCTGCTTACTTTACGGACCGCCTGGTACCGGCAAGACCCTACTAGCCAAAGCTGTGGCCAAAGAATCCGGCGCCAGCGTGCTCGAGGTGTCCGCGGCCGATATCAACGACAAATGGGTCGGCCAAAGCGAGAAGAACGTGCAAGCACTCTTCTCCCTCGCCCGCAAGCTGGCCCCCTGCGTCATCTTCCTCGACGAGGCCGACGCCCTGCTCGCCGCGCGCCAGTCCTCTGCCAGCGCCCGCTCCGCCCACCGCGAGACCATCACCCAGTTCCTGCGCGAATGGGACGGCCTGACCGGCTCGCGCGCCTTCATCATGGTCGCCACCAACCGGCCCTTCGACCTCGACGAGGCCGTCCTCCGCCGCCTGCCCCGCAAGATCCTCGTCGACTTACCGCTGGCCCCGGAACGCGAAGCCATCCTGCGCGTCATCCTCCGCGATGAAACCCTGTCCCCCAACATCGACCTCGCCCGTCTCGCGGCCGATACCCCGCTGTATTCCGGATCCGACTTGAAAAATGTCTGTGTCTCGGCCGCCATGGAGGCCGTTCGCGAGGAAGTCCGCGCGCGCGATGCCTGGAAGGGGGAGGAGCCATTCCAGTTCCCTGAGCGCCGGGTGCTGACGCCGGCGCATTTTGCGAAGGGGTTGCGGGACATCAGTGCGAGTATCAGTGGGGATATGGATAGTTTGAAGGCGATTCGGAAGTTTGATGAGAAGTATGGGGATTCGGGCCGGGGAAGAAATAAGAGGAAGGGCATTGGGTTTGGGGTGGTTGAGGAGGGGGCTAAGGCCGGAGATGCGACGAGGGAGGCCAGAGTGAGGAAGGCTTTAGCGTAAGGGGGAGCGAGAGAGGAATGTAGAAAGAAAGGTGTAGAAGGAATGTTCAAGTGTACATATGGATGTCGATATACGGGACCAAATTGTGTCTCGAGTTGGTTGGAAACTACAATGTACACCACGCGATTGATGCACATACCAAAGAGCATTTTGAATCAGAAGATAATTCTGTCTGATACTACCTGCACAATAAAAAGCACGTACAACAAGTAGGCCGCCTCTCCCTCCGTATCTTCGGCTACCTAAGTGTCGACTATTCTTGGGGTTGCCCAGTTTTGAATGGCATCATCGCTAATTACAGCCAGCGCATCTACTGCTTATTCCATTTTCTTCCCATCCCTCTCTTCCTTACTTTCGGACCTCAAACAAACACCAAAACCTTACGCCCTCCCCTTCTCCTCCCCCAGCGCAGCCACATACATTTCCAACGCGCCATTCACACCAGTCAGCGTCGGCTCAAACAGCGCCAAAACTGAATCCTTGCCACCTTTGGGCGGCTGCCACCGGAGCTTTTTACGCGTCCGTTCATAGTGCTCGCGGATCTCGGCCTTGCGACGCTCGATCACCTTCTGCCGCACGACTTCAGCCTCGGCCGCCAGCGAATCGATACGATCCGCCGACCGCCGGAGGGACTCAGCGTAGTAGGCGAGTTCGTGCGTGCGCGCCGGGTCACCCGAGAGAAAAGCGGACCAGAATTGGCGCAGGAATTCGGTGGTCGTGGCGTTGGTCAGGGTACATCGCTGGGTGATTTCGGGCGGGATGCTCATGGGCGAGGCGTCGGCGTCTTCGCTGCCGATGCCGGCGCTGATGCTGATGCCGGCGGTTTCGGTGCGTTTCTTGCGCATGCCGTCGAGGATTTGGGTTTGTGCCTGGCGTCGCGCACTGCGGGCACCGACGTGGCTCGGCTTTTTTGTTGTCCCATCAAGGTCGCTTTCGCTGTCGTCGTCCACGCCAATGGCCCGGCGGAGATCTATTCCGCCAGCGCCGTCGTCCTCGAATGTCTCGAGGTCGGCGTGGACTTCGAACAGGACTTCAGAGGGAACCTGTTTCTCGTAGATCCTGGCCTCATCTGACTGCCCCTCGTGATTAGAGAAAAACTTGTTTTGTTCCTTGACGTTCAGCATGACGCGAGCCGCCTCAGTGTCGCCGCGGAGGTCGCGCAGCGTGAGCTCGTCAAAGGTTCGTGTTTCGTCGGCCAGGCCGTCGGCGGCGCCCGTAGCACTAATGCCTGCGGCCGGGTCCAGATCAGACGGGGCCACGTTGGCCATGATCTTCTCGCTAAGGCTGTTGAGCGTCTTGATGATGGGGATGTTACCCCGCGGCCGCATCTCGACGTCCTTGCGGTTGCCGCTCTTGAAGCCGCCCTGATTTTCCTCGTTGGCCTCCAGGTCGATGACGTGTGGCACCTTTTGAGCTGCCGTGATCTTGCTAGAGAAGCCAAACGTGTTGTCGGCGTTGAGGTACCGGTCGAATAGTGCGTCCGGGTTGTCGTTCTCCGTCATGCGCTCGCCGCGAAGCTTCTTCGACAGCTTGCTGAGGAAGAAGCGAGACCAGAACTCGCTCTCGGACAACTTGGGCACGTTCTCGTTATAGAGCCGCCGCACAAGTGGGTGCTGCTGGAGGATCATGGAGATCTGCTCCGACGTCAGGCTGAGCTTGAACTGGCCGTCCTCGGTACGGGGCTTGATTGTGGAGAGCACGTTGTAGGCGCCCTTTTTCTGGTTTAACTCAATGGCATGAGCCCGTAGCAGGCCGACACGGGTCGACCAGAACCGGGCCTGAAACACCGCCTCGACAATGGAGTCCGGCCGCAGGTCGAAGGCATCTTTGTACGTCTGGGCCAGCTTCTTATCCTTCTCCAGCAGCGACTTTTGCAACTCGGTGTCTGTCTTGAGCACCTCGTCGTCAAACCATTTGGGGGGTGCCGCTTTGGCGTTTACGGTGTTGGCAAAGGACATGGCCGCCGACGACCCGGCAGCATCCGCACTGGGGCCACCGCCATCGGTACCATTGCTTCCCGCGGCCCGGGTGGGCTTGGGCACGCTCGGGTCGTTCTCGCGGGCATGGGCTAATAGCTGGGACAACAAGTCGCGGACAGCATTAGCCTCGGCGCGGGCATCTGTCGGGGACGTGAATTGGAACAAGAAATTGGACGGCGCGGCGCCTTCCCCCGCGCTTGCCCGGGGTTTCTCAATGACGCGCAGGATGACCTTGGGCGCGCCGTCCGGCGTCTGCTGGAGGTTCGATATGTTCTCCACGGCCAAGGACACGGTGGGCGGGCCTGTGGCGGGCATCGGCGTCCAGATCAGCGCGGCGCGGTCATCGGTCAAGGTCAGGATGCCGTCCTTCTTCTTGTATGTGGTCCTGCCCCGTGGGAGAGCCATGCTGGCGGCGGGCCGGACGGCCTAGCCTGCCGAGTACAGTCTGTCCGTCTGTTCTTTCTCCTTTTCCCTCGTCTAAATTTTCCCCCGTCTGGAGTGTATTGACGTCCCAATCACCGCGTCCCAACAAGGCTAGAAAACTAAGCCTTGAGAGTAAGTGTGTTGTTTGTTAGCAGGTTGCTCTGCGCTGCGGCGGCGTTGTCGTGTTGAAAGTCCACGGCACGCTTCACGATCGACTTGTCTTTGTCGTTGGTCCCAGTCACCGGCAGATCCCTCCAGAACCCTTGTCGCTACGCCCCGTCCGAGCCGCCAAGTCGCTAAGAATAACGGCCCATGCGCCGCGCTCCGCTGTGTATCGCTGGCTCGGGGCGCAGTCCGATGCCCACAAGTTGAAAGCCGCGAGATCCAATAGCGGGCTGAGCCTAGGTTTCAGTGTGAGGTCACGCGCGGTGACACCGTGGGTGCTAGGGGTTGTCTGAAATCCTGAAATTGATTAAGTTGATGTTTAAAGCCTGAAATGCGGTATGTTAGTGCATGACGATGTGCACTCTGGTGAAACGATGAAAGGAATAGACTGGCGGGCGATGTTGCAAAGCTGAACTCTAAGATTCTCTTGAATGTATGTCTCTCTGAACGAGTTACATCCTGCACCTTCCATGTAGTGTAATTCGTACACAGTATTAGACGCACCGTTGAAAATGAGGGTCGGCAAAATACAGGATACCGTCTTCATCAATGAGGACGGCAACCGGCGAAAGATTGGGGAATTACAACAACACGCTAAAATCCGTTACGCCTCGGCTTGGCCCGGATATCGCTGGTCGGGCTCGGTCACAGAAACAAGGGAAACACACAGTGGCGCTCCTCGCTGTTCCAAAAGAAGGAAAAGAACCTGCCGGCCTCGCCAGCCGCAACGAGCGCCCCAAGTGCCGCATCGAGCCCCGTGGTTGGTTGTATCGGTACCCCACAAGGGCCCCTGCTGCAGCTCCCCGGTCACCCGCCCTGCGAAAATTGCCGTCATCGAGCCCCCGATACGTTCCTTTCAGCGTTCGTTACAGGACCTGGGTCCCCTCAATTCCTGTTTGCTTTGCACTGGAGGCAAAACTTGTGCCGAAACCACACAAAAAAACAACTCACACAACCAACATCAGACGGGCTGTCCAATGTTCCCAGCTCTAACTCTTCGTCCTTTGACGAGATAGTGTTCCCCTTCTCCTGTTTCTGTAACGACACCAAAACACATCGTATACACACGACTTACTCCGCCGCTCATTTTGCATCGTGCTATCTGTTTGTACGGTACCCGGCGGGCAAAAATACACTGATCTTGATTTCCGCTTCTCCGTCCTCCCACAACGAAACCCCCTCGATCCTAAGCGCTAGCTCCATTCTTGCTCAACACCACGGCAGCCTATCACCACAGCTTTCGTCGTATCCCTCATAATCCCTAGTAGCCTCGACGTCCCTCAAACGCCTCCGATAAGGCCCCTGATTCAACACCGATACGCTGCGATACCCCGCCGAGATGCTGCGCACCTCCATCCGGGCGCTCCAGAGCGCTGCGGCCTCGTCGTCACGATGCTTCTCAACAGCCACGATCTCGGCCCGTGCCAACCTGCGGCCCGCTGCGGCCCGCCGTCCGCTCGCCATCGCCGCCCAAAAACGCTTCGAGAGCGCTCTCCACAACCCGCCTGACTCCAATGACAACTTCTTGTCCGGGAATACCGCCAATTACATTGATGAGATGTATCTGCAGTGGAAGCAGGACCCCGAAAGCGTCCACGTCTCATGGCAGGTCTACTTCAAGAATATGGAGAGCGGGGAGATGCCCATCTCCCAGGCATTTACCCCGCCGCCGTCTCTCGTGCCCGGCACCCAGGCCGTCGTGGGCCTTGCCGCGGGCGCTGGTATCGGCATTGGCGAGGGCTCCGACGTCGACAACCATCTCAAGGTCCAGCTCCTCGTGCGTGCCTACCAGGCCCGCGGGCACCACAAGTCCAAGATCGACCCCCTCGGCATCCGCAATGCCTCCAAGGGCTTCGGCAACATCCGCCCCAAGGAGCTTGAGCTCGACTACTACCAGTTCACAGAGAAGGACCTTGACACCGAATACACCCTCGGCCCGGGCATCCTTCCTCGTTTCAAGCGAGACGGCCGCGAGAAGATGACTCTGCGTGAGATTGTTGCGGCTTGCGAGAAGATCTACTGCGGTTCGTACGGCGTCGAGTTCATCCACATCCCCGACCGCGAAAAGTGCGACTGGCTGCGCGAGCGCGTTGAGGTGCCTCAGCCCTTCAAGTACTCCATCGACGAGAAGCGCCGTATCCTTGACCGTCTTATCTGGAGTTCCAGCTTCGAGTCCTTCTTGTCAACCAAATACCCTAATGATAAGCGCTTCGGCCTCGAGGGCTGCGAGACTCTCGTGCCGGGCATGAAGGCCCTAATTGACCGCAGCGTCGACTACGGTGTCAAGGACATCGTCATCGGCATGCCGCATCGCGGCCGTCTAAACGTGCTCAGCAACGTCGTCCGCAAGCCCAACGAGTCCATTTTCAGCGAGTTCGCCGGGTCTCCGGGCGCCGAGGACGAGGGCTCTGGTGACGTCAAGTACCACTTGGGTATGAACTTTGAGCGTCCCACGCCCTCTGGAAAGCGCGTGCAGCTGTCCCTAGTCGCCAATCCGTCCCATCTTGAGGCCGAGGACCCCGTCGTGCTCGGCAAGGTGCGCGCCATCCAGCACTACAACAATGACGAAGCGACGCACCGCAGCGCCATGGCCGTTCTTCTCCACGGTGATGCGGCTTTCGCGGCCCAGGGCGTCGTCTACGAGTGTCTCGGCTTCCACTCGCTCCCGGCCTTCTCCACCGGTGGCACGATCCACCTCGTCGTCAACAACCAGATCGGCTTCACCACCGACCCGCGTTACTCCCGCTCGACCGCGTACTGCACTGACATCGCCAAGGCCATCGACGCTCCCGTCTTCCACGTTAACGCCGACGACGTCGAGGCCGTCAACTTCGTGTGCCAACTTGCGGCCGACTGGCGGGCCGAGTTCAAGCAGGACGTCATCATCGACATGGTGTGCTACCGCAAGCACGGCCACAACGAGACAGACCAGCCCTCGTTCACGCAGCCCCTGATGTACAAGCGCATCCAGGACAAGAACCCCCAGATCGAGATTTACGTCGAGCAGCTCCTCAAGGAAGGCACCTTCACCAAGGAAGACGTTGAGGAGCACAAGCAGTGGGTCTGGGGCATGCTCGAGGAAAGCTTCTCTAAGTCCAAGGACTACCAGCCCACCTCCAAGGAGTGGACCACCAGCGCCTGGAACGGTTTCAAATCGCCCAAGGAGCTGGCCACTGAGGTGCTGCCGCACAACCCGACGGGCGTCGACCGCAAGACGCTCGAGCACATCGCCGAGGTCATTGGCACCGCGCCCGAGGGGTTCAACGTGCATCGCAACCTGAAGCGCATCTTGTCTAACCGCACAAAATCGGTCGTCGAGGGCACGAACATCGACTGGTCGACGGCCGAGGCGCTGGCGTTCGGCACGCTCGTGACCGAGGGCCACCACGTCCGCGTGTCGGGCCAGGATGTCGAGCGCGGCACCTTCTCACAGCGCCACTCGGTCTTCCACGACCAGGAGACTGAGGACACGTATACCCCGCTCCAAAACATCAGCAAGGACCAGGGCAAGTTTGTCATTTCCAACTCGTCGCTCAGCGAGTTCGGCGCGCTCGGCTTCGAGTACGGCTACTCGCTGACTGACCCCAACGGCTTCGTCATGTGGGAAGCCCAGTTTGGCGACTTCGCCAACAACGCGCAGTGCATCATCGACCAGTTCATCGCCTCGGGCGAACAAAAGTGGATGCAGCGTACCGGTCTCGTCATGTCGTTGCCCCACGGCTACGACGGCCAGGGTCCTGAGCACTCGTCCGGTCGTCTCGAGCGTTTCCTGCAGCTCTGTAACGAGGACCCCCGTGTCTTCCCGTCGCCTGAGAAGCTGCAGCGCCAACATCAGGACTCAAATGTCCAGGTTGCCTATATGAGCACGCCTGCTAACCTGTTCCACATCCTCCGCCGCCAAAATCACCGGCAGTTCCGCAAGCGTAAGCCTTTTCTTGACCCCTAACCGGTCCCTTCTCCTTTTCTGTTCCTACCATGCTGACTAACACCTCCTAGCCCTCATCCTCTTCTTCTCCAAGTCGCTCCTCCGCCACCCGCTGGCGCGCTCCAGCATTGAAGAATTCACCGGCGACTCTCAGTTCCAATGGGTCATCGCCGACCCGGCGCACGAGTCCGGCGTCATCAAGCCGCATGACGAGGTGGACCGCGTCATCCTCTGCACGGGGCAGGTCTACGCCGCCCTGCATAAGTACCGCGCCGACAACAACATCGACAACGTCGCCATCACCCGCATTGAACAGCTCCACCCCTTCCCCTGGGAACAGCTACGCGAGAACCTCGATCTGTACGCCAACGCCAAGACGATCGTCTGGGCCCAGGAGGAGCCGCTGAATGCGGGTGCCTGGAGCTACACCCAGCCGCGTATCGAGACGCTGCTCAACCAGACGCAGTACCATGACCGCAAGCATGTCATGTATGCGGGCCGTAACCCTAGTGCGTCAGTGGCGACGGGTTTGAAGAAGTCGCATGCCAAGGAGGAGCATGATCTGTTGGAGATGGCATTTTCCGTAAAGCAGGATAAGCTGAAGGGGGAGTAGTGGGATGTCTTGGAGAAGAGAATGGGTGGATTGCGAGAGAGGGTTGAAGGAAATTGGTGGCGAAAGCTGCTTGTGTATAAATCATCGTTGCAAACGATAGTCGTATTTTCGAAAGTTAATAGATCATGAGCCTGGAGAGTTCCATTTGGACTTGTTCTGTTCGTGGTCCTCTCCTTGGTCGCTCTCCTTTTTTTTTCGGGTTTTCTGTTTTGGATGGGGGTGGGCTAGTCTCGCACTGGTTCGCGTGCCTGCTCCGGCGGAGATTCGAGATGTTTGTACAAAAAAGGTTGGAGAATGAATTGATGAGATATGACTTTTATGAGTGCATCTCCCACTCTGGAGTATTATGATAGGTGACCGTTTCTCTTTACAGATCGTCTCTCCTCTTCCCGCTAGATAGAGTACACTCGCCAACATCCCGTTTCTTCCATCCATCATCCGCCCCTATTGTACCTGCACCTGCCACGGCTGTACTATCCCATCATCGCCCGTGGTGACCAGCATCTCTTCCTTACCCTTACGTTCCGCCCCTGAGTCGAAACGCTTGCACCACGTGATGTGGTTGATCTCGTATGGACCGTGAGCGCGAGGGATTGTGCTGAGAACTTTCCATGTGCTGCTCTTCGCACCACTGCTGTTGTCGCTGTTGTCCCCTTCCGTGCCATCCTCCTGCTCTGCATACACCGCGACAATCCCATCACTCCCCGTGCTGGCAACCAAACCGGTGTCCGCACTCCACGACGCCGAGTACACATCCCGCGTGTGCACCTTGGGCAGCACGGCGGTGCATTCCCACTCTTCGCGCGGCGACCGGCGCATGGTATTCGGCATCCCTCCAAACCCGGTCCGAAACGGATTTCCCTCGCGTGCCGCAGCCTCTTCGGCCTCCAGTCGCTCCGCCTCCTCGTCCACCTTCAGCGTCCACACTCGGATCGACCCGTCCGCGGAGAATGTCATCAACCGCGGGAACCGGTCGTCCGATCGTTCTTTCGTTTCCCACTGCAGGCCCCAGACCGTCCCGCCGTGTCCCTCCAGCACGGCAACACACACCCACTCGCCGTCGGCGTCCTCGCGCCAGATGCGCACCGTATCGTCATAGCTTGCACTCGCAAGCACGTCGTGGCTGTAGTGTCTCCGGCTGGACGCAGCACGGGCGTTGGACAAGTGTGATGGACACCAGGCGACGGCTTTGACATCACCATCATGCTCACTGAGGACGGCAACGGTTTCCCATTCGTCTTCCTCTTCGCCATCATCACCATTGCCGCCCGCGGATACATCTTCCCAGATCCAGACAGATTTATCGCGGCTAGACGTAGCCAGGTATTGCCCGCCGGGAGAAAACGCGAGAGATTTGACTTCGTTCTCGTGGCCTTCCAAGACCAGGTTGAACTCCCATTCCTTATCGTCCTCCTCGCCCCCGCCGTCTTCCTCTTCCGTATCACCACCACCCATCCTCACCTCCCGCTCTAACCCCCCACCTGGCCTATCCCGATCCCCGTCAAAACTCCACAACCCCGCCGTCGCATCGAAACTCCCCGTCACCAGCCCCAGCCTTTGGTTCCCGCTACCCCTACTCTTCTGTTGTTGCTCTCCCCCACTACCACCGCCGCCTCCTCTCGAAGGTTGCCACGCCACCGTGCGCACCGACCGCGCATGCCCGCCTGTGAGCGCGCTGTGCTTGGAGAGAGTCGCGAGAGAGTAGACCGTGACGGATTTGGCGTGGGCCGTTGCGATCAATGGCAGGGTCGGGTGTGGAATGGAGGACCAGGCGCGGGTGTAGAGCTCGGGTTGGAAAGATGGGAGGCGTGTGAGGGTTGCGGTGGTTTGTGCTGTAGTTGTGGTTGTTGGGGCGCGGGCGGGGGGGTCGTCGATGGACGGGGAGGCTGTTGTTGTTGTCATTATGTCTGTCGAGCCAGAGTCGTGGGTTGGTTCATGGATCGAGGTCGTTATTCTGATCGGATGTTCGGAAGGGTCGGACGCCGATGGGGATCGAGGGACATGCGTGAAGTTCTAGGCTGAGGTGGTGTGTATCGTATCGATCTTCCAGGCTGTTTCAGCTTCGTAGGGGTCAATTATTAAAAGAGCTTTAGTAGCCTAAAAGCGGCGCCCCCGTCTATCCGGGAAAGCAAATCATGAGGTCGATGTGTAACGAAAAGAGGTAATTTTCCCCCACCAGCACTGTATCTCTGAGAAGGTTCCCTCATGGCGGGGCAGTTTGGGGGACCAATTTCACAAATAGCCCCGCAATTTTACCCCCGGCCAATGCTCCGATGCCGCTGCCCCACCAAATCCAGTGAGGTGCCTCGATTTACTATCAAAACATCAGGGGCACACACCTAGGGGGTAGGCTTCAACCTGGTTCATTCCATCTTGTCGTCGATACTTAGGTACCTAGGTAATGTAGCTCTGCTATAGCCCGAACTGTAGCCCAAATTCATGCCGCCTATGCTTCCATGGAACCTCAAAAAGACCGCCCAGAGCACAGCAGTCCCCAATCAAAAAAAAGCTGCCAAATCAGCACCAGTTCGCCGAAACTTGCCATCCCATAACCCGCAAATAAATAAACCAAACCCATAAAAAGGAACAAACTCAGAATTGGTGCCCGTCCAAACGCCAACCAACCCATAACCATCATCACATCATAACCCTCCCCTTACGCACTACTCCAATTAGCCTCGCGAAACGGCTCGAACGGCCCTTGCTCCCCACCACTCCCCCCTCGGCCTCTCGCATCACCCTTCGGCCCCTTATCATCCTCCTCCCGCAACCTCTTCTCTAGCTCCATCCTCCCGTCCCTGCCCCAGTAGCCAGCCTTCTCCCCACCGGTGACACAGCCTTCCGTAATTAACACATACGGCGTGGGCGCCTCAAACATGGGCTCGGCTAAGACACGCTCCATTTCCATCTTGAGCCCACGCGCACCGGTCTCGTTCTTGGCCGCGCGTGAAGCGATCGCGTACAGTGCCCGGCGCGTGAAGAACAGTTTGCTCGGGTAGGTTTCGAAAAGGGCAGTGTATTGGGCCACGAGGCTGTTGCGCGGCTCGGTGAGGATGCGGAAGAGCTCGTCAAGGGAGAGTGGGGTAAGGGCGCAGATGTTGTGTAGGCGGCCAATGAGTTCGGGAATAAAGCCGTAGGCTTGAAGGTCGGCGGGCGTCGCAAGGTCGAGAGGGGTGAAACCGCCACTGCTGTTGCTGCTGTTGCTGCTGTTGCTACTGTTGTGGTTGTTGTTCTTGGGGTTGGAGGTTGACAACGTGGCGGCGGATACGGGCTGGTGTGGGAGGTGGTTGTACATCTCTCGTGGTAGGATATCCTTGTCTCCGGACATAGAAGAGCTGCGTCCGCGAACCTCCGAGCCAAAACCGATAGACGGCTTAGCTACACGACGCAGAACAGTCTTGTCTAGTCCGACAAAGGCGCCGCAGAATACAAATAGTATGTTTGTAGTGTCGATTGTGTATTGGTCAACTTTGCCGGCCGGAGGTGCCGACTGGGTATTAGACGGTCCGTAGCCGCTAGGCGGGTTGGTCGCCGTGCGGGATGATCGTTGGTCCTTGATGTTAACGGTAACCTTAGTCCCCTCAACAAGCTTGAGAAGGGCCTGCTGCACGCCCTCGCCACCAACATCGCGGCCGTTAACGGTCTCGCGCTTCGCAATTTTGTCGAACTCATCTAACACTATGATCCCGTGTTCGGCGGCCTTGATATCGTAGTTGGCCTCGATGAGTAGCCGTTCGATGCAAGACTCGACGTCCTGTCCGATGTATCCCGCTTGAGTGAACGAGTTGCAGTCGCTAATAGTGAATGGTACGTTGAGCTTCTTCGATAACGTCCTGAGTAGCTAGGGGTTAGCGAGTGGTCCTAACTACGTCTGTAATGGCGGAAGACTCACTCAAGAATGTATGTCTTCCCCACGCCGGTTGGCCCAATTAACAGCAGATTGCTCTTGTCAATCTTGACATGGTTTGGAGCTGCGAAGTCTTCTGGGATGTAAAAGTCGTCCGCCGGTGGGTCGTACAGGGCGTCGGGAATTTGGTAGGTGCCTCTGACCGCCTCGTGGTGGCCGGGGTAATCGTCTTCAGAGAACATGTTATTATCAGCCGGTCGCCGATATCCCGAAATAAAGTCTTCATCATCATTGCGACGCGAGGGCCACCGCCCACCTTCAACGGGATGCGCGCGTGAGCTGCTGTTGTAACCACCGCGCTCAAACGCATCCTGGTCCTGTGCGTACTTTTGCCGTTGCAGCTTCTCGCGGAACCGCTGATCTTGGATCTCGTTGTGTTGCCGGCGGCGCAGTCCCTGGTAGTGGTTGAAGATGACGGAGCAGATCGTCTTCTTTGCACGGTCCTGGCCCACGACGTAGTCGTCGACACGACGCTTCAGGTCCCGTGGGTAGAATTGCGGCACGCCAAAGGTGTGCTTGCTGAAGATGGGCCCGCGGCTGATCTCCTGCGTCGGGTCGTAGCTACTACTATAACCCGAATTGAAATCGTTAGGGCGGCGCGGGATGGATAGGAGGGAGCTCGATGTTGATAGGGAGCATGTCGGATGCCGGAGTCGGAGCTGGGGGTTCCTCAGCCGGGCGACCTGGAACGGCGCCATGCACATCAGTGCTCGTGGCCGCGCTAAGACGGGCATTGTGTTGCTATCGTCTGATAGTCATGCTCTGAAGAGAGAAATCGTTAGGATGCTTTGATTAGCCAGGCGTGTGGACGAGTGGGAGTTCGCCGAGGATCGACTCGGAATGCTTGAGGAACCGAGGGGTCGAGGGCGTTGCGCCACATGCTGGATGAGGTCAACATGTCCCCGGGCCCGGGGACAACGGACGGGGATGCGTGCAGCTCCGGCAGGCACTGTGTCTTGCAGGGAGAGCACACCCCCGGAGTCGGGCGGCACGTCCCAACTGCCAGGTGGATCGGCCAGCTGCGGCACGCTGCGGGTGAGCTCGCAGTGGACCCCCCCCACCCGCGTTGCGCAGCTCCCCTGGCTCGCCCACGGAAGCAAGCTGCTCAGTGGAAGCTCCCGTCACATTGCTGTGACGCCCGAGTCCAGTTGCACGCGTTGCTTGAATGAAACTTCAAAACCCCACCACGAGGTGTAGCCCGCTCTCTCGCCTCCGAGATGAGGGAAGCTCGCTCCTGTTCTGGTCTGTTTGTGTGTCTCTGCGCTTTGTTGCACCGTCCGAGGCCGCCGGCCCGGGTTTATCTGCGATAAGGCACCGTTGCAGCAGCCGCTGCGGATGGCACCCCTCCACTTGAAATCCCTTCCACGTTCTGGCCACAGAGTGAAAGTTGGCAGACCAGCGGCGCAGGGGGGCAAAGCAGCAGGTAGCCGTTGTTTTATTTTATTTTTACTATGTATTAGGCATGGCGCAGAACACCCCCTGGAAGGAGCCGCGCGGGAAAGAGGAGAGAAGATCGATGGAATCGGTTGGGCTGCAGAGCGTTCAGTTGCCATGATGTAATCTCGCGTTGACATGCCATCCTCATCGATTCGAGCTCAACAAACTCGCATCTAGCCGATGCACAGCTCGAACAGTTATCGCCACGGCCAATTTGCACATTTTGCGCGCCCCGCATTGGGAGTAACTCGATATCTCTGCCTCCTTCTCTCTTTGAGTTTTTCGAATAAACGCTTCTGAGAGCTTGTGATCCTCAGTGGCTTTAGTTTCTGCGTCTACCCATCCAAGTTCTACAACACAACTTGAACCCCCTGGCACCGCGGGAATTGCGACGAAGAGCAAATTTTCGTCACAAGCATAGGTGATAATTCGATTGATCACTTACCGACGGGATGGATCCTATTGCAGCGGACTCGTCCAACACGTTGGTCGGCGGCAAGGTCGCTGAGGATGACATTCCCAAAGATGGCACCGGTTCGTTTTGGTTATTCTAGTGAGTTGATATCGTAAACTGACGATAGAACAGGAGTCCTGAAGCTTGACCCATGGCTGTCGCCTTTCCAGGACTCATTGAAGCGGCGCTATGCGAAAGCCCAGGAGTGGATTAAGCGGATTAACGACACGGAAGGCGGGCTTGAGAAGTTCAGTAGGGTTCGTTGTTCTTGTTGAAATGTTGGTTGATTTTCGACGCCAAGCTGACTGATTCAGGGGACGGAGTTGTTTGGGTTGAGGGCAAAGGAGGACGGCACGATCATCTACCGAGAATGGGCTCCCAATGCCCTTCAGGCTGCGCTCATTGGCGATTTCAGTGAGTTTCATTCTAACACTCATCTTCTGTCTAATGACTGTAACCTCACCATCTCTAGACAAATGGGACAAAACGGCTCATCCCATGAAGAAGAATGAATTTGGTGTCTTTGAGCTCACCATTCCCCCAACGGCCGACGGCCAACCCGCCATCCCCCACAACTCCAAAATCAAGGTAGGGCAAGTCCGGAGTGTGACGGTTCGTGATAGCTCTCGTGCCCTAACACCTTATTTAGGTCACCCTCGAGTTGCCCACGGCAGAATGGGTCGATCGGCTACCAGCCTGGATCAAGTACGTGACTCAAGATCTGTCGGTCTCACCTGCCTACGACGCTCGCTTTTGGAATCCGCCTGCGGCAGCGCGATATGCTTTCCAGCACGAGCGGCCCAAGAAGCCCGAGAGCCTGCGCATCTACGAGGCTCACGTTGGTATCTCGTCTCCCGAGCTGCGCGTCACTACCTACAAGGAGTTCACCAAATCCATGCTTCCGCGCATCAAAGGCCTCGGCTACAACGCCATCCAGCTCATGGCCATCATGGAACACGCCTACTACGCTAGCTTCGGCTACCAGGTCAACAATTTCTTTGCTGCTAGTAGCCGCTACGGCGAGCCCGAGGATCTGAAGGAGCTGGTTGATACCGCCCATAGCTTGGGCTTGGTCGTGCTATTGGATGTGGTTCACAGTCATGCGTCCAAGAATGTGTTGGATGGGCTGAACCAGTTTGACGGATCTGACCACCAGTACTTTCACGAGGGACCCAAGGGTAAGCACGAGCTCTGGGACAGCCGGCTGTTCAACTACGGCCACCACGAGGTCATGCGCTTTTTGCTCAGCAACTTGCGCTTCTGGATGGACGAGTACAAGTTTGACGGGTTCCGGTTCGATGGGGTCACCAGTATGCTTTACCTTCACCATGGCATTGGAACGTGAGTTTCTCCTCGGGGCGTTCGTTTGTGTTATAAGGAGACTCCCTAACGTGGATAGCGGCTTCTCTGGGGGATATCATGAATACTTTGGTGCCGGTGTCGACGAGGAAGCCGTTGTATACCTTATGATTGCCAATGAGATGCTGCACGAGTTATACCCCGAGACCATCACCGTGGCCGAGGATGTCTCGGGTATGCCGGCACTGTGCCTGCCGCTGTCGCTCGGCGGCGTCGGCTTCGATTATCGCCTCGCCATGGCCATCCCTGATATGTGGATCAAGATCCTCAAGGAACAAAAGGACGAGAGCTGGGATATTGGTAACATTTGCTGGACCCTGACTAACCGCCGCCACGGGGAGAAGACGATTGCATACGCCGAGAGTCATGACCAGGCGTAAGTCGATTTTCACTACCTCCGTTGTTCGCCTCCTATGTCGCAACTCCTTTCGTGCTAACCCCAGCATCCCCTACAGCCTCGTCGGCGACAAGTCCCTGATGATGCACCTGTGTGACGCCGAGTTGTATACCAACATGTCGGTGCTCTCCCCTCTCACTGCCGTTATCGACCGCGGCATGGCGCTGCACAAAATGATCCGTCTCCTGACACACGCCCTGGGCGGCGAGGGCTGGCTCAACTTCGAGGGCAACGAGTTTGGCCACCCGGAGTGGCTCGATTTCCCGCGCGAGGGCAACCAGAACTCGTTCTGGTACGCCCGGCGCCAACTCAACCTGACCGAGGACCACCTGCTGCGCTACCAGTTCCTCAACAACTTTGACCGCTCCATGAACCTAACCGAGGCCCGCTACGGCTGGCTGCACGCGCCGCAGGCCTTCATCTCCCTCAAGCACGAGGGTGACAAGGTGATTGTCTTTGAGCGCGGTGGGCTGGTGTTCATCTTCAACTTCCACCATACCGAGAGCTTTACCGACTACCGCATCGGCATCGAGGAAGCAGGCACCTACCGTGTCGTACTTGATTCGGACACCAAACAGCATGGCGGATTTTGCCGTATCGACGATGGCACGCGCTACTTCACCGAACCGCTCGAGTGGAATGGTCGCAAGAACTGCACGCATGTATATATCCCGTGCAGAACAGCTCTGGTATGTCTTACCCCGTTAGTTCATCACTCACTGTGTACTAATATTGCTTACAGGTGTTGGCTCCGGAATCGAGGGTGGCTTAACAGTAATGGCCCGCAGGCACGTGTGAGAAAAGGAAATAATGACTATCTTGATAGACTTTCTTAACTTCCGTAATTTATGTTACTTTACGTTTTCGTGCCTCAAATACCATGACGCCCAAATTGAAATGACGGAGAGCGGGGTAGGGTGGGCAGTTCTTTGGCAATGCCAGGCCAGAAATGCCACTTGTCCATCCAATGAGCGGCGGGCCGCGACGATGGCCGCCCTCAAATTCAAGGCCTGACCCGGGACCTCCCGGTGGACCGTCTCAACAGCAACGCGAGCGGCCAATGAAGAATTTAAAACACTGCTGCGTGCGGTTGGGACGAGGGCGAAGGGAAAGACGAAACTGGAGTGAACATCTAAATCCCGATACCAACAATTAATTCGTACCGGTGGGCGCGCCCGCACCAAAGTTAGTCGAGCCAAACTTTGGGAGCCCAAACCTGAACCTGACCTGCAACCGGACGGCGCACAATTGACGGGAGCGAGCGCCCGAGGCCCCACATTTTTAGCCAAAACATCAAGTCACGTGGAAAATTCGAGCTCCGCAGCTGTCTAGCCGAAAGCTCAGTCGAGAGATTTTCGAACCCGTCTTCTTCCCTCCCTCCGAAGCCTACCCTCACCACTGTCAATCCACCGTCACATAAGTCCGCCCTTCATCATCGCCAAGATGTTTAAGAGGTGAGTCGTCGCCGGCCGAAGGCTTTTTTTTAGTCCACGATTCCAGCCATACGCCAATTGAGGCCAATTGATACTAACGCAAAGCTTTTTCGCTCCCCCCTCGCGCAGCGGCATTTCCGCCTTTGCCCGGACAGCCCGTCCGTCGTTTGCGGCGGCGACTCGTCGCGCCATCCCCCCGACTCGCCTCAACCTCCACGCCCCGGCGCTCACCAGGTTCGCCAGCACCGCCGGTGTTGGTGATGGCAAAATCCACCAGGTCATTGGTGAGCCCCTCTCTCCAATATCACTCGACCCCCTGGTCGCTTCGTCGTTCCCGGTTTGGCCCGGGAAAATTGTGTCCTTGGCTTGGCTAACCGCGCAACTTTCTTAACAACAGGTGCCGTCGTCGATGGTTAGTAAAACACACAACCTCTCCTTGTGGGCCTCGACAACTCGCTGCTCTCGCTACACGCAACAACTTTCTTCCGGTCGCAATATTCCGCTGACACCACTTACCGTCGACAGTCAAGTTCGAGACCGAGAAGCTCCCCGCCATTCTCAACGCCCTTGAGACCAACAACAATGGCCAAAAGCTCGTCCTCGAGGTCTCGGTACGCAGAAACCCCGCACCGTTTTTGCCGTGTGTTTGTGCGTTGTGCTGACTTGGCTATAGCAACATTTGGGCGAGAACGTTGTGAGGTGCATTGCCATGGACGGTTGGTACCCCGCATTGTTTATTATGTGCTGAGCGACCGAATAATCTCTAAACGGAATATATAGGTACTGAGGGTCTTGTCCGTGGTGCCAAGGCCGCTGATAGTGAGTGACTCCCTATGTTCTTGATGTCGTGACCAACATGCTGACAGTATTTGACAGCCGGTGCTCCCATCACCATTCCGTAAGTTGAAGCGCTTCACGGTCAGGGAAATGCATATATCAGGAGCTGGCACTAACGTGAGGCTCCTCTAGCGTCGGCTCTGGCACTCTCGGCCGTATCATGAACGTCACCGGTGACCCGATTGACGAGCGTGGCCCCATCAAGACCGACAAGTTTATGCCCATTCACGCTGAAGCTCCCGAGTTCGTCGAGCAGTCGACAACCGCCGAGATTCTGGTGACGGGTATCAAGGTCGTTGACCTGCTCGCCCCTTACGCTCGTGGTGGCAAGATTGGTCTCTTCGGTGGTGCCGGTGTCGGCAAGACCGTGTTCATTCAGGAGCTCATCAACAACATTGCCAAGGCCCACGGTGGTTACTCCGTCTTCACTGGTGTCGGTGAGCGTACCCGTGAGGGTAACGATCTGTACCACGAAATGCAGGAGACATCCGTCATTCAACTTGATGGTGAATCCAAGGTCGCCCTGGTCTTCGGTCAGATGAACGAGCCCCCCGGAGCTCGTGCTCGTGTCGCTTTAACCGGTCTTACTGTGGCGGAAGCATTCCGTGACGAAGGACAGGATGGTAAGTTCACATTCCTTCCTATCTTCAAAATCGAGGGAAATGGGGAGGTGGAAGAGGCAAGAAAAAGAAGGGGAAAAGAAAATAAACACAAGGTGGAGCAAGTGAAAGAAGTGGAGAAGGACAGAAAAGTGGAGAAATGGAGAATTCAGGAAAGGTAAACTAACTGGCATAGTGCTTCTCTTCATCGACAACATCTTCCGTTTCACTCAGGCCGGTTCCGAAGTGTCCGCCCTTCTGGGTCGTATCCCCTCTGCCGTCGGTTACCAACCCACTCTCGCCGTCGACATGGGTGGCATGCAGGAACGTATCACCACCACCAAGAAGGGTTCCATTACCTCCGTCCAGGCCGTCTATGTGCCTGCTGACGATTTGACGGATCCCGCGCCCGCCACAACCTTCGCTCACTTGGACGCCACCACTGTGTTGTCCCGTGGTATCTCCGAGTTGGGTATTTACCCTGCCGTCGACCCTCTTGACTCTAAGTCCCGTATGCTCGACCCTCGCATTGTCGGCCAGGAGCACTACGACATCGCCTCGCGTGTCCAGCAGATCCTCCAGGAGTACAAGTCTCTACAGGACATCATCGCCATTTTGGGTATGGACGAACTCTCGGAAGCCGACAAGCTTACCGTCGAGCGCGCCCGTAAGATCCAGCGTTTCCTGAGCCAGCCCTTCACTGTCGCCCAGGTCTTCACTGGTATCGAGGGCCAGCTGGTCGACATCAAGGAGACCATCGCCTCGTTCAAGGCCATCCTGAATGGTGAGGGCGACAGCCTTCCCGAAGGTGCCTTCTACATGGTCGGTGACTTTGCGACGGCGCGGCAGAAGGGTGAGAAGATTTTGGCTGAGCTCGAGAAGAGCGCTTAATTGGTGGGCAGTCTTATAAAACCGGGAAGGACATCGGCGACCTGTGTATAGAAGCGAATGGTTTCCGGGGAGTTCCCAAGCTCAGTCAAGTCTCTTTTGTGAGCTGTGTATCAAATCTATTTTTCTGTGTCCGAGCGTCTGAGCCTAGATTTTTTGTACTTGCGTCCGTGACATGTCCCTCCCTGACCCGAAACTCGCCCGCCCGCAAGAGCCAAGTTTAACGTAGGCGTCAACTTGATCTCAACTTCCGGGTCTGCATCATTTGAACAGAGCTGTTGCCAAGGAAAATGAAGCTGAGGTGAAAGTGGACGACGATGTGGACGGCTGGAATTGCAACGCTGGCATTGTTTTTTAAAACGTCGACAAAGGATTTGTGTAATGACAGCCCGAAGTTGAAACCTTTATCCTGTGTCTTACCTCGGTGGACTTTTGTCCTTTTCGTTGCGTTATTATCTACTACTGCTTCGACTGAATCTATTTAACGCCTTTGGTTTATGAATTATATTGCCCTCATGTTGTTTATCGTGTTTACGCAGAGTAAAAATGGAAACTCGGGCCAACGGCCTAAGGTGCGGATATGGCACAGCAGCGCAGATTCAAGTTGGTGCCGGCCAACTACAAGGAAACTGTCAAGCAGTGGACCAGCCTTGGGGTCGACGACGATGCATCGGCCTCGACAACCGACAGCTACCCACTGGCCAGATCCCAGGTCACAGCGGGCGGGGAATGGTTTGATCAGCTGCGTAAAGGCGCGGAAATGACGCGAATCATGAAAATATGAAGGGGTATATATGCGAAGTAGGGTGGATGTGTTGGGTCACCCAATATCTGATAAAATCGACTCGGCCCCAACCGGGCTGGACGGTGCAGGCGATCATACATCGAACCGGATCCTGTCCCTTCGATACTTCGTAACTTCCGGGCTGATATCGTGAGCCATGACAGCGCGGATAGCAAGCTGGCTTTCGTGCTCCGGCATCCCCGGCTTGTCGTCGACAATCACGGTGGAGCGGTCCCAAGACAGGTCATCCACCAACAGCCTGACGAGAGCCCTGTTATCTTCAATCTGGAGGGAGGCTGCGGGAATACGGAGAAGCTCATGCCATTCCGGTCCGAGAAAGTTGATAATGTTGGGAATTTCAAAGTCAGCGATGCCGTCCATCCACCAGCAGGGGCCGACCTTGAACTTAGTGAACACGAGGTAGTGTGCCAGTATCACAAGGGCGCGTGGGCGCTTTTCTCTAGCGGCGTTGACGAAGTTTTGAGGGAGAAAGCTGAGGAAGGTGGCGATGCGTAGGAAGAGGCGCACACTGAAGCCGGCGCTTAGCTCGAGGTAAATGGAGCCGAGAAACTGGAGTGCTCGGTAGTAGTGCTCGATGTAGGGGTAGTCCGGGTCGTCAGCATTGACGGACGAAAGCATGAAGAGGAGGTTACTAGGCAAGCAGCGGGCCGAGGCGTCCACGTCGACGCTGGGGCGGAAAATAAGGGGAGCAATGCCAGACTGGTAGAGCAGTGGGAGGTTCGCTTCGTCGATTATGGTGTCGATGCCCTTCCACAAGGTCATCCAATTGAGGATTGACAACGGTTGAGCTTCACTGCCACGAAAAACGTGGGTTGACAGGCCACAAAGCAGGAGGGAAGTGGCCACCAGGGCCGGGTAGGCGGCCGAGTTATCGATCGCGAGGGCCTTGCGGTAGGTCTCAAAGGCCTTAGCACGGTAGCGGATCTCGAGGGCGGGAGAGACGCCCATGTTTCTGAGGCCGAGATGGTTGATATGCATGGCGGACAGGCCGAGGATGCAGTTCATCAAGAAGTCATTGGCGAAGGCGTGCTGTACAACGGTCACTTTGAGCACCGGGTCGGCGTTGCGTTCTTCGAGACGGCCAGTGGAAAAGGAGGCGAAAGTGACGGTGGTGTAGAACCAGAGCAGGCGCATGTCCATCATGTTGTGGTCGGCCGGGATGAACTGTGGTTGGGGAGTCACCGAGGGGCTCTGGCTGCGAAGGGCAACAAACAGGTCGGGATATGGCACCTCATCGCCGCTGCTAGGGCCATTATTGCTCCTGCTGTTGCTCCAGGTATTGTCCTGGCTGTTGGTACCCCTAGGGGGCTCGGGAGATGGAGAAGTGGTGGATGTCGACTGTGCTGTAGCCTGAGCTGGACGTGGTGGCACGGTATACACACACCTCTCTTCGCGGAGAGTACATGAGCGACAGGCTGGACGGCCCTCATCGCACTTGACCCTGCGGGTCTTGCAGTTGCGGCATCCCGTCCTTGACTTGCGATGTGGGCGTTTGGGGTGGTATGGTTTTTGCGTGGCCAGTGCCGAGCCGGGGCCAGGGGACATCGGGACTTCCATCCTTCGCCAGAATACCCCTGAAACGAGGAGATGGGATTGGATGTGATGAGATGAAGCATGTGATTTAAGGATTGAGAATTCACGGCTAAGAGAGCAATCCGTCATGCGCGAGACAAAGTGAGGGGCTGCTCCGTGCTGTCGAGGCTGAAAGAGGGTGTTGGTGTTTCCGCCGCAAATGGGACAAGACCAGATATCTCTCATTCTCCGCGGCTTACGTGTAGAAACCCACACTAAGGATCTCAGCTCGCCATCCTCATGCTGTGTGTGTCGTCCGCAACACCTCGGCTCATCCATGTACTGCCCGGGCCGTCTGGATGTGAGGGTTCCAAGAGCAAGCAATGGGAGAGCAGGCAGGTGGCACGCAGCCCGTTCTGAGCGAACCGCAGAGCAGAATACAGTGGTCAACCCCCTGTAATTGGAAGGCCAAGACGCCGGCAGAGCCCTGAACCAGGAAAGTGGAACCTACACTCGCTTGCAGCGCCCTGGCCACCAAGAGTCCTTGCAGCTAGCCCGACGCGTCCTCAGCCGCAGGAACGCGACGCTGCATACGGTCCCTTACACACCAATGTTGGGTAAATTTCAAGACAACGGAAACAAACAACTTCAAAGACTTGCGTGGGGAGGACGAGGGAAGAGCTAGGACAAAACGATCTCATTGATTAGCGAAAGCCCCCAAACCACCGAGCCCATACATGATGGGCAATCCCATCTTCCGACTACCAGATGAAGCGAAGCTGGCCGCGCTCAACCGAATCTTTCCTTGTCGAGAACCGCAAATCCGGGCCCTTGCAACACTGCTTTATGTAAGGCCACTTCAACCTCGTCATACCATCACCCATCACGACGCTTGCTGACCATCTTAGCCCGGCGCTGCACCATGTCGGAATCTCGTCATCTATGGCACTGAGGCCACGGGCAAGAGCGGCGTCACCGCGGCCCTTCTCTCACTATTCTCGGGCCAGGCCGAGAGTGTCACTGCCGACGATGTTGAGGACCAGCTCGATGGTCAGCTAAACGGCCACGTTGACGACGATGACACCCCTCTCCAATACGCCATGGTGAACTCGTCGGAATGCATCACCTCTCGCCATCTGTTCGAGACTGTGGTTGGCAAGGTTTCTACCGCGCTTCACTGGGACGCCGCGCCAGCAAGGTGCGAGACTGTGTCGTCGTTGACCGTTGAGCTGTCCAAGATGCTCAAGTACAATTCCCGTCCCGACGGGTTCCGCTTTGTGCTTGTGTTTGACGCCATCGACCGCCAGCGGGATGCTCCTCACACATTGCTGCCCGCTCTTGCGAGGTTATCTGAGATTGTGAGCTTCTCCTTGAAATGTTTCCGATGTCTCGGCGTGTTTACTAACTCTATACTGTAGATCCCCTGCCTAACAACCGTCTTCATTGTCACCTCTCCTCCTCCCAACTTCCTTCTCAGCTCCTTCACTCCCCACCTCCACTTCCCGACTTACACCAAGCCCGACTTCATCGCCATCCTGTCCACTACTCCGCCACGGGCTTTACCCAACACGACAGACCAGGAAACGATCGATCTATGGGCGCGCTTCACCGCCGCTGTTCACGATGCCCTCGCGCGTGCTGCCTCGCGCACTCTCCCTTCTTTCCGCCATGCTTGCGCCGCCCTTTGGCCGCGCTTCACGGCTCCGATTCACGCAGGGACACACTCCGCCCGGGAATTCTCCAAGCTCCTCGTCGCTGCGCGCGTGCATTTCCAGGACGAACGGCTGCTTGACCCGGGTGTCCTGGCTCTTCCCTCCACCACAAACCAAAAGCCATCACCACCACTATCAACAGCACCACCCCAATCCACAACCACATCAACTACAACAACAAACCACCCACTCCCAGTCCCCACTAGATCAATCACCGCAACCACCACCAGCACCAGCAACACAACCCCCTCGGCCAACGCCGGCGCCGACCTCGCCCATCTCCTCCCCACAATCGCCCGCCTCCTCCTCCTCGCCTCCTACCTCGCCTCACACAACCCCACCCGCCACGACCTAACCCTCTTCTCCACCCACTACCACGGCCGGCGCAAGCGTCGCGGCGGCGCCGGCACGGGGGGCGCCGGTCGGGGGAGACCACGGTCCAAACACCGCAAGATCGCGCGCAAACTGCTTGGCGCGCATGCCTTTGTGCTGGAGCGGATGTTGGCTATTTTTGAGGCGGTCAAGGGTGAGTGGGGGTATTTCCCACCTGAGGAGTCGGATCGTGGTAATAATCATGGTGGTGGTGGTGGTGGTGATGTGGACGCGGACATTGCGATGGCGGTGGCGACGCTGGCGAGTTTGAGGTTATTAGTGAAGGTAGGCGGGGGCGGAGGGGGAAGTAGTGCAGGAGGGGGTGGAGGGTTTGGGGGCGTGGCGGATGTAATGGATCGCGGGGGGAAGTGGAGGGTGAATGTGGGATGGGAGGTGATTAAGGCGTTGGGGAGGGGGGTTGGGGTGGAGGTTGAAGAGTGGTTGATGGAGTGAGGTCTGAAGGGTGTGTGTGCTAGCTATACTAGCAGCTGGGTACCGAGGTACTGTACCACTCATGGGATCAAGTAAACTCTTCATACACCAGACCTAACGGTTGGGTTGACGTATGGGAGAAGTTAAGCACTAATTTAATTGCTATATGGTATATAACACCGACCCATAACTATTCGGCGAAGAAACCATGCATGACGCCATCTAACAAGTCTAAATGTACCTATGCAAAAGTAAACCAGCTTTATAAAGTTAAACACATAAAATACATGACCGTACAAAAAAGCTCATTAAAATGTGTCGTACATGCGTGTCACGCCATGCCAAACCCAGCCCATCAAACCATCAAGCCATCAAAAATAAAACCTGTACAGCTCCAGAAATCGTCACATAAATAACCCCATAATCACAAGCGCCCTCTTCTTTTCAAAGGGGAGAGGGTTTTCAGACCAGCCCAACCCAACCCAATACAGTGCCAGTCATTCCGGAAACGTTTTGACCGATCCCATCCGAAACGCTCACTTCTCATAGAATTGCATCGCCTCCAGCACCCACCCGCCAGAGCGGCATACATAGGCATGTACCTAAACAGGTAACCACGGCACCCGTAAGTCAAGGGTCATGGTTTTACCCAAGTACTCACTCACTGAGCGACAACCGTCTGACTATCCCCCGTCCGCCAGGTATCCTCCTGTCTCGTCCCTGGCGGCCGCCACGCCGGCGCAGCAGCAGCAGCATTGCTCATCCCGCGATTCCTGCTCCCCGCGGGCCCGCCTGGTCCCCCGCCTGCTCCTCCATTACTGGCACTCCCGCTGCCAATTCCAACATCGTCCGACTTTTTGGTGTCGCCTAATATGGCGGGCCCGCCAGACGCAAACGCTGCCGCGGCGGCGCTGCCTTGGGTGTAGGTGTGTGGTGCCGACCCGGCTGGGCCGATGCCGCTTGGGCTTTCGAAGATGGTCGGCGCCGCTGCCCCCGACGAGGATGAGGATGAGCCGTTGAGGAAGCCGATTGGCACCACGGGAGGTAGGGTCGTAGCGGCGATGGGGGGTGAGTGTTTGGTGTTGAGGGGTAGTAGGGTCGCCTGGCGGCGGGTTTCGGTCAGGGAACGGGCGCGTTGGTCGGCTTTGTTGCGCTCGCTGCTGCGGTCGTAGAGGTAAAGACCCAAAAAGGTGAGGGCGATGCCGACGGCCTGGATGCCCGTGGTCGGGCTGCGGAACCAGAGGATGGCGATGATAATGACGAACACGCGCTTGATCAGGGATGCGACCGAGTAGGTCACGGGCGACACCATGGAGAGTAGCACGAAAGCAAAGATGTTTTGGCCGAAGTGAAATGTGCCGTTGAAAATGTACTCGAGCACCAGCGGACCGTGGTCCAACGAGTTCGGGCTGAGATTCAGGTCCACGCTGCCGTCCCAAAGAAAATCGCCCAGGATGCCGATGCCCTCTGACCACGCCCAGATCGGGCACGTTAGAAGAAAGGCCAAGCCAGAGGAGTAGCAAAGCAGATTGAGCTTGTCCAGTTTACGGGACTGGTGTCCGGCCCCTTCTTGCTCGACCCGCGCGGCCTCATTAAACAACCTCTTGGAGAAGATGTTTTGGGTGACAAAGATGATGGCCGCAAACAGCGCATACATGATTCCAAGGAACTGTCCTCCGCTGAATGCGTGGTTGCCCGAACAAGCCAGCATCACACCAATGGTGAGCGGAACTAGAGAAAAATATGTGGCTCGAGGGTAGCGAATATCAAAGAAGATGCGGTAGGCGAAAACTGTAAAAAGCGGCGACAGCCCCTTGATGGTGTGAACTAAGGACACAGGAATTTTGGAGGTCGCGTTCGAGCTCAGTAGATGGCCGCCAATCGAGAAAGCGGCCAGCGGGAGCGTTGTTCGGATGACATCGCGCGAAGGGGCTCGGATCGGATGCCGAAGCGCCGGGACGGCGGCCCTGAGCCGCGGAAAGGTAGACGCGAGCCACGAGAAAAGCAGGCAGTAGGACGAAACGAAGGCGAATTGAATGAGGGTCAGGGTCGCCGGTTTGTCGAAGGCTGTGAGGATCGTTTTGGAGGACGTGTTGGTCATGGCGGACGACCAGTACCACATGAGGCATAGGCCCTACAAAGACGAAGAGAAACAAATCATCAGCCCCGGTTTGCCTTGAATCTTGCGTGGAGCAGTCACTTGAGAGGCAGACAGCGGTGCGGAAAACATACAATAAGCTTCCATGAAACAGGCGCACGAAGCGCTCCGGCGATCTCGTGGGCATTCTGGCTCATACTCGATGAGCGCATCCGGTGGACAGTCTGGCTAATGCTGCTCTTCTTGGCGTGGCCCGACGGCCCTACAACAGACTCCCGGGGAGCCCATCTCACCCTACTATCCCGTCGCGCGGTCCAGCGGCCGGCGTTCGCGGCGTCGCCATTGCTGCCGGAGTTGAAGCCGTTCTGCTGCCAGCGCGGGGTCGAGGCAGGTTGGCTGCTGCTGGGAAACGCCGTGTGCCCGGCATCAAAATCGGGAAATTTCTCCGTCTCCCCGGGGCCAGACGACCCGACGCCGTTGGGAGAATCGCCGTAGGACTTGGTGATTGATGACGAGCGAGTCTGGGATGGCGCCCGCATATGGGAGCTCGCCGAAGCCGAGTGCGACGTCGAGTGGGATGTAGCGTGCGGCATTGCGCACGCGCGCGCTGCGGCGCTCTTTTGCCTCGCTGAGTCTCAAGGGGTCTGTTGTTCGGTTGGTTCGACGATTCGGAGCGTCCGTGGATCGAACGCTGTGCGATCAATGCAGATGCAGAGAGGTAGCCCCGGCCGCGATCTCGATGCAGAGATGCGGCAGATCCACCAAACGAGCGCAAAAAATAACGGCGTGAAACAAGTGGAAGTGCTGACGCGCCGACTCGAGCCTATGTGATCATGGCCACGTCCTCGTCGGTCTCGGTGTAACACGGAAAATGGTGGGTTAGAGCGGAGAGAGGGAGAAGAAAACAAGATAGCGGCAATTGGAGGTTGCACAGGTGTCACTCCCAACCGAGCTCTCGCAATCCTATCCTCGCTTGCAGGTTCGAAGGCAACGTTGGAGGGGCGCCTGGCGAGATCTGGTTTGACGTCGGCCAAATAAACTCTCTTGGCGCCCCTTCCAATCCGCTGTTGCAGGCGCACCACGCGGGTCCGGCCACTGAAACAAAGGCCCTGGGAGTCTTGTCACCCACCATCGGCAGAACCCAGCCTGGGGCGCCACAGTTGATCAGTTTGAAGTGGGGCCACCAGGCTCGAATGCTGCAGCACCAGCCACATCGCTTGTCCGTCTCAAAACTTTCGAGGCGCGCGATCCCGATAAGTGAGTGGCCTGGGTCGCGTGTGAGGTCGGTCCACCAAATACTGCATTTGCCAACACCAACATCAACGGCGTCATCATTGGCATCAACGAAACCGACGTCCTCCCCCATCGAGCCGAATTTGAGTAGGGCGGTTTTTGCATGCTGCAAGGCCAAAACAATTCAGCCAGAACCCGAGCGAGACGCTCGCCATAGCCAAGATGGCGGCTCCAAAGATGACCAAGAACCAGATGCGCCGGGCCAAAAAGAAGGAGCAGAAGAAGGCCCAGGCCGAGGTGCAGGTGCGTGGCGCTATGAGCCATACCTATTTTATATCCGGCCGTCCCACTGACTGTCAACAGAAAAACGGGACAGGTGAAGCAACCCCAAAGGACGAGACGCCCGTCGACGAACCGAAACCCGCCGATCTCGAAGTCAAGAACGAGTTCGATGCGTCCACTAAGCCCGAAGCCGACGGCCCTGTCGACAGCTCGCTTCTCGACGAAGAGGACCCCGCGTTCGTCGCATACAAAGGCATCTTTGAGAAATTCGGTCTCAGCTTGGACGATGAGGAAGCCGCCAGGGAAGCAAACGCGGGCAACAAGGGAGAGGTTTTCTTCGATCAAGACGACGAGATTCCTAGCGAGGACGAAGACGCGCAAAATATGTCGAAGAAGAAGCGCAAGAAGCTAAACAAGCTATCTATTGCCGAGCTCAAGGCCCTAGTGCGCAACCCCGAGGTCGTCGAGTGGCACGATGTTTCGTCGTCGGATCCCCGCTTGCTGGTCCAGATCAAGGCGCAACGGAACATCGTCCCCGTACCCACACATTGGTCTCTGAAGCGGGAATACCTCTCCAGTAAGCGGGGTATTGAGAAGCCCCCCTTCAAACTCCCAAATTTCATCTCCGAGACCGGCATCACCGAGATGCGCGACGCCGTATTAGAGAAGCAAGCCGAGCAGACGCTTAAGCAGAAGCAGCGCGAGAGGGTACAGCCGAAGATGGGCAAGCTCGACATTGATTATCAAAAACTCTACGATGCCTTCTTCCGCCATCAGACCAAGCCAGACCTTACCCGGTTTGGTGATGTGTACTACGAGGGCAAGGAGTGGGAAGCCGACTACAAAGTCTTCAAGCCAGGCGATGTTAGCGAGGGGCTGAGAGAAGCCCTCGGGATGCAGCCTAGCTTCCCCCCTCCTTGGCTGCTCCAGCAACAGCGTGTTGGCCCTCCTCCCTCCTATCCCACCCTCAAGATTCCCGGCCTCAACGCCCCGATCCCGGCGGGAGCAGCCTGGGGTTTCCAGCCTGGTCAATGGGGCAAACCACCACTGGACGAGTATAACCGTCCTCTTTACGGCGGCGACATTTTTGGCCTCATGGCCCCCGGCCAACCTGGCGCTACTGCGCCCTACCAACAACAGCAACAACAACAACAGCTACCACCTCAACAACCCCAAGCAGCGGCTGCCGCTAGTGCGCTTGCCGAGCCGATTGAGCGTGCCCTCTGGGGCGAGCTACAACCGCCCGAAGAAGAATCAGAGGAAGAGGAGTCGGAAGAAGAAGAATCCGACGAGGAGGGCTCCGACGCCGGGGACTTGCCCCCCGGTGGCACCGATACCACCACCGGTCTCGAGACCCCAGCCGGGTACGCCAGCACAGTCCACACTGACCTCCACCCAGCCGGCGGTGCAGAGACTAGCATGGCCGGCGAATTCGACCTGCGGAAAACCCGCCGCGGGTTCGAAACCGAAGAGTCGTCTTATGGCGCCCCCCGCCAAGCCTACACCGTCATCCCCGAACGCCAGGGCCGTGCCGAAGGGTTCTTCGGCAGCGACAAGACCTACGATCTCACGAAACCTGGCGGCTCAGGATCCCTCCACTACCAGCACATGCCCATGCTCGGCCAAATCAACGAGGACGACGCGTCACGCAAGCGCAAGAAGCCCGGTGATGTCGACGTGGCGCTCGACCCAGACGCGCTCGCGGCCTCGGGAAGCGGCAGCGGACTGGACAAGGAAGAGTTGCGCCGGCAGTACGAGGCGGGCCGGCGCGAGGAAGGGGCGGGCGCGCAGTGGAGCCGGTCGGCAGCGTATGAAGAGGACTTGAGCGATATGATTGCGCAGGAGAGTCGGAAGAGGCAGAGGAGGGAGGAGGAGAGGCGCGGGGAGAGGGAGAAGGGGAGGAGGTAGATCAGAGGTGATAAAGAAGGATTGGTCGGTTGATCAGACTGTGATGGTTGCTGAGCCTGTAACGGCGTGATCGTTTGTGTGTTTCTTTGTTTTCATCCTTATTTATTTGGGACTAAGTTTGGCATGAGTTGGGCGTTTTTGGGATGGGGGTGTGTGGGTTGTATAATACCGAAGACAATTACGGAACTAGGGGGGTGGGACACAGAGACGAGGGAAATGTTGAAAAATAATAAAGACGTCAGCCAAATATGTTACGTCGCTGAGCAAGTGAACAACTATGGGTCAGATCTCATTCTAAATGCGAGAAACATGAAATCCAATCCACTAGAGTCAACTACACCTTCTAATTGTGAATTGTCGCCTCCTTTCTCCTTTCAGTGGTTGGGACCAAGTTGGGTTTACCTTGTTTTCTTGTTTTCTACCTCTGTCCTTTACTCAATTCACTTCCAAGTTCATGCTACACCCACCAGTAGCTGTCAGCCGTCTTAACTGGTATTCACGTATTCAACTACCTTACACGACTCAGATACATACAAGCACCCCTAGGCATATACGCACACCCGATGCCCCCCTCTTCACCCTCCCCCCCTACCTAGTTAGCATCCAAGTGGACGGAACTCCCGACCTTTTTGCCAAATCCCAAAGCCCATTAATTCCCAGCCAACTGTGTTCCTACCTTTCCACCTCCAGGCTCACCCTCTTCCCCTATCTCGATCTCGCTTGAGAAACCGACTTTCCACCCTCCTCAGCTGTGGTGCCCAAGCAGGAAGATAGATACCCCCGTCGAATTTACACCCCGTCGTCTCCCAAATTTTTATTTCCATTACATTTGTAGTACAAACACACCCCTATTTCCTCCTTCGCTTTCCTTTCCCACCCGACCCCCACTTGCGGGTGCATTCTCCTCTCCTCTGCCGCTTTGCATGTCGATACAGACCCGTAAATCACCGCGTCCGCGTAGTTGCCCTTTCACAAGCAAGCGGCGCACTTCCACCTCCGTCTTGCCTTTACCGCCGCTTCTGGGTTCTCCACGCAGTGCTTGTGGTACAGCCGTTTTTTGCAAGCCTAGTAGAGTTGATAAATGCTATCAGTATCTTGGTCTGTTCTGGTCTCATACATGGGAGGTTGTTGGGAACAAGGGGATAAAAAAGGAGAAAATTACCTTGTTGGAACAAACAAGCAAGCTACCCATAGGCACGGGCTCAGCACACTTGGCGCAGCACCCGCCCGAAGCCTTGTTCCTAGCTGTGGCCGGGGCGGGGAGTAGTGCCTGTGCAGTCCCTCTTTCCTTTGAAGACATATTGCTTGCTGTCTCCGATGCCTCAGCCATCGCAGCCCGCCTATTCCGCGCGTCATTCACGAGTTGAGTAGCCTCGAAAATGACGGTGTCAGGCAGCATGCGACGGGTGAGCAGCGTCGCGGCATGTTTGCTGAACTCATCAGCTCGCGAACGCACTTCGACCAGCCAGGCCGCGTGCTCGTGCACAAAGCGCAGGAAATGACGTGGCAAGTATTCCTGGGACGACAAGTGTTGGCGCATAATGAAGGCATCCCATTCCTGTAAGTATTCCTTTTCAGCGGCGTTGAGGTCGATGAAATCCTGCAGATTGTCGCGGTGCTTGAGAAGGAGCCAAGAGTCGTCAAGGGGACGCTGGGGAATGACCGTCCCAGCTGGGAGCTGGACTTTACTGAGGGGGTCAAAAAGGGGTTGTTTAGTCTTGGGGACTAGGACCTTGCGCTGGGTTCGCTTGATGGTTGATTTCTAGTGGGTGTTAGGATTAGAGTATAGGTAAAGTTGGGAGATATGGTCGGCTCAATGGCAACCATGGCTTACCGGGTGGCCCCCTTGCGGAGCATTGTCTTGGAAAACTTCACGGCCGTTATCCGGGCCGAGGCGAGAGGTGACCCAGGAATCGTCACCATTCACATATTTTTCGAGATCCAAAGGTTTAACCGGGAGACCAAGCTGGTACACTTTGGGACGCAAGGGCGAGCCAAAGCTATTGGCATTGGGCTTCACGGTGACACAGTATCCCGCTTTCGGCCGGAACTCAAAGTGGAAGTCGTACTGCGGGTGGCTCAGATAATGAGCACGGAGCTGGCTGAGACGGTCGTTCTCGGCGCCGCACAAGAGACAGGCAAACCTCTCTGTCTGGACTTGTTCTGGTGGAAGCAAATACGTGACTGTGTGCTCGTCAACTTGGCTGTGCTCTTCACCAAGCTTCCGACGTTTCCTTGTTTCCTTGCCGACCGCATTGTTCCACATCTGCTTCACGTTGTAGTTAATATCTTGCCTCGTCCGCCGAGAACGACTCGGGGTGAGCTCGCCCTCGGCAAACTCGTCTGCTGGATCAAGCCCAGACCCATTGAGGTGCCCATTTAACGCAAGCCCTCCCTCGCTCGTTACATTTGTCTGGGGGCCCACCTGCTGTTGCCCACCGGCGGTACCGGCAACAGGGGGGTCGGCGGGGGGGCCGCCGCCCGCAAACGGTGTGGCGAGCTCGTGAGGATCAAACACCGAGATGGAAGGTTGGATGTCCTTAGCAAGCTCTCTTGACCTTGCTCGGTGAGACAGCGCAGTCAGCCACCGAACGTCCAAGTCGATGAGGAAGTTGGTGGGAACATCAACATCATTGAGGAGTTGCTTGTGCTTCTTGACCCGAAGGCGGATTGACTTGCGATTACGGTTGTTGAATATATCTGAAATGCTGGCTGTCAAGACCCAGTGACGCGGCGGCAGGCCTCTGTTGTAAAATTTCTCCTCATCGCTGACCGGCACTAAGTCCGTAGGTGGCCAGTTAACATCACCGGCTGACTCAAGCTCAAGAAGCACAGAGTACGTATTGGCAAGGCCGAAGACGGCATCGTCGTCGCGCTCGAGAAAGATCTTTTCCTCTGGAATGTGAAATGGTCGAATAGAGGAGAACCGCGCAATGGGGGCTGAGCCCGGGGGATGTTTGAAGATGCGGAGGCCGCAGACTTGGCTATCGACATGCAGGACAACTGGTTCGCCGCCCCTGAAGCCGCAGATGGTGAGCTTGCAGCGAGCCTTGACATAAATAACGTCGCGCACATTCGGGGCAATGACGCCATTTAAGATGCCGTTCTTGAGGCGAGGTGAATCCTTGTGGCTGACCTTGAGAAGCTCGATTCGAAGCGCACGTTGGGCTGCGCCATACCCTTCGAACAACGGAAACCCATCGTAACCATTGTCGATCCGGCGACGCTTTGCTGTGCGCTGTGTCTGGGAATCGTCTTTTGGGGGCCTGTCGTTGGAATCGTGTGGTTGCGACGAGAGCTTGTTGCTCATCTTAGATTCCCAATGGTTGGTGGCTTGAAGCCAGTTCCGATGGAGGAAGGGCAAGCCACGGCTGCGATGGTTAGAGGTTGTCATGGCTACCTAGCCGGTGTCATTACGGTGTTAATGACTTCTTTAGCGGCTGCTGCTTCACAGGACGCGCAACAGGAATCAACGGAATCCAGAGAGAAGCGAAGGCTGCATTATCCGGAAGTGGTACCGATAGTGGTGGCTCGAATGTAAAAGGGTTCTGAGAGGCACAGGTGTGGCCGAGGTCGGTTCGGCGTCCAGAACGGATGATGCAAAATGAACAAACGAATGAATGATTACGAATTATCCGTAAAGGGTGAGAAAAAGCGGGCGAAGATGGTGATGGTACGCGTGATGGACCTGAAGAAGGAGCGAATATAGCAAAGAACGGTGGCAGCCAATGGTGACCTAATTGAATTGTTAACCGCGCCTCATTCTCATGTTGGGCTTGTGGAATTGACGTTTGGCTGAAAACACGTGTGGATCAATAGGGAAGAGTATGCTTGGGGCATGGCGCGACTCCCTACCTCCGACGACAGCTTCTAATGCTAAAAAATGGATTTCTGGAATGAATTTACTATGTCCACCAAGTTTTCGATCTGGTGCATCTAACCAGATTGCATTGACGGAAAGCGGGAATTGCAAGAGAAGCGTGAAATGTGAAGGTGAGAACAAGACGCGTGACTGTCACCAAAGGTGACGATATGATTCTCCTATTCCAGGCCTCACTCCCCCAGGTTGTTATTGGCCCCAGGTTCATGTGTGGGGCATCGGCTCCCTAACGGTTAGCGGCGATCGCGGTAGCATGGTACCTATCTCACTGTGACAGATTCGCTCCTGCTGTGGGTAGCTCGCTAACGCGCCGCATCCACCCACCGGGAGGGTGTGAGAATGGGTCAATATTGGGGGGAAAAAAGCGTGCCGAGAGAGAATTAATGTGAGTAGGTAGTAATGCTATTGGATATTCAAAAAAAGAACGCAGACTCCCCAACTACAGTGTCAACAATTCCGAAATGTACTCGCCCCGCGCCACCATCGCTGGTGTTTCGCCTTTATTGTTTTTGACCCCAACCTCAGCGCCCAGTGCGATAAGAAGCTTGACAACGTGCACCGCCCCACTGTCAGCAGCATAGTGTAGCGGGGTACACCCGTCATTATCCCTCACCTCCAAGTCCGTAGCACCTTGTTCGATAATAAACTTGACAGGATCCACCAAGTTACGACAAGCAAGGTGCAGGATTGTCGACCCCTTATTATTCTTCACGTCCATATCCGCGCCCTGCTCGATGAGAAGCTTAACAACAGCCATATGCCCATAGATCACAGATGTGTGCAGTGCTGTCTGGCCATGGCGGTCCTTCGCCTCCTTATCAACACCTTGCTCGAGGAGAAACCGAGTAACTGCCTCGTGCCCCCCTTCAGCGGCACGCAATAGCGGTGTTAAGCCAGAACCATTTCTTGTTTCCTTGTCAGCACCTTCCTCGATGAGGAGCCGAACAGCAGCCTCGTGTCCGCGTCTGGCGGCGCAGTGTAACGGCGTATCGCCGGTCAGACTTTTGATCTCCTTATCGACGCCTTGGTCAAGAAAAACCTTGACAACAGCCGTGTGCCCGTTTTCAGCAGCGAAGTGTATCGGGACCAGAAGCGAACCACCACCATCGCTACCTTCAATGCTAGCGCCCATTTCAATGAGAAGCTTGACGGCATCGTCATGCCCGGTCTCTGCAGCATACTCTAGCGGCGTCAACTCGTGACTCCCCACTGCCTCTATGTCGATGCCCGAATTCTCAACAAGAGTCTTGATTATCTCAGCCCTCTCCTCAGCACTTCCCTTCCTCCTAATCGCAGCCAGGTGCAAGGCGGTTCCCGCCTGGTTGTTGCGCAACGTCACGTTTGCATATTCCAAACACGCGATGAGAGCTTCTTTGCTTCCTGCAAACGCAGCAAGATGCAGTGGCGTATTTCTCGACCCATCTGTCTGGTTTATATCTGCCCCAGCGTTTACCAGCATCCTCACCATTTCACCAGTCCCGGAATGCGCAGCCAAGTGCAAGGGCGTCATTCCGTAAATATCTCGTGCGGTGATGTCAGCTTTCGCTCGTATGAGTTGATGTAGATCGCTCGCCTGGTTAGTCTGGCAAACATGGTGCAGTGGTGTCCGTCCCTGGAGATCTCGAGTGTTGAGGTCCGCTCCTTGGAGGTCTCGAATATTAAGGTGCTCTCCCGGGCTTATATCGAAGAATTTGTCCACTCCCGATGAGCGGCTGATCGCATAGTTGAGAGCTGTCCAACCAAGCGCATCTTTCTCGCCCAAAACCACAGGTGGGGCAGACCCCCGGACGGATAAGCCGGGAACACGTTTAATTTCGGGAAGGCCCTGGAGCTTGGGAATCACGTCTCGCTCGTCTAAGGGCTGAATTGCTCGGGGCAAGGCAATGTTCCAAGGCCGACGTTGAAGTTGATAGAGCCCCAAAATGAACGCCAACACCCCATCGTCAACGCCATCCAAAGCTTTTGTCATGATATCCCTGTCCTTGTTCAACCGCTGGATCTGTGACCTGGGAGAGTGCAGAGCTTCGAATAGCTTGATAGTATCGTTGACAACCCTCAAGTGTTCCATCAGAACGGCGACCGCCCTGCCCACGATATCTTCTCGCAACCCCTTCGTTACCTGAAGAAGCCACAGACAGACTTCAGTTGTCCCGTCCATGGGCGCAAACTGCCCACGTGGATAGGCCCGCCCTTGTGCCCATTCAATGATGGCGTCGGGCTGTGGTAACTTCCGTTCGATGCTCAGGGGTGGAATGATAGCAAGGTAGACGTCTCCTAGGGTTCCAAGTCCGGTGCTGTGGATGTCTTGGGCCATCTTGTGAAGTTTCCCGTTGTGCAGCGCGAATGACTTCCACCCCATGGGCGCGCTGCCCCCTTCTGAAGGCCGAATGCCGGCTCCACCTGGAATCGGCGCCGTCATCCTCTTCGCCACAGCCCACATGAAGGCAGTGAACATGTGCAGAGCATATAATGTGGCGAGAGGGACGGAGGAGTCCACGGCCACGGTCCAAGTGGCTTGATCGGGTGTCAACGCCATACTGCTGTCATCAGAGGTAGAAGCACCCTCGCCGGGGATAGGACTGTGACAGATATATGAGCCAGGGCCCCAGGTGGACGCAGGCCCGACTATTCGATGGTTCTTCACCTCGATCATGTTGTTGCGGCCTTGTCGCTCACTCTCCATATATGCCCCGATAACGTTAGTATCACTAAACACAGGTATCCACCACCGGAGCTCCTGGATTAGGGTGTCGGTAAATGGGCCTAGGAGTCGGAGGCTACGCTTTGTTTGTTTTCCCTTGATACGCAGCCACTTGTCATCTTCTCCTCGCATTGATTTAAACACAAGGGATCCTCTCTCGCTGGTCCTGCGATTCCCATGTTCCACTTGCTGGTTACCCCCTACACCATTCTCCGGTGTTTCTTCAAGGTTAGCCACCGAGTATAGCCACAGCGATAGTCCGGCTTCGAGCTCGTCCGAGAAAGCCTTCCAGTGTCCGGTCCTGAGTCGCTCCACACGAAATGCTACCGATGATCCCGCGGAAGAGCTCGAAGTAGAGAGGTGCCAGGTAAGATTCTCATTGCCTCCTGGTTCTGTGCCAAACAGTGTGTCCATGGTAATCTCAATCGCACGCGCCAGAGCAATTGCCTCGGCGGATGCCGGTCCTTGCCAGTCCGACACCTCACCAAGATCTCTTCTTAACATCATTGCTCTGTGAGCCCTTGTTGCTAATGGATTTTCAGGCCCGTCAGAACTCGCAGTATTGGTGTCTTCCAGCGCTTGGAGCTTTCCCAGGGGCTCAACAGCGGCGGTTTTCCAATCCCACGGTCTGCTCGACCGATCCAGCTCGCCGTTGTTTTGGGAGGCATCTCCGTTGTTCCCAGCCTGGGTGGCCCCGCCGTTGTTGAGGGGAATGCGCCAGGACGCTCTCGCGAGTCCGCTAGTTAGAGTCATAGCCAACCAGTCTAACTCGTGGCCTGAAAGTAAACGCTGGGATGCCGGCAACTGTGCGAGATTGCGGCGAACCCATGCCCTAAGGCCCACCATCAAGGCTACCGCGATTAGCTGGGCGATCGATGACGACCAATGCATCCCGCGTAAGCCAACAAACTGAGCGACGAAGCCGCAGAGGCTGATCGTTGCTCCGATAACGGCGATGGTCTCTCCAAGTACCAAAGTAGGTGACGAACCGTGTGTATCCTTGCGCTGGGACGTTGTGATTATTGTTTGGGGTTGCCTGGGGAATATAGCAAATGATTCGAAGGTCTGGTCGTTAACTGTGCCCGACTGTTGCAGCCATACAACACGGGCCTCGTCCCCGACTGGCCGGTATCGTCTTTCCAATGTGGCACCCTCGACAACGTGGCTACAAATGAGTACACCTGTTACCAACAACAGGGTCCCTATCGCGTTACAAGGAAAGGCGTAGTCGGCGACAGCCTTCCCATCCTTGAGCCAGTTAGAGTTAAGCGTAGGGTGGTACGCAGTAAACCCAGAAAAGACTAGGACGCCGAGCTGAAGGAGAGTACCGAATAACGCAACCAGATATAGCTCTCCCCGGCTTACCCGACTCCGTACATTGAGCGTGAGGCTAGGCGCGGGCACGTCCAAATTCCGAATAACCACAACTGGGCGGTTGTCACGGTCAGTCCCGAGCCCCGGATTGTTGCCTGTGTCGGGCACCTTGGAACAGGTGTCATCCAGCGTCATGTGCATGGCTTCCTCGAGATCACCACTATGCGGGGGGTTGTTCTTCTTGAGAATTGACTTGAACATCCCGACTATCTTCGAGGGGTCGAAGATGCTGTCCTGGAACGTGCGCACTGGTACGGCTGTTAGCACTTAAACTGGGAGAATAGCAGAGGTTTTAGTGGCGACTGACCGTACTCAGTAAGGTATCGATCCTGAACCTCATGGACCTCGTTTTTACGATTCATCAACCCCTTTACCTGTACCTCCTTTACCGACCCTCGATCTCCGTCACCCTCCTCGGGGATGAGGATGATGAATTCACGGATCGGTCCCGCCCCCATTACACGTACAATATCCCGACCGTTCCACAGCTCGCAGACCTCCTTAGAAGTCGAGGACATTAATTCGGCCTCGACTACCGCCCGGTTCTCCCTTGCCCTCCCGATAATAGCTCGAAGCCACGTCGGGCCGCCAACCCTAATAGCCCCGATGACGGCAGTAATGATGCCCAGCGGGGCCACGGCCAGGATAACATTGTCGGACCATCCCGTGGATTGACTCATGAATTGCATGGTAACTCTCTCCCCAAACAGCGCTAACAGTCTATATACCAGCGGGACGTGGATTAGCGCCATACAATTCTTAGCACGGTCAATATCACGTACGGCGCTAAATCAGAAAACAGGTTGTTGGAGAAGTCATCTCCAGCGTCATTGGCGGCAACGCATGTCGCAAGGAGGGCTCCGACGAGGAGCCGAACCACCAAGGTGGTTAACATGTCGACACAGGGAATCTTGAATAGGAAAATCGAGGTCGAGGCTCGCTCGAGCTGAGCCGATTATTTCGTTGCGAGCCTCGCCATTTGAAGAAAGAAGGGAAAGTAGACGACAACAATTCAATCAGCAGGCAACATTGAGAGAGTTTCGTGTCTGGAACTCGGCGTTCACGATGGACAGAGCCTTGTCGACGACCCCTGCCACAGCACCCTCAGGGGTACACACGGTGCCGCAGTCTCCTCACTGCACTGCGACATTATCAAAACATTGTGCGACCCCGGACGGTTGAGCGAGCCTCGCCAGTGCAACACCGTTTCTGGGTGACGTGGCTGTGTGGGCAGCTGAACTCACACATCGCATGCATGCAATGTGCCGAATCACATTGGCTCAGATGTGCCAAATCACAAAAGTTTAAACTTCGAAATATGAACTTCAAAGAGAACCTGTGAGTTTTTGAATTGGCGCGTTCTAAAATAGCCTATGGATTGAATAGGAAGAGCTTGGTATCCGCGCGTATGAGACAGTCACAGTAGCTGTGACAGTATCTGTGTACATACTTACCTCAGGTAGGTACCTAGGTAGGTAGGTAGCAGAGGTATGTAGGCTTTAACACCTTGAAACGGTGTTCTCTCATATCCGGTGATTATTACAGCTTGTCTAGACTGTTTCCGGCTCTCTTGTTTTGGTGACCACAACTCAGGTATGTACATGTCCCTAGGTAGGTATGCAGGTAGCTCAATACTTTCAGATGTTAAAGTCTTTACATCATCATAGGTGTCTTGTCCCGAGACGCTGAGGTATTTCTATCAGTACCTACCTCCCTGAATCTTTGGGGTTCGGTACCGTTACGCAGCCCAAACAGGTTGCCTTCCGAAACTCGATCCCTTCCCATCCTCCTCTTCCTAGGCTGTCATACCATGTACATACAATTACACTTTGAGCACCAACTCTTGCGCCCGGGGGATTTGTAGGTACCGGTTCCGCCATAATGAATCGATTTAATCAGCTTAACAGCAAATTCCAAGCCCCGGTGGTAAGCTAGAGCGCCTCGTCAATGTTGCATTTCGTCGTGCTCGTCGAGTACATCTCGGGTTATCATTCCACTACATTACGCGACAGTTCCTACGAACAAGACGCCTCGGAAACCAGTAGGCTCCATGAAGTGGACAGTATAGCGAGCGAGAATCAAGCGGTGGCCTGGAATTGGACGCGGATTATATGCCCTCTTTTGATTCGCCTTGTGCGCCGGACCCACAGCGTCTTTCTCAATCGCTAGATTCCAGTCTCTGTTCCAATTCCTAAAGCCTAAACAAAGCCTGAAACCATTGCCCTAATAAGCAAAGAGAGAGTAGCAACGCATAGTAGCGAGTATCGTCCTTATGTCACCGCTATCATCTGGTTGGATATTAAAAAAAGTGTTAGAAGATGATAAAGTAGAGGCAAAAAACGAGAAGGACAAATAAATGTAATCGCCTCTTCTCGTTACCAAGCATATGCCCCATCCGAGTCCTCATCCTCTCCCATCCAGTCGTCGTCTGACAGGTCATCATTCTCATCATCAAGGAAATCATCCATTGTCAGTGTCGTCTCTACCGATTTTTGGTTGTCCAGTTGGACCTCCACCTTTTCGCACAAACCATGGCGGAATGTCACTTCTTCTCCATCTCCATCGCCTGTTCTCGAAGAAGACGCTGGAGAGTGCGGCCCGGCGCTCTCCTCATTCCTCTCACCTAGCTCATCCCCACCTTCGTCATCCATATCCATGTCCTCGTCTGTATCCGGATCAGCATACGATGGCCGGTTGAGCCCGTGACGCAGATCTCGGCCAATGCTACTGGCGCGAGATGACGGATGTGACGACTTGGCGGTGATACGACTGCTTCGGCGGGAAGGGACATCGGGAACGGTAGTCTTTTGAGTGGTTCTGGAAGTGCCACTCTTCTTGCTCACGCCCTTGACTGGATTTCCTGGGTCCTGGGGCAGTCTATGTCTTAAGGAAAAGAGCGACGTGGGGTCGTGGAACTCGCGCAAAAAGATGTGTTTGAGCTTGCGTGCCCACTTGTTGCGAAGATGAGAGCGCTCTTGGATGGGGATGCTCAGCATGGCTTTGAGATCGATTCGGCGGAGGCTATGCAACTTCGGGGCAGCGTCGACGAGTGACCGGAAGAGCGTTTCAGCCGCTTCGGCCGTCCATTTCTTCATGTTTAACATCTGGAGAGATTCCAGACTCTCAGGCCACACAGGCACTTGGCCCGCCATGAGAAGTTGCTCATAAGACGGGTCTGAGTCGTGGTAAAACTCGTGGTGGTTGAAAGTCTTGCAGTCCACGTAAAGCAGCCGCAGGTTTGGGCACGCTTCTCCAAGGATGGTAACAAAGGAAAGATCGAGGGACTGATTGTGGAGTAGTAAGAGGCGCTTCAGTCGGTACCCACTCGAGAGGAGATAGCTGGAAAAGTCTTCGCCCTTGACGTCCCAGCAATTGATCAACTCCAAGGATTCGAGGTTCTTGGGGAGCAATGGAAGTAGCCGCCAGTTCACCGCGGTCGACGACTCAAATGTGAGGTGTTTGAGAGCCGGCAAAGCGTTGATTGCGTTTGCGAGTTTCTGAATCATTTCCTGGTCAAGGGTGTCAATCTGGTGGTCGTCATCGGCCTCTTTCGCATGAAGCGAAGGGACTTGGTAGTTGACAAATGTGACTTTCTCCAGACCTACAAACGCAGGGGTTTGGTGAAGACTGGCGATACCATCGAGATTGAGGTCTGATCCCATCAGCCGCCGATTCCACTGCCACGCGGCGAGTCGTACATGGTTGTGACCCGGGGTCCCCCGCCTTGGATTGGGGTCTCCATTGAGACCCCAGAAGAGAGACACGGGATAGCTCCATCGCAAGTTGCCTTCGAGGGAGCGATAAGGCGGGTCATCTTTCCAGTGGAGGAACTGCAGAGACTTCAAGCGAGGTACATTCCTAACGAGGCCCTCGAGATCTAGCGGCCTACCCTTGAATGTCCTTGACGAAATTTCCTCGACGTCGACCACTAGCTCTATCACCTTGTTCCGGTAATTGAACAACGTTGTCGACGGGTCTTTGGCAAGTAGCGAGACAAGACCGTGAGTCATAGATCGGGTCAGCAACGGCGGCGCTTCGTATAGAGGGGTCAGAGCGGGCTCTGCAAACGCGCGGCAAACACCACTTGTTGCAACGAGCCATTTGACCTGGTCTAACTGAGTGAGCGGCGCTGCCGCATCTCGGAAAATTTGGAGAAGTATGAGATAGGGAAGACTGGCCCAGTCGGGTATGAAAGGACTGTCCTCCGCGGCGACCGTGTTATCTTTGGCCGTCGGGGTTTTCTTGGCCGCTTGCTGAAGAGGGCTCTTGATTGCTCGGGTGAGAGATTTTGACTTTTTCGGAGTTATGGTCCTAGAAGCCTTCAAATTGCGTTGTTTGCGAGGAGTCGATTTCTGCTCCACCTTAGGGCTAGGGCGGAGGAGGGGTTCGTCGTCCTCATCGCCCTCATCGTCTCCATCGTCCCAGGTCTCACTATCCTCCTCGTAAAATCCCAATTTGCGGGTGGACGGGCGAGTCCGTTTTGCCTGCTGGCTTTGGCTTGCGCTCTTGGATGATGATCTCGCCCGTTTGTGCGACCTGACTGGGATGCTGAGCAGTGGAGGCACCGTCGAGCTCCTGTTGGTTGGGGAAGTGATGGTGAGTGCAGCCGAGCTCCTTGTCATTCGGCCGCCGCCCGCTTTCGGAACGGCACTACCCGCCGGACGAGCCGGCATGCCGGGTGCTTGGCGCGGCCGCAGACAGCGTGCCGACTCAGCGGGTTCCATGTTGTCGTTAATCTTGTGAAGTTTCCCGAGGATGGTACGGAAAATTGGTGTCTTGTCGAGGAATCATGGGCGCACTATCCCGGCTCTTGCAATTCAAATTTTCTGAAACTGGCAATCGGGAATTGGTGGGTTGATGAGGGAAGATTCAATAGAGACCGGACGGAGTTGAAGTACAGGCAACTTGAAATGAATGAGGTGGTGGAGTGGTCGACAATTGTAGCCTTGGCAAGGCCTTTCGGAAACGCTCGACAGCTGTTTGCACCTGGCGCTCTTTAAATCAGCATTACCACCAGGTCCGTGCTAGATGCGATGTAATTACTCCGTACATGGTATCTATGGTATTGACACCAAACCCACACGTCAGTGATGACATATGGCATGAAAAAGACTCATGGCCTTTTCATCGCGGGATAATCATTTAGGAAGCCAAGGCGAGTTTCTATTCACTACCAACAGAAGCATTGTAAGTGGAGGCAATCTCCTAACCACCACCCCACTGTAGCACGAAAAGCCCATTCGCCTACCTCCGGATCCCCATGACGCCGGTGAACCAAACCATGGAAGCATTTGGCCTCTAAATTAACCCTTACCACCCATACTCTTTGATAATGCGACTCTCTAGCCGTGGTTTACTTCGACGTCTTTTCATCGTCCTCACCCTTTCTCTTCACTGCCCCCCTTAATGTTTGTCCCTGCCCTGCAAAGTGAGGTTGTTTGGAGCTCGCCACCTCTCTTTCTTTGTCTTCCGCTGTCTTCACCGGTTTGATCTCGTAACCCAAAAATAACTTGGTTGGGGGGAGACGGAGAGGAGCCGGCCCGTTAGTTCGCCGCAAAGGCACCGCAGCAGCGTTATTTGCGGCCGAGGACCCGGTAACAGGTGTTGTAGGCTTCGGCGTGGGAGCTTTACTGCTTCTTTTTGAGGTCAATCTTTGCCCTTCCCCCAAGAAGTTGCCAGCCAAAGATGCTGCTGAACCCGGTGCAATCGAGTCATAGTTGATCGCCTGTGCCATGGTCCCTTGGTTGTACAACAGGCCCCCGGGAGGCACACCCTGGCCCCCACCTCGCGCACTCCGGGGCGTGCTCGTGCCACTGCCCTTAGTCGTTCTCTCTGGCTCGACGTAACCGACAGGAGGGGCAAAATCGACGCTGACATCTGTCTCAATCATGCTCACGCCCATCTTATCTGTCTCCGGCTTCACGTCCAGGACCGCCATATCGTAAATCTCATCGTTGTATTCGAAGCTGAAAACATCACCCTTAGTTAAGGAGGCGAAGTTACGGAAAGCTTTCTCGAGGACGGCGCGGGGGTCGGTGATTTCCAGAAAGTTGACAGATTGGGGTTGCAACTTAACGAGCTTCGCAAGCTCGAGTGAGGTGGTCTTGACTTGGATCATGTCACCGACGTCTAGTTGAAGTGATTGCATCATCTACCTTCGGTCAGCACAACCGAGCGAGGTACGAGAATTCAAAGGGAATTTCCCACTCACCCATTGTGGAATGTAAGCTCTCCCCTCCTCCGCAACGAACTCCAGCACGCCCGCATGGGTGTGTTTGCTCGTCGCCCCGTTGATGAGTTCTAGCATAATCGGCCACTGGACATGCAACCTCGACACCTTATCTAAAGCAGATGGGGGAAGGAAGATCTTGGAGCCGTAGTTAAGCTCGGGGCGCTCTGCACCGGGGGCCATGATGAGGGGGTAACATCGGTAGTATTCGTCGAACCGTTGTGCGCGCGGAGCTCGTAGTCCACCTCCATAGCCGGCTCCGCCGGGGTTGAAGGGGTTAAACTGTGTTCGCGACATTAGCGTCTGGTACTGAACAGTCCACGCGATGGACCTCCAAGCGCGGGGTTCGGCTCACCATCGCGATGTTGGGTGTTGAGACTTTAAGCGCGCGAAATGTGGTGATTTATCCCGGGGAGGCAGGGGCTGCGGCGTAGATGCGAGCCTCGAAAGAACTGCTGTGGTGGAAGTTCAGGTTATGGCGAGGAATATGGATGTTGTTGAATCGGAAATCGGGCCTCCCAAGCCCGCTTGAGGTGCAAGTTGAAAAGGCAACCATGGGTGACATCAGGCCGTCCGGGGGTGACCCGCAGCGCCACTGTGAATGGAGCCCACGCAAGCACTGTGCGGGGTGGACATGCTGCTGTGGGGTTCTCACGTTAGCGGGTCATCTCGTCATGTTCAGTTGTGTGGCGGGACCTCACAGCAGCAAGCTCAGGTGCTCCGGTGGCACTGGACAACCAATGCATGGATGCGACATGTCGGTAGCTAGGATGGGAATGTTGTTCACGCCTTCCTCCTATTTTTCTCCAGGCCTCCTTGCAACTAGGCAGAAAGCGCCGTAAATTTATCCTCTATTCTACGCCATTATTTCACGCTTACGATACTCTTGGGCCCATCTCCTCCCATAATTGTTGGCGCACAGATTAGGTACTCCGCGCATCTCGCGCATTCGACGTTTTCCGCCCCACCCCACCCCCGATCGCCGTCGACGAACTTGCGGGAGGATGGCTTCCAGATACTCGGCCGCGCGTCCAAAACGGGCGGGCGAAGCATTCGCTCGGGTACACCACGGCGAGGAACGTGACGAAGGTTCCCCTACGCTCAAAAAGGTCAAGTTTGACGTTCGCAACCCATCAGCACTGGCGCCGAGTGCCCGTGACGAAGATGAAGATAACGACGGTGCCCTCGAAGCGGACGTGATTGGCGCATCTGGGAGAGCCACGAAGCGCGGCGCAGTTAACATCGACGGTTACGATTCGGATTCAGACAACGAGACATTTAATGCGAGGGCCGAAGCCCGAGGCAGGAATGGGAAGGCGGCCGAGGATGTGGACCTGGCCGAGGTGATGGATAATTACACTTCCAAGGATGATAGTGGCGGAAAGGGCAACGTCGAGGATGATGAGGTGGATATGTTTGGCGACCTTGACGATGGGGACGCGACGGCAGCAGATGACGACAGGACGTCCGGTAGAAAAGACAAGCAAGTCCGTTTCCTTACCGACAAGGAAATCCAGGGTCAGGAAAACGCTAGCAAAAGTGGCGGTACAGTACGGATAGATGGGTACCCCGGCAATAGTGGGCGGGAAGAGGGGGAGGAGGAAGAGGATGATGAGGACGACGACGACGACGACGAGACTGTGGCTCTCGCCATCGCAGAAGAAGGGGTCGATGCAGAGGTTGGCTTGGGGGGCCTTAAAAAGCACGCGCCCAAGATTGACGCATTTAATATGCGGGAGGAGCAAGAAGAAGGTGCTTTCGACGAGGCGGGTAACTACATTCGCAAAGCCGCCGATGAGGACGCCGCACACGACCGGTGGCTAGAGGGTATCAGCAAGAAGGAGATGAAGCGGGCAGCCGCAGCGCATGATAAGCGCGAAGCGGAGTTACGCAAGCAACAGCGCGAGAATGATAGCGTTTTGACAGGTGACTTGTTCAAGGAGCTCATCGTGATGCTGGAACCGGGCGAGACGGCACTAGATGCACTAGGGAGGTTAAGGAGAGGTCAGACGAAGCAGTCCAAAGCGAAAAAGCTGCCAAAGTGGAAGCAGAAAAGGATCAAGGTCGCAAATGGAGGGGACGTTCAAGCTACCGAGGCAATGGACGTTGACACGAACAAGGAGCCGGAAGACCCGGAACAAGTACGGATCCGCGAGGCAATAAATGCCATCGCCGACGCGGCGGACAAGCTTATGCAGCGGGACTATCCGAACATCTACGACCGGGAGCGGGAGCGACTCATACGCGAGTACCGCAACGAGACGGGCGAAGCATGGGTTGAGCCGCCGCCGCCCGGGTCAGACGAGGCGGGCGAGAAAGGTGGATCTAAGATGTGGGAGTTCCGTTGGATCGATGGGCGTGATGGAGCGCCTAAACAAGGGCCGTTTGACGGGCCGACCATGAAAGCGTGGCAGGATGCTGGATATTTTGGCGAAGGAGTCGAATTTCGGCCGGCAGGGAAAGAAGGGGAGTGGTCAAGAGTAGCCACATTTGGGTAAAACTTCAGATTGTACTCAGCGTACCCCAACACAGAAGCAAACCCCAGGACCTGTAGAGAGGAGCGGGTTCGCCGGCCGTAAGCCTCGTTCCCGCGTCTATGAATGACAGAATGGTACATGATCCCAAATCCTTTCCCTCCGTAAAAATTGTAGTCAGTGAAACCCAGTTTTGTCCCCGCCCCGAAAAACGCCCGCAAAACAACTTTGACATCGCCCCTTCTTTGATCTAGCTCGTGTCCATCTTCTCCCCAATGACATTTCCGGCCGCCTTGACGGTAAAGTCAACGCCACCGTCATCACCAATTAGACGCTTCTCGGACTCGGTCACAAACCGCACACTCCTGGTTGGGTCGTAGAAGAGTTTGAAACTTCGCTGGACGTCGTCCACGCTGACCTGCTTGGCGCGCCTCTTCGCGCAGACGAGCTGCGATGTGGTGATGAGGTTGCTGGAGTAGCGAAGCCCGGCCTCCTGGCCAATCTTGGTGAGCAGCGCTAGGGCGTCAGGCGTGAGGTCCACCTCTTCCTCCTGCGCGCGGATAGAGAGAATTTGGCGGAGTTCATCTCCAGTATAGGCATGCGTGTTGATGATGGCGACGCGGTCAAGGAAGTCGAGCGGTAGGCCGTGCGGGCTCTTGTAGTCGGTTCCTCGGATGCGCGAATGGCCGCGGTTGCTCGCCATGATAACAATGGGGGCCAGGTCTGACTCGAGCGCCCGATTGACGTAGGAGAAGCATTCAATGTCCAGCATGTGGACTTCGTCAATGAACAGAACGCCAGGGACAATCTCGGCTTTCCCCTCCTCCTTCCACTCACCAACCTTGGTGTTGATCTGGTCCCGGATCTCACTCCTGATCTCACCCGTGTCGCCAGAGAACAATGCAAGGAAGCCCTGCGTCCGTGAGTTTATGACATCAATTTCATGCAGAGACACCGTATGCACGACCTCTTTGCGCTTCTGAAGCTCGCCGTCGGGGCACTGGAGGAACTTGGTGTCGACTCCCATGGCGTCGTAGTCGCGGGACCTAGCATACGACCTGCCGAGCTTGGTGATCTTGCCCGACGACTTATCGATCGAAATAATGTCGCCCGCCATCACACGTTCCTTTGTCATGGCATCAATCATCTTACTTCCCATATCGTAAATGGCTTCCATGTCGGTCGTCTTGATGGTGAGTTTGCCCTGCTTCGCACCGCCCGTCACACTCCTGTCGATCTGGATCTCCACCACCTCGCCCTCCATAATCTCACTCTCCTCCTTGATCCTAACACCAATTGACTTGCGGAAAGCCTGGGTGAGAGCCTCGGTCTTTGACATTTCGAGCGAGAAGATTTCCGAGGCGGCGAGAGTCGTGAAGGGGACGTCGGGGCCGAGCGATTGAGCCATTCCCATGGCAATTGCTGTCTTCCCAGTGCTAACAGGCAAAATCCATCATCAGCAAAAATCTTCGTGGAGGCCATATCGCAAGCGCAAAAAGCCTACCTAGGAGGGCCGGCAATCAGCACAGCGCGGCCAGCAATCTTGCCCTGCTTGATCATCTCCAACACAACCGCAGCAGCCTTCCGGGCTTTCTCTTGGCCGACCAACCCTTGCGACACCGCCCTGGGCTCCAAGGTGTCCGCATCGACGCCGAGCCCTCGAATGTGTGAATGTGCCGCGATCAGGTTGAGCCCCCGGAGCTCTTTGCTCTCGGAGACAGTGACGACAGGCTGCATCAAAGGGCGTTAGTTCAACTGCTATTGATTGTGTGGTATAAAACTAATTGATTAATTGCCCCCAGAACAGTAGTTACTTACAGCAGCCATCTTGAATTGAAGTTGGTGTGCTAAAATCGGTCACGCTGAGCTGGTGTTGTGATAAACGCGGCTCAAAGTTCGCGAGGCAAGAAGCCAAGCTTGAATGTAGGTGTGGGGCTCAAGTTAGTCAGCAATTCGTCCTGGATGCGCAGGACCACTCCTTTGCCCATCGTTGGCTTGGACTTGGAGGAAAAGAATAAGATCACACAGGTGTCAGTCAGCCTCCCCTCACGTGTTCTCCCCATTCGGGAACTAGGGTTCAAATTTCCACATTCGAAACGAGAAACTCTAATTAGTTATTTGACTTATTCTTGGTCTCAGCACCCTCAAAGGTGAGCGAACGCAGTGCCAATTCTATCCCCCAGGTTCGAGAACATGGTGCAAAGACCGTCTTCTAGGTTTTTAGTTCGGCACCGTTCCCTGTAGCGTGTAAAAGTAACCCCACAGGCTTTAACTACTCCTCCAGTCAAATGGCCATCACTCTTCTTGACTTCCCTTGCCTTTTTTCAACTACACCGCCAGTTGCCCGCTGCGTTAAAAACAAAACAAGCCGGAGGAAACGAGGCGGGGTCCATTCTCTGTCGAGCGCCCGGCCTCGTTCGGTAGCTCACGTTATTCGTAGGTGCCTTGCTTTTGCTTGCCTTTCGAACGTTGTGCCTTGGCAAGAGTTACACACAAGTACCAGACACCATTGGTTGCTATGTCACGCCTCTCAGCCCAACCCAAACGGCCCCCATTTCTATTTATCGATTGTTCGTTCACCTCGTCTTCAGCTTTGAGGGAACCAACGCGCCAACAGCCCAACTTCAAACCTTCAAACAGGAGCTCCCCGATTTGCTCTACCCGATTTTTATGCTCGCGTGTCCCCCGTTGCATGCGGCTCGCCATTTCTCTCGTCACCATCAGCATCCGCATCACATCTTCGGTCGAAAACGCGTTGCGCGCAAGCTTGCAAATTCGAATCGCGCTCCATCAAGAGTGTGGGGAACCCCTGTCCGACCATCAGCCCAAAGTCGCGCGACTGCCAGCCCGGAAAAAAACTCCTTGATTTTAGGAATTGATACAAGCTTTGGTCGTCCGCCGACATCACATTCTGAGAGGGGGTTCTATCGCTGTAAAACTCGGCGTGGGGTTATTTGCACTACCCGACACTTCCTGCTTCTTGACTCGCACCCAATTCGGTTCCCGGTCGAAGGACCCAAGCCCATGCGCAGCCAATAGCCGCTATAAGCGCGCTACTCCGCGGTGGTGTTTCGTTTCCCGATTGTATACCCATCACTCCTTGCGCCGTTTCGGCTGAGTGTTTCAAGCCTGGTCGAACGGAATATGTCGTACAGATCATCGTCCGACGCATACTCCCGACGTCCTACAGGAGATGATCGGCGCAACGTCGACATACGAGACCGCCGCCGGGAGAGTTTCCAAAGATCAACCTCAGATTCCTATAAAGAAGATAGGTATCGTCGGGATGCCGATGCGGTGGCCCGGGATCGCCGTATTCCTTCGGATACTTCTCGCGATGCGCCGTCGGTGAACTCCCCAACGAAACCTCCAAATTCCGCCTTTTCTGCGCGCCCTGACCTAGGAACGAGAACCGGTGAGTCCGACCCTCCCTATCCCGACCCGTCCCCCGGCCCGCTTGTTTGGTGTAGTACTAACTTGCTCCCTCAGCGCCTTCTCGGTCCCCGACGAAGAGCCCTGACCTGGACAAGGGTTCCCCACAGGAAGCGCTTATGAGCTTACTTAGGCAGCATGATGAGGCAATCATTGAAGTTGCTAGACTCCGGGCAGAGCGCGACCCTCTCGACAAGGTCTTGAAACAGAGGCAGGCGGAATATAGCAAATCGATGATAAAACATGCCGAATTTCCTTCTATTCCTGAGGTACAAAATCTGCACAGGGTGAGGTATGCCGAGCGCGTGCGTGTTCTCGACGCCCAGATCCAAAAGTCACAGGGTATCGTTGATAACACGGCTCGGTCTATTGCCCAGCTTGTTGGCAGCGGCTTGCCGTCGTCTGGTGCGGGCAAAGCCGCACCGGTCGCTTCAGCGGTCGCGGCCCCGCAGATAGATGCATTCAAAAAGTCACTGCCCGAAATCAAGGAGCTTAAATCAAGGCTAGCCAAAATCGAGTCGGCGCACTCACAGGAAACGAAGGATCTCAAAGAGGAATTTGAGAAACGTTTCGCCGAGATGAAGGAGCAAATGGCGGAGATGGCTAAAGTGCCAAAAGAGACAGACGGTGCTGCGGCGACCAAGAAACTAAAGGAGGAGGTGTTAGGGGAAGTCAGGGACGAACTCCGTGTGGTACGGAAGGACCTTGAAAAGCAACGATCTAAAACCCCCGAAGCGGTTTCGACCTCCCAGGTCTCGTCCCTCATCGAGAAGGAAAGCTCTGCTTTAAAGGCCGACACCTCCGGACTATTGAAGAGGGTAGAAGAGCTCGCCGGACAGCTGGTTCGGAATACCCAAGATACTCTCTCGCTGCAAAGCAACTTGTCGGGATGCATCGAACGAGTGAACAACGAAGCCCGAAAGGTCGAGGAACACGAGGCGAAACTTTCATGTCTCGACACAGAAGCCCTCGAAGGCGTGGCCGAGACCATGTCGATTGCTTTCCCGGATCTCCAAAAGAAGGTGGCGGAGGTCGAAGCCAAAGCTATCTCGCAGCAAAGCCTCGACACGCAACAAAGCACACTCTTCTCTCAGGTACAACAGTATACGGATGCAGTTGGTGAGAATATGGCTTCCCTTGTCGACCAGGTGCAGACCGTCGTATCTGAACTAGCGAGGCGGGTCGCAGACTTGGAGCATCCGTCTTCGGATACGATTACGAACCAAATCCGTACGGACAGTGGACTAGGTGACATGGGAAAAGTGAGGCTCGATGCAATCAACTCCGAGCTGACCGAGATCAAGTCTGAGTTTGACGCAACTAAGCATACGGTCCACCAGCTCACCCACAACATCTCCGCCATCGTTAACGAAGACTTCAGAAAGCAGCTTGCAGCCGTCCGACACGCCATCACGGTCCTCGACGGCCAGTTCAATAACCTCTCCACCAAAGCACTCGCGGAGCAAATAATTGGTCACCTCGAGCAGCTGTACCCTAATGCGCATCAGCTCACGCACGAGACTGACCATTTGAAACAACGCGTGGGCGCGCTGACATCACGGATCGATAGCATCGAAGGGCGTATGGGCGACTTGAAAAGTGGCATAGCTGGCGGCAGGATCTCGGAGGGGAAACCCCTTAGTATGGCCAATGTGCCGGATGTACATGGCCAGGACAACGAGAGCAGGCAGCCCAGCGGCAGCTTCAAACGCAGAAGGACGGATTTGGGGCCAAATGGGGCCGACAGGCTCGTGACGAATGGGGCCGAATAGAGCGGAAACATGTCCCAGTGTTTGAGACCCTCTGCTTTCTTTTGTTTTTCTTCTTTGTCCTCTGTCATGGGTGGGGGCGTTGGGCTTTGGCGCGGACGCGTGGGCCGTGCTTTATGTGCATCTGCTCAACTTAGGTAGTTAGTTTTTGTTTGTACCTTTTTTCCTGTGGATCGGCTGTTGGGTTTATACCTGGGAGGTGAGCATTGACCGGGGGTGGGTACGGTACACCTGTTTTGTATTTGTACTACTAGTCCATGTGCCAACATAGGTATCGCGTATTGTAATTCGAGACTCCGAAGTTGCTTAGAGCGTTGCGGTCGGATGGCACACCAAATCAGACACAGGATTCCCATGTCAAATCTTGCAAGGATTGGCCTGTTTGGAGTCCGCCTGGAGGTCCGAGGTACGGTGTAATTCCGATAAAAAATACCCCAAAGGTGAAGGATGGAATTGAATTCACTGGGCTGTATTGTGTAGAGACATCTTGCGAACAAAGGCGGGCGCGTCTGAGCTCCATGTTTTGCCGCCAGCGCACGGAGTCAATTCTTGGTCTTGTTGAAACAAGGACGCTGCCAGTGTGAATGTGAGTAAAACTTCAAGTGCATATCATCGTACAGGTTTTAATCCGATGTAGTTTGGTACCTCCTTTCCAATCTAAATGATAGACGGCAGTGAAGGAAACTCTTGAAAACTACCTCTACCCGGCCACCATTGAGCTCGCTGTGTAATGTTCCCAGCCCTAGGGCATTCTAGTCGGTCATCTTATCTCTTCTATGATCTTCAATTTATCAGGGTAGGAAGATCTTAGTTTCAGGCCACTTAATATTTAGGGCGGCTGGTCCCTGCTATGCTGTTCTTGTCGCTGTCTGTTTGTTTGTCGTACAGACGGCCCCCTCGGTACCTATGACACCTGGACAGAAACACAGTGCTTTGTGGCAAATTCCCGTGTGCGGCCCTCGAGCAATGCCTCAACATCCCCGGCGACTTATAGTTGTCTTTACTTCATGCCTGCCTCTTTATGGAAGCCAATTACGACTGAGGTAATTGAAACAAATGCATCGTCTCATCATCAAAAGAGAAAGCTGTAGAATGTGGTCAATAATACCACCTAGGAGCGGAAACGGCCGAGTGGCAGATGCCGTGGGGCCTGAATTGGGATATCTCAGATATCTGCAGGGGTGGTGGTTGCTGGCGTGGGGACCCACCTTTGCGCAGCGTGGGATCCCTTTGCCCAGCGGGAAACCAGACAAGCACCCAACACCCTGCAACTCTCTCCACTGTTTTGCGCGCGGAATCCCACCCTCGGCATGCTGCGCACATCCACCACGTCCGGCCCCGTCACATCACATCACCGCTGCCGAGTCCTGCGCCATCTGATACCGATCAACGAGCCGGCTCGCGGCACATCGCAGCCCGACGCTGTTCCTGTATTCAGATTACCGCTACTTGTTCTTGCTTTGACCCGCAGCGATTGCGTTCTCAAGTGGCCATCACACGCGGCGGCCACAACAAACAACGAACGAACGAGGCGCCTGCGCCACTTCGAGCGATGCGCCCGTGTTCCGTCGACCACCATACGATCCCTACGAGGAGATCTGGATAAAACACAACCAATTTGAGGCGACTACAGTCCTGCGACGCGGTCGGTTGAGGAATTCTTGTCAACTTGGTTGTGCGCGTGCCGTAATCTTGGTGGAGACGGCCTGCGGTGGGCGTTCTGGATAGAATCTGGGTACGTGATACACCACGTGGGCTGGGGAGTTGGCGCGTGGTTGGGCTCAAGGCATTGCTCAATTGGCGAGGCGGACAACTCAGCGCGTCCGTTTCCAGGCACTGACGCTGGGCGCGGTGGTTTTCAGATCTTCTCGACCATGACACGGGCTAACTGAGATGCCCGACCCGCAGACACTGCAAGCGGTTTCCCAGACACTTGCCAACTTTTATCGACCTGCATGCGGCCACTGGTTTCGAAAGCCATCCTGGTCCCGTACCCGACCCTCTCTCTCTCTTCATTTTCGGCTTTCAACAGTACACCCCCGGCCGACTAATCGTCCTTCTTCCATCGCTTTGCACCAAACTCCCCATCACCATCTCTTCCTAGTAGCACCATATACCATAACCCAACCACGGGACACGGCTCTCTTGTGACGAATCCGATGTCCCAGCAATGAAGGGAAGGATGGATGGAGCGGCGGAAAATGCACACAAAGTGGCTCAGCACATATTACCAGATCGCCCGCACCATCTTTCACTGTCGTTCGATCGCCGTTTTCCCAAGTCAGACGGCTGGTGGTTCCGAGGCCCTAGCAGTGCACTACAATACATGACCTACATCTCTGCTGCGCAACGCGGGGTTCTCACCACACGTGCTAGCTTTGAAATTCGCGACGAACCGCCCCCACCCCCGATGCCCGTCAAGGCGCTCGCCAAAGGCGAGACCAAGAAGAAACTGTCATTTACCGATTACCAGAATAGAAAGAAATCCGTGTCGCCAGTCGAGAACGGCGTTTCGACCCGACCAGAGACTAAGACAATCGGGACGGTCCACACGAAGCTCCAGCCGCCGAAGAATGACGCCAAAAAGGAGGAGAAGGTGAAAGTCATTGAACGGGCACCTGTGTCACCTCACGCTGACGCGCGGTTGGATAAGCTTCGTCCAGAACCGAGGCCAGAAATCAACGGAGACAGATCTGTGGCCTACGCGCCCAGGCGGCCCGCACAAGGCACAGACGACGCCAGCAGATCTAAGACATCTCGGACGAAACTGCAACGCGAGCTAGAGGGCCGCAAACGGGCCGCCGAGACGAGCAGCGATCTGCCCCCTCCAAAGCGTACCAAAGGCGAAACCATCACAGCTAAAATGGACCGACCACGGCCGCCTAACTCGGGCTCGCCGCGGGGTAGGGAAGCCCCAGAAAAGCCCCCAAGGGAGATGAAGACGAACACTTTACACCCGACGATGAACGGAATGCCTCCCTCATCGACCGACAGAGAACGCGAAACTACATCATCACCACGATCTACTATTCAGGTCAACGGATCAAGGCCACGTTCGGACAGCGGAACCTCAACCCCTCGAAAGCCAGAGACCCTGGGCAAGTCATCTCTCCCCCGGCTATTATCGCCCCTCCCCCCTTCTCTCTTCGAGGACGGGAGTGAGAAAGTGGTCCTGCCCATGATAAGGTCAGGGGTGAAGGCACCAAAACCGGAGAGAGAGAAATCAAGGAAGGAAGTTAAACTACCAGTGCTCCTCTCACCCACCTTGCCACCGATCATCGAAGAGATACTTGCCCAGAAGGATCGAAAACAGACAGGATCCAAGGGGGTGTCAAGCCAGTCCAACCAGTTGTCTGACTCCTCCGGAAGTGCAAGGAAGACGATAGTCGCCGTGGGTCCTGGACAGACCCTGGATGCAGAGGATAGATCTGGCCGACCATCCAGGATTGTTACTCTTAAATACAAAAAAGGCACAGCCAAAAGGGTGAAGGAGCTTTTGAGTCTCCCTTCGAAGTCCGCCAAGGACGCATTGAAAAAGGAGCGCTCGCAGAGTGTGGAAGCGACGCCTCCACCGGCCAAGAAGCGGCCGCGGACTGGAGATGACGTCTCGCATGATACAAGTGCTTCTAAACGGACTAAGGCGTCCGTTGATGCCATTGCAGCCAAACCAGCCGGACCGACAACCCCACTCAAACCAACCGCTACAGCCATGTCTCGGGTAACGTCAAGCCAGTCAATGGGACATAGCAACACCCCGGCGGCGACGACAGGCCTCACGCCCAGTGCTTCTGATAACCGACCCCCCACCCGGTCGGAGCCTCTAGACCGCAAGACCATGGCTCAAGCCGAATCCTACAAGGAGCGGCATACTGAATACCAGCGCCTCGGCAGTCGGCTGAAGCACGCGCGGGACGACATTTTGCGGGACCGCGGCACGGCGAGCATGACCGCTAACGAGGAGCGCCGCGCCATGGCGTTACACTTTGAGATGGTTCTCGCCTACATGGTTGCCTTCGACTCCCTAAACCAGTCACGTATGTTAGAGCGTAAGGTCTGTGAGGTTTCTGCTTGGGAAACGCTGCTCCCGCACCTATCTGAGTTGCGTAACCGAGTACAGGGCAACCGGGCCCTCCGAGCCCTTGCCGTCCAAATGCATGTGGTATGCCTGGAGCAAATCACGAATGCCTTTGCGACGCTAGATCCCGGTGTAGCGGCAGCTACGTTTACTCGCTGGTGCAAGTACAACCGGAATCGAGTCCTTATGTGGAGCGAGGCCAATGCCATGTGGGAGCGAGTGGATGAGCCGAGGATGCGCACCCTTATTGCGCCGTGGACGTCGTTGGGCGACGCAGTGGCCTCTGCCCTGGCGATTATGAAGCGCTGGGCGGACAAGGATGGGGTGCGCTGGCAGCCGGAAATCCATATCAAAGGCGGAGAGAAGGAACGCGAGAAGGAGCGCGAGAAGGAGCGAGATGTTGTCAAACCGAGAGATAGGGAGAGAGATAGAGAGCGTGAGCGCGATCGGGATCGAGACCGCGATCGAGACCGAGATAGGGACAAGGACAGGGACCGCGAACGCGACCGAGACCGAGATCGAGAGCGCGATCGGGACCAGGAAAGGCCTAGACACGCGTTAAATGGGTCGAGGTATTGACTCTCAGAACACCGGCCAAACCTCCCCCGTAAGAACCTTCAAGCGGCTGGCTAAGTTGATCCATGGAACTAACGGCCGCCATCACCGTCTCTCTCACCCCAACATCATCCTACTGCGGCAGTCACGCCACACAACGCACACCGCATAAGGCCTCAAGATGTAGCAAAGCAGGTTCTTGTATTGTACGATTTATCTATTTTTATCGCGCCGATATTACTCTCCGTCTCTCTCTTAATTTGGCGCTCAAAATAACGGGAGGGTATGGGGTCCCATGGGCTACTTTATCACATACATTTCAAGGAGATCATTCCTTCTCTTTGAAACGCCGGGTGGGCACTCTGGGACGGGCATGGGCACGGGCACAGGGAACACAGCACACGATACACCAAACCATAGTCATGGACACTGGTCTCGGGCACGACGAGCGATGGCGACGGCGTTTTTGCTGGGGTTTGAAGCAGCTTCCACTATTTACCTGTTCTTCACGGCGGCTTAAGCTTCTCTAGAAGTATTGGTGGGGTCATTTCTGACTACACTGGAAAACGGATAGCAACAGGAATTAGGAGTCGGGGAGTGTGACAAGGATCGGATGCAAGTTGACGATACCATCATGACATTTTGTTTTCTCCATTTTTAGTACTGCTTATTGCCTTGTCTCACCGTTCTACTCTTCAATTTCTTTTCCCTCCCATGTCTTCTTATGCTAGATGATACTTCTTGTTTTCATCCGCCTCATCATGTGCTCGAGCGAGCGTTGATGAATGAATGAGCCTTCGGCGAATGATGGCTAGGCCGGACTAGCGGGCGCGGACAAGGCCTTAGGAGTTGTGAGAGGCGACTTGACGATTTTCTTTCCCGTTGCTTCTCGGTGCCTATTCTCCTTCTTGTTTGTCCTGTGATTAGTACGAGGCAACAAATGACTTGAGCTTAGCCGCCCCAGTCAGGACAGGACGTGGCATGGGGGAAGAGGGAGTGTGGCGCAACAATACACAGTTTTACGGATGGATGTCGGGACGGGCTGGTTGGGGGTTTGTTGGTACAAGCCCATTTTCTTTCCTCTTTTTACTTCCTTTTTTCCTTCCTAACGCCTCTAATGGAGAAGCCTTGTCTTTGTGTTCCTTTTCTTCAAAAGCTTTTTCGCCATGGGTTTGTCTCCTTACTCACGGCTTCTATCTTGTCATGCTGTTCCAATGATACCAAACGCAAGTCGGCCCGATAGAGGCGTGGCCTTGCCGCTGCTCTTAATTATTCTTTTCTTTTTCTTTTCCGCTTTCACGACGCATTGAGTTAGGGGGGTTTTGTGACGAAGGGTGACGTTTCCGAGCTAGACTTGTTTCCATGGGTCGTGGGAAGCGGTTGATGGCGAGTCAGGCGGTGGTGGGCTTTGGAATGGATGGCAATGTTCCTTGGTAGATCCGAAACAACGTCCCTGTATCAAATCCAGTTTGGCCAAGGTCTATGGGACATTTACTGGTGAAGCCCGCATTGTGGAATAACCTCCTAGTCATTTTTCTACTGCAGCAACAAAAGGCAGAATAGAGGAAAAAAAAAGAAAAAAAAAAGACGGCAGGGAAAAGAGCCCGACGTAACCGTAATTCATCCCGTTCCATTCCAATTTCTCAGGACATCCTACGCTTCAAATGGTTCATCCCAAATGGGCACATGAAACCAAAAGGCGCTTTAAAGGGCTCATCCCAAATGGGCACATGAAGCCAAAAGGCGCTTGCCTATGCGAACTATCCGACGGTCATAGTGGCGGAATAGAAAAGTTGCCCGTCCGTTAGGTTAGATAAGGAACTCGTCCTCGTCTTCAGCTCCCTGATTATGGCCGTAACTGTAGCTGTCTCCGCTGAGACTAACGCCCAGATCATGGCCGGGACGATGGTGCTGGGCACGGAACGGGTCTAGGAAGGTAGGGTGCATTAGAGGAGAGTGCACGTTGCCGTGGCGACCGGTGCCAAAGGTGGTGCTGAAGCTAGTACCGGTAGCATTACCGCTACCGCTGTTGTTGCCGTGGAGATCAAAACTGCCGGCGCCGTTGGCATTGTCATCAAGATTGTCAAGCAGGTCCGGGCGGCGGTCCGCAAGCCCCATGTCAAAGAAGGACATGGAGTTGACACCCATGTCGAAATGGGTGTTGTTGTTGCCCGCCTGCGTCGGGGCGTAGGACGTCCGCCCGCCACCAAGGTCGTTAGTAGCACCGACCGCAGTGGTGGTGTTTATGCCGTGGAGACCGGACAGCGGGATGCCGGCAGCGCTGCTACCCACGGGCGTGTTGAATGGCTCGTCCAAGAAGGAGATGTCAATGCCGGCAACCGGGTTTGTGGTGGCCGCGGCGAGACTGCCGGGGTTGCCAGGAGTGCCATAGACGTTGGGGAGGGAAAAGCCAGTAGAGCCGGGGGCATTGCCCATACCAAGACCGATACCGTGACCAATACCACGATCGGTAGGCTTGGTGGTGCTATGGCCATTGTCACCCAAATTGCCCTCCTTCTCACCGGATGCTCGGCGCTCGGCGCGGTGAGCTTGGGTGTAGAAGTGTGCCTGGGCGCTCGCGGGCAGACGGGACAGCCAGTCCTTATGGGCCTCAACGTCGGCAGGCGAATCTATCCATTTGCCGTCATCGCCACGGACAAGAATAGCACGGCGCTCAAGCACTGCCTCGGGAAGAACGGTCGGGAAGTCGGCATACTCAAGCGCATTGTCGTTTTTAGCTGAGATGGTATCCGTAGCAGCGGTGCTGGGGCCAGTGGTAGTGAGACGCTTCTGAGCCTTCGGCTTCGGCTTGGTGGGCGTGCCAGCGGCAGCATTGAGGAGATCATCATCATCATGATTGCCATGTGCGACTTCGGCATCGGCATCGCCATCAGTCTCCTCAAAGTCAAAGCTCAATTTAGCTGCCTCGCTGTTCTCTTCCATCTTGACGATGGCCTCGGACTTGGCCTTGCGAACGTTGCGACCGCCAGCCGCAGAGGTACCGGCGCCCGTGGTGGTACCGCGTTTGGCAGCGGCGCTACCGACCCTGCCAGTGGTCTTCTTGATGCCGGCACCAGTGCCCGGGGTGGTGGTTTTCTTAGTACGCGCGGTAGACGGGGTGGAGGGAAGACCGTTCTCGCCCACGGCGTTTTCGTCCTTGATGGCGCTTTTGCCCTTGTTGGCAGCAGTCAAGCTGTCCAGGCCGAGTTTGCGCTTGACCTGGCCGTAGCGAACCTGTGATCGAATTGTTAGTATCGACTGAAATATGCGGTGTAAATGTTTTCTTTTCTCATCGACAACACAAATGGGATCCGTGGTAGTCCGGTGGGATCGGGTCAAATCCACACCCTTGAAGGAGGATTCCCGGGAAGCTTGAAGAGAGCAGCAAATCATTTTGGGGGATAGTAGATACTGAACTTACTTTGGCAGTCTCAGGGTTCTTGAAGCCCGAGTCGGCGGCCACGCCAGCCCAGTCAATGTCGGGCTTACCCTTCATGTTTTTAATGACAGTGTAGAACAGGAGAGCCTCCTGAGCGGTCGGTTGCTTGGGCTCGCCGGGGCCAGCGCCCGACTTGGCAGACGCCTTGGGCGGCATCTTGCACTGCTTGCTGGTTGATTTTTTGACTTCAAACTGCGAAGAGGAAGTGCTTTGGCGATGGGTTTGTCGCTGCTGAAGGCAAGTCGCGTGCTAATGGAAGCTTTGGTGTCAGAAGAATAGTCGAGCGGTTAGAAGAAGGAAGAAAGAAGTAATCGCCAACATCAAGGTTGAAAGTTGGGCGTTGAAAAACGTTGTGACGGGGTGTGAAGGGGTACAATACAGTAGGAAAACGTCTCCGCCAGACCCGGATATCCGGGAAAGTCTATTTATGATTAGGAGCGGCGGAGTTCACAGAACCAAGGAAACCGCCAGGGCGCCCCGGTCTTTGGTGTTCCGGAAGCTTCCTGTCATTGACCATGATATAAAACACCTGACAAGCTCCCGACGACGTGTCAAGCAGGGCACCTGAAAAGGCACCAGAACATCCGATGGAAAGCAAGGAAAACAGGAGAATGATGCGATGAGGACGCGGCTATTAACAGCAATAGTGCAGACAAAGGGAAGGCAAAAGGACCTCCCAAGATACCATTTAATGTTTTAGAAAACATGGAAGTGCGGACGAAACAAAAATAACGAAATGATGAGGTAGAAGAGCATCAGTAGATGAAAGAATAGAGTAACTCACCTTTAGCTCGTGACGATCCCTCTGCAAGAGGCAAATGTTGTTATTCGCGAAAGGTTGCAAAACACCAGACAATTTGCACAGAATGGGTGGTGGTTTTGTGCGGCTAGAGGTTTGTTTGGACAGGGTCGAGAAATTTGGAAAGAAGAGGATAAACCGCGGGGTCACTTTGTGCCCCGTCGGAATAATGCCGATGATGTGCCCTAGGGTTTGATCGTGGGACTCAGGACGGCGTTATGATGTGAGAGGGAGAAGGGCACGGCAGGCACTCGCTGGCTCACCACCTATGTAAACAATGGGGGCAGGTCTAGGTGGGAAGGCGACAACCTTTGTTTGGCCTGACAGTTACTCGGGGATAGATAGGTAGGTAGGCAAGAGCGGGACATCAATGAGGGGTTTCCGGCCTCGTATGTTAAGGGACTGCCAATTACCAACAGGAGATTCATAAAATATCACGGCAAATGGCCTGTCGAGCCGACCAAAGCAGTCTGGGCACTTCCAGCGTCCCATCCACATGCTCGGCAGCGGAAGCCACGCAAGACAGGAGGTGCGGGGGCAGTGAAGTTGATCATTGACGGTAAATAAATCATAGGACTAAGCCAAAGAAACGATGAGAGCTCCTGGCTCAAGAACAAGAGAGAGATAGCGGCTGACCACGCTACGGGGACCCCTTCCATAGTTCATACCTAGCGAGGACAACGACCAAGGAAACGAGGCAAACGACACACACCTCTTCGCTCCCATCAACATCATCGTATTCATGTCGTTTCTACATCACCCGGAGCTCTCCCTGCCATGCCACGCCATGGTACTACCATCGAACTCGATAGAGACACAGCTCTCAGGAATGTCCTAACTCGGCGGCAATACCAAAAATAAAATACCCCCCACTCTCTAAATCCGAACCAAGCCAGTCAAGTCAAGCCAATATCCAAGCAAGGAAAAGCAATTAAGGTACCATACGACGCAATAAGAAGAGGGCGGTAGACGGCAAAGGGATCATGGGATCTTCCCGCTGGATATTCCTGTCCACCCGCTTGGTCACAATTTTATCCTCCACTGTCCTGGCGGATCACCTGCCTCAGGCGGGAATCTGAGGGATAATCACCCACCAATCTCGACTTGTTCAAATCCCCAGCCTCTCCCCGTCCCAACCCCCCCGGGCCAGGCCGTTGGCGTTGACATTATCACCCGTGCTGTTCCCGTTTCTGGTCCCATTACGGCTCATCTCCAGCTCTAGCTCCTTCTCGCGGAACAAACTGGGCGTGGCGTCGATGCCCATACCCAGCTGCAGCCCCAACGGGTCATCTATGATGTGATGGCCGTCCTTATCGCTTACGGAATGATGGTGGTGGTGTTGGTTTTGGTGTGGTCGGGGTTGGGTTTGGAAGTGATGATCGCTGCCACAAAAGGGGTTGTTGTTGTTGTTGTTGTTAGTTCCATTGTTACCGGTGTTGGCGAAACCCCCCTCTAGGCCAAAAATGCCGCCTGTGAAGGAAAATGTCGGAGTGGGTGAGAACATCGCCGAAAGGCCTTGGGTCTGGGGCTGGCTGTCATGGTGGGCATGAGAAGAATGGTGGTGGTGGAGATGCTGCTGCGAGTGCCAGGGGCTCGATGATCCGGCGGCTGTGGTGTCGCAAAGCAGCTGGTGTTGCGAGAAATCGTATGGTGAAGGGGCTGCCGCTGATAAGGGTGGAGACCCAGCGCCCGCCAGGTGGTGATGAGGATGCGAATGGTGTTGGCTAGAATGAAGCATGTCGGGCGGCGGCGGGCTGTGGGAGATGAAGCCTTGCATAGTGGTGAGCGTGCCGTCCGAGTCACTGCAGGGTGTAAGAAGACGCATCTGCATCCGGTTGTCGTAGGGAGTAGAAGTCATCGAGGGTGAGGTCGAAGGAGTCGCGTTGTGGACACCGAACGGTGCGGGTTCGGGCATCGCCGAGGTTGTATGGATCGTGGTACTTGGGGTGTTCGTGATTGGAATGTTCTCCTGCTTGATATGGGCGGAGGTCGTCGAAAGGGCCGAAGGCTGTTGGAGATGGTTGAAAAGGTTGACGAGGCCCGGCTCGGGCTTCACCATGGCTGGTGACGCCACCGATGCTGGATGTCGGAATGGCTTGGTGGGAATATGGCTGATGCTCTTTTTCTCAACTTTGATGCCCGGGTCAGGGGCCTTTTCGGCTTTAATGTTACCAATCCCGCTACCGCTAGCCCTGCCTTCTTCGTCTTCGTCATCCTTCTTCGGCCGTGGTTTGTCATCTTTTTTCTTCTTCGATACACGATTCTTGTTGGCATTCGTGCGGTTACGACGCTGAGGCTCTAGACCTAGCATGGCTGCGCGGAACCGCGAGTACCTCATGCGGGCAGCATGGCCGTTGGTGATCTCTTGAGCGAGGACTGGATTATGGGCCACCTTATTCCAATCAATCTAATTGAACGTGCCTTGTTAGTTCTCATCCGCCACTGGAGTGCCCTTCTCAACTCACATCCTTCAAGCACTTCTGCTGCAGGATCGCAAATAGGAAGCGCGCCATCACATTGTCGTTGTTAGACATGATGGAGGTGCTGCTCAAGGCCGGGCAACACTCTGTCCGGGCGATGGGAAGGACAGGAGCGGTCGAAGGCCAGCCGACACAACCAAGGACGGGGGGAGAAAGGTAAAGCCAGGCTTGGTAGTGATGGGAGGCTGCCCAATATGAACCCGAACAACGAGATTTGACCACTACGGGGAGGAGCTGTGGCAAGGGTCACTGTAGCCGAAACACACTGTTTAACTGTGGGGAAGTGAGTCACTTGGATGGTGAAGGTGATGAGGCTGGTGGGTTATATGGCTGTTTCACGATAAAAAGAGGATCGCTGCTGACAACCTAAGGTGACGAAGGCTTTGGAGTGCACCGGAGAAAGGCCCCATTATCGAGAAAGGGAGAGAGGGGAAGAGAGCTCCCTTGGCCCTAGAAAGCAAGGCGAGGCCGATTGTCTGGCATTTGTTCCCCAGTCAAACAAGGCACCGCCGGAGCAAAGCCATTGCCGAATGAGAAAGGCGCCTACAGAGCACGCTGAAAGCACCGATGGGAAGGTCTCTCCTTTCCAAGCGCAAATCTCTGGTTCAGTCCCTATTTATTCCTTGTTTTAACCTGGCCGGATTGAGCACCCTGGCGATTGCTGCTACAGCAATAGGGACGGTTGCCTGGCCACCGGCATGGGGGTGGGGGCACTCAACAAAAGAAAGTGATCCACCCACTAAAATTTGGTGATGGCGGTGCGAAGGAGGGGAATGCGTGACGCGCCACCGCGGCACCTCCGCGTAAAGTGGTTTTGTCCCACTCACGACCTGCTGATCCCTGCCCTCGGTCAAGGACGCCCTGCCCTCCCCTCCCCTGGTTTGCACGACGAGGACACTCCTTCAGGGAATGATTACGAACATTTGACGAATTAGATCGTTGGCACCCAATTGTTCCAACTCGCCGAGCTGAATGAATGGAACTGGAAGCAAACAAATGGAGACTTTCGCATGGCAGCCAGAAATGGCAGAAAGTATCAAAGCCAACCAAAAAGCAAAAGGCGTGAAAGAGGACAATCATACCAAGGGGGCGGATGGTAGCCTTGCGTACGTCTACTGCGAGACAGAAGCATCACACTGATGAGTCATTTGGCTGTCACCAAACTTCCGGAATGCGGCGTTGCGCGGCTGGTCGGCGGAACCTTGCCTCATCGATGGGCCTCGTCGGTGCCGGGCCGGTGAGCAACACTACGAAGCCTTCCAAGAAGGCCAAGCAGGTCTGTCCGCTAAATAACCCAATAGACCGCGTCTCGGCTACGGATTGGATCGGAAAAAGAAAAAGAAAAATAGTTATGGGGCATTGAGGGGAGCAGACCCTGCCGAGAAGCGTATTGGAACTGCCTCCCTGGTAGGTGCTGTGAATCAGCGGTCAGTAGGTTGGGCCTCACGTTCTCTCTTGTCGGGTGTATTTTACACGAGGTACTCAGGGCTCGCTCTTGCCTATCTTTGGCCGGATTAGAAGCTTCGCGGCTCGGCGATGTTAATCGGCAAGTACGAGCGGGGAAGATGAACACAAGCGACGCTAGCATCACAGTATTAAACGGTCTTCATTTTCTGCAGAAAACGCCATTTGTCTTTTTGAATACCAACTGAAAACAAATCATTTTTCCCCGATTGACATGGGCCGCGGCCGGGTCGGAACGTTATCAGGCAAACGGCGCGTCGGGGTCCACAGTGGGCTGGACCCATGGCGCGATATTGTCGCGCGATCATCTGACAGCTCATTAAAAACAAACAGGCCACACCATGCAAAGGTTGTCCGGATTTCTTCCTGAGGCACCTATCAGGCAGCAACGCGTGGAACCTCGCAGCAATCCGACCCACCCTGGTTTTTGGTCAGGCATTTTCTCGGCACCAGCTGATTGAACACCTGTGGTGCTGTTTGAGCTCCTCCCCCGCCCACCGGGCATCCATCTCTCCTTAGCAGACCTTAGCAATTTTAAGCCCTCCACGTCTTATCCACTCCCATCGGTCGCGCATTGAGAAAAATCCGTATCTCGATTGGATTCGCCTCAACGATGAATAAGAATTGGAATGATCGTGCCGACAAGGACCTCTTCTTCACCATCTTGTCGGTGAAGAACATTGGCGTCATCAGCGGGTCCGAATGGATTACAATCGGAAACCACATGCGGTCGTTGGGCTACGGTTTCACTAACGAAGGATGCCGGTAAGTGTTGTTCGCTGCTGCTAAATCCCGTTTCATGTAATCCTGTATGGAACACTTTGTATGCAACTCGGTATTTCATCATGTAATCCTCCCAGATCATTTTCGTTTGCTCTCCATTTCCATTGTCATTTGTCAAATCCCCGATAAATATCCAGTCCCGTCGTCGACGTTGCTTGGGGTCACGCCTCGTTTCCATCGTCACCGCCACCAACGAATTTTTATGATGTTCCGGGTTTATCGTCTTCAATGCCATCAAGGCTGACGCTCGTACTAACATCGACGTAGCCAACACTTTCAAGGCCTCCGCCGGGCCCAGAACAAAACAGAGCATGGGGTCAGCAGCGAGACCCCTCGGAGGGTTGACCCTACTTTGAACCCCATCACCCGACGGCCAGGTCCGGGCCGCGGCCGCCCAAGGAAACACCCCCTTGGCGATGCTCCTGCCGAAGGACCCTCTGGAATTACGCTCCCCCCCGGGCCACACCCAATTGGAGTACCTCCAGGTGTCATTGCATCCAACGTTCCTGGAGCGACGCCTCCTGTCCCCGGTGGTGCTCTCGGCGCCGGCATTCCCCATGGTGTTGCCATCCACCCCCAGTTCCCCGGCCTTCAAGGTGTCAACAACGCACAAATTCCCCCTGATTCCGATATTACTGTCAGCGTTTCCAACGCCCAAATATCGTCAAACATTCCCTCCACTCCCCAAGGCCTTCTCCCCGCCAGCCAACTCGCACAGCAGCAGCAGCAGCAACAGCAACAGCAACAGCAACAGCATCATCAACAACAACACGACCAGCAAATCCATACGCCAACACCCCAGCAGGTCAGCCAAGATCTTGTTCAGCCGGTGCAGATCGTCCCCGCCTCGGTGAACTCGACCGGGCTAGGAGAGGAAGATGATGGCGGCGGCGACGATGATGAGGACGGGGATGAGGCTGAAGGCGAGCACATAGCGAAGCGGCAGAGACTCGGCGATGATGCACAAGAGTCGCCCACACTAGAGGATGAAGCTGTGCTAAATGCGTTGGCCGGACACAATAATGCGGCCTCACCAGGGGAGTACGAGACTGAGTAAGTGTTGGCCGTTTCTCTAATCCTCGGTCCATCATTAAAGACGAGAAAAGCATGGGTCGCTAACATGGGGGTGCAGGTATACTTATGGGGACGCATAGAGCCCGAGCTAGGAACTAAACGGTCGAATGTGCTAAAGGAGTTGCTATTTTGCTATTTGTCGTTCTCTTTCACCGTCCTCCACCCCATCTCGATTATCTTGATTTGCTGTGTCGTTCCGGGCTAGGCGACCATTGGAGTTCTACGTTGGTGTCATCGACGTAGGTTGGAGAATATGGATGGCGGGCCTCGCACAGCGCTGCTTACACATGTATGTAATACAGGAGGGCCAACGGCGGAGTTGCGAGTTTCGGACTCCAGTAATTTACATTTGGGGGATCCGTTCTGGCCGGAAGATTTTCTTTTACACCTCTTTTTTTCCGCAGTCGTATAGTACGTCCCCTGAATCGACGTCAGGGTTAATGGAGCCTCCGATGTTATCTCCTCGTCGTACCGGCTTAGCACTTTCTCAACCCGCCGCTGGAGTTGTCCCCTCCCGGTAGTCTCCTGAACGCCGACTTCCGCGATACCATGTCCACCTCCTCAAGTAAGTGTACCTAACTGCTGCTTCCCCGTTTCCTGGGCTCCTCGGCAATCTTCTTTTATTCCATAATTATAAGTCATCCTCCCCCACCTGCTTCGTGCCATGTGTTGAGGGCCTGTCTCAAGCTGTGAGCCACTCTGTTAGTATTGTCCAGTCCTTAGGCTCCATCTTGGGGAGGTCAAGATAAGGTATGGTCCGTGCGTGCACTTACAAGCACCCCCTTCCACATCTAGTGTGCCCCTGAATGTCCGGACGACCGCCTGTCTCCAAGTCTTTTTCCCTTTCTCTTGGGGGAAATCCCTTTCACAGTTGCCTCGGCAAGACTTTCGAATTATCCGATATTCAGGTCTGTGAAGGGGTTTGGCCTCCATGTCCTTAAGACACCTATTAGACTTATTTCAGCTCCAAGCTAAGGTGTGGTTATGCGCGATCTTCTTGACTGTGATCTTCTTGAGGGGTCAACGTATCCTGAACTCTCTCTTCAATCTCTCTTTCCTAGTTAGCATGGAGAGAAAAGCACATAAAGGTGTAACTAACCTCAATAATTTATTTACCTGGAGCCATCACCTGTGCCGCGAAGTCTTTTATTGTCTCTGGGAATCAGAATGGTAAGCCTACATTTTTTTGGCTCACCATCTCAAGTCTCTACCCGTGGCTAGCCGTACGTTTTCCCAACGAAGCGAGTTAGTAGAAGGAAGGCATATGACCCACCATCTGACTTCGTCAACCTGCTTCACCTTCCCAGTCTCGGCCCTGGTGTGGGAGGCGGAGTCTGAAGGAGCGGAGAAGGGCCGGCCTTTGAGGGTTCTCGTGCTTTTCAGCATAGGTAACGCACAGCTGGAAATCCTTTCCACCTATTCACTCTTCTCAAATTCCTCACGCACAACTTTGCAATCATTAACACTGGTGCAAGACACCACACACAGCCCTCAACACCACGAAAGCTTCAGTAACTCACATTTTCAGTTCCTCCAAAATGGCCCGCTGGGAAGACATTAGAGAGGACTTATTTGAGGCCATCCTACAAGCCCAGGTCCCTATCACTAAGGACCAGCAAGCCGAGATTGTCAAAATCATGAAGGAGAAGGGCTATGACATTAGCTGGAATGCTATTCGGTATGATTTTTTGTTCCTTCTCTCTCTACACACACCGACATGTTTTCCCCAGGCTCGAGAAGGAAGGCATTCTATCTCGCCGCCAGGAAAGCAAGTGCTTTGACTCGGCGGCTTCAGCGGTCTCGGCGGTCTGAGCTCTGTTCGACTTTTCAATCCAACTTGAGCAACTCTTCTCCTTCAAACATTTTCCCACTTCACACTTCCCACAATCTTCACAAATTTCCACACTCTCCCACCAACCATTTCTTTCCAAGTCTTCGATCAACACCATCTTCACCATGCCACGCAACCTACATAACTGGGACTCTGAGACCCATGAGGCCGTTCTTTTAGCCCTTGTGGATCGTATGAAGCCCAATGGTGGTGACTGGAATGCAGTAATTGCTTCCATTCAACCTGCCGGCTATACCTTCACTGCAAGCGCTCTGATGTATGTTTTCCCATAGCCCCATTTGCTATATACCCGGTTCTTAAGAGCAGCTTTTCACTCTTTTACTATCTCATCTTTTCTATTCCTTTCCTGTTTCATCCCACCTCTATATTTTCCCCCACCTTGCTTTCGGCTTTGGCAAATTCCCCAAAGCACAAAATCATCCCACTTTCACCTCTGATTCCCATATCATCCACCCCCAACCCACGCAAGATCTACACGCCATCTCGAAGTTAAAGACATGTCTGCAAAGCCAATTACCGTTTGGGACCATGATGCCCACCTGACACTCCTCCAAGCCATCATGGCTGAGGCACCCCCGCCTGTGGCTGCGTGGAACAAGATTTTGGCCCGAGTGGCTCAGAAGGGCTACAACTACACCTCGGGCGCTGTTCAGTACTGTCCCCCGCTTTCCTGTTCTATTTATCTTCGTACATCGGAAACGATTGTTTCCAGCTTACACTCTAGCCCCTCTTTCCCTCCTTCCTATCTTCATCAACTTTCTCTTCTTATAACCCTTCCTCCCTTCACAGCTCCAATAACCATTCCTCTTTTTCTTCCCCAACACCACTCTCTTCTCTCATTTCATCATTTAACCTTTCTACTACAAAACCACATCACTGGGTAACAGCAGAACCGTCAAGATGACGGGTGAACGTATGACCTGGGACCATGAGGCCGACCATGCTCTACTGTCGGCTATAATGCAGGAGTTGTCGCCGAGTCAAGAGAATCTCCGTGTCATTCGGGAGCGCATGCATACCTATGGTTATACTTGCACTACCAAGGCCATCACGTACTGCTTCACCTTTGCATTATGATTTCATCGTCAAATACCTAACCCCGTTATACTGTTTTGCCTTGAGTCGCTAACCATCGCCGTTATACAGTCAGCACTTGCAGAAGCTCCGCCGCAAGGATGAGAAGGCCGAGGGTGGCACCTCAGGCTCTAACACTCCCAAGACCCCCGGCGGCCGCAAGCGTAACGCTACTATCACCAAGAAGGATGGCTCTGCCTCCAAGCGTAAGAAGTCGGCTGCTGTTGCTGCTAGCGACGAGGATGACGATGAGACCGTCAAGAAGGAGGTCAAGCAGGAGAAGAAGATCAAGAAGGAGAAGGAGATCAAAAAAGAGATCAAGCAGGAGATCAAGGAGGAGTCTGACGAGGATGTCAAGCCTGAGATCAAAGAGGAATCCGACGAGTAAGTTCCCTTAAGTCTTTCCCCCGATCCCCGCCCGTCTCACATTGATTGTACGTTGTACTTGAAAAAGGTATATCACTGACCATTGATTCCCGCCATGGCTCTAGCTCCGGCGACGTCTAACTCGCCCGTGTCGAGCCCGCTAGCATTCTCTAGGACCGGTATCTACCTGCAAGACTGAAGGAAAATGGATCTTCCTTTCTTTTACTACGGCTCGGGAGGGGTTATTTGACTGGGAGTTTTGGGTTCAGGGAAACACGCGCTTTGCTCTTTGGGGGGGTCAAACGCGGTTTGATGAATCGGTTCCGCTAGGGCAATTTAATTTCTCGGGTATGGGGCAAAGAGTAAGGGATGTTTTCATATTTTCGGAGGTTTTGTTGGGCCGGCTTCTCGTCATGGATCGCTAGCTTGGCCTTTCCTCACGCGTTGATTTTCATTTTGATGGGACATGCTTCCATATAGACGGAGAGAATGGGAATGGGTCGAATGAAGAATGGTTCTACCCCTGCCGATCATTGTGGAATATTTCCTGTGGTGATTAATTTGAATACTGTAGCTTCAAGAGTCGCGACTCCAGAGGTAGTGGTCAATGTTGACCAACTCCGTTCAACTTCGGGCTCTTCAACTCCAAAACGGCAAAACACTCGCTACATCAATTTGGAAACGCCTGCTCCTTCCACAATATTCTAAGCCTGGGAGAGTTTTTTTCACAAATTGTGTGCGCAATCTTGAGGTTCATGATCGAGATTGAAACCAGCGTGAAGAGGCGGGATCAGGCCCAAATACTCGGCGGACCCGCCTCTTGTACCACAAATCTAAAAAAAAAGAGGGAACGTAGGCTTAAAATTCAAAATTAAGAGGGAGCAAAGCCTATAATGAGTACCAGAGCCAACTTGTGGATTCGTGGCGAGAATTCGCCATCTTGATCATAGTCTCGCTCTATAATATTGTTGAAATAAGGGGGTGCCAAGGCGCGTTGCCCGGCAACGGGAAGCTGAAGCTCACTAGCGCTACCTAGTTAACGTCACTCTTCTCTTTCCGTTAACAAGACCACAATAATTGGGATGATTCTCGTCGCCCAATTGCTGGTTATGTTTACCACAAAGATCATGAAGAGTTTCTATCAAGATGGGTAGCCTTAGATAATCAATCGGCACCGCTGTCACTGTATAAAACATTGTCCCCGTTGGCTATAGCAACCGAGATTTATCTCTTGCGACAACTGCACACCAAAGAACAGAGAACAGACGGTGCACAAAGTCCAAGGGTATTGTTTTTCTTGTTCGAAGCTAAGGTGCTTGAGGAGCACCGTGCTAAAGTCACAACTGCACCCCGAGGTCGTCACCTAAGCATACTCCCCAAGCCATCCCAGCCCGCCGAGAACTCAATTCTCATTGCCTCTCGCAGCCTTGAATCAACCCAAAGCCCAAATCTCCAGGCATATTGAAGGCAATCGAAGGGCTAGACAGAAAGCGGCGAGGAAGCTGACCAGACAAAGGTTTCAAGTTCAGCTAGTAGGCGTCCCAGGGGAAACTCAAAGAGAGTTCCCTTCAAGCCTAGAAGCATATATTACATACAGCCCGTAAAACAAGAGCTCACATCCCATCCGACAACAAATGAAAGAGAAAGCGGAAGATAAAGAGGGTGAAAATGGACCAGGCGAACAAAGTAGAGACCGTTAACTCCTCCCCAATTCTCCTCCCGATTCCCCTTACTCAAATCTCACCCAAGTCAGAAACAGCCTTTGAGGCCTGGCGCCGGGTCTGGGCCGGGGTCTGGGGCGTAGAAAAAACCTCCCTCTTAACCTTTTTAACCTCAGGCTTGTCCTCCTCGCCCTCGCCGTCGGTCTCGGATACAGAGGGCAAGTAGTTGTCCGAGGACCCTGAGGCGTTGAAGCTCTCCTCAGCCGGGCGCTTTATGCCGGATGTGCTAGTGGTAGAGGAATTCTTGCCGCGCTTCAACTTGATGGTGATCTTATCACGGCGAGGACGGACCGGCGATCCAAGGTCCTGCTGCCGGTGATCAACGTCTAGATTCTTAAGCTCATGGTTGAGCTCACGCCTAACAGAGGGAGGCAGAGATGCATCGCTATCGTCCTCAATTGTGTTTCTTTTGGCAGAAAGAGTACGCTTTCTGTTCGATGCGGGCGTGGTGGGAGTGGGCCTGGTAGTAACGGCACCCTTGGCGGACTCGTCAAAATGAATGCCGAACTTTTGGCGGATCATGAGCCAGCGCTGGGCGGCGCCTGTTAAGTAAGATGTTAGAGATTACCCCGACGGCTGGGTAAAATATACCGGTAGAAGGGTGGTAAACCATAGCGATAATTTTAGGAGAGCCAAGGCGGAAACCAGAGGCTTCATCCTGGTCAACGGCCAATTTGTAGCCTCGTGATGGAAATAATAACTCTTCGGGCCATTCTTTGCCTGAGCAGAAAGCCCTCAGATATTTCGAATTTTGCCAAGCAGAAACATAAGAAGGACGGAAAAAGAAGATATCGACTTACTCTTCCTGTTCGTGGTTCCAATGGCGGTAACCAAGCCGTCCCAGTCGATGTCCGGCTTAGACTTGAAATTCTTTAGGAAAGCAACCATAAATCTGGTATCTGATGGAGTTACGTTGATACCTTCAACCTCATCAGTGCCGCTAGTAGCAACAGCAAGGTCTCTGGGAGTACGAGGCATCTTGGTTGGTTGCGCTATACTGCTAGTCAGCGGCGTCTTCAGCCAAATTTGAGGATGGGTTTGATTCGGGAGATGACGCAGAAACTCCGGATCATTGCGATCGATTCCCACCTCATAAAATAAAAAAGATACAGAGGATATATGGTCTGGGCCTACCATACTTACCTGCACGTATGCTGTATTCAGTTTTAGTTGGTTAATTTGTCGGATGCCACAGCCCATTCGGTGATGTGGAAGTTGGACGGGGAGCAGAACGAGGAGCAAATGGAAAAACCTAACGAAGAAGTGGGAGGAAACCTGACGAATATAATCAGTTGGGCGAGGGGCGCCGAGATGACCAGAGCGGAGAAGCTGGATGACAACCCCCGCGGTGTGACCCTCGGGAAGGAACTAGAGAGGCTTCTTTCCAGACTTCACTCTGCAGCCCTGGCTTTTGGTGTCATTGATTTCTTAAGTAGTTGAGAGTTGAGGGTCCGAGTCTGCTTTCTAGGTACTTGCACCGGCATGTGCTGGCCGTGACGCCGATGTAGCTTCCTGCTGCTACAGTAGGAGAGATGCGATGCTTGGGATCATCGTTAATGCATGCATCATTACGAATAAATTGCACTGCAGACACAATGTATCCAGCATATCATATCTTTGTTATGGGCAAATTGTTTGATGTGCGTCTGAAAACAACATACACTGTGACAGAAGATTCGTTTACTATTTTCAGGGGTATTAACTAACCCTAACCCCCAACTCACTGGAGATGCGCCTCTGGTTAGGTGGACGAAAGAAGGAGTTGGGAAGAAAAAGGCATTAGTTTCCGAACAATTCACACGGGGTTGGTGTCTCTGATAGGGGAAGTAAGTAAAGCATCATGTTGGTGTCGTTGGGCATCAACTACAATGTGATTCCCTCAGTAGAGAGAAAAACAGCAATCAAACACACCAGGAGTGGTCGGTTCTACAAAGCAAGAACCTAAATCTGGAAGTATAAATATAGTGCCAGATATTACCGTGCTGTTGTGGTGGAAAGGGCCACATTGTTTTGCTTGTTAGAGTTTTGAGACTGGGACAATCTAGAAGCGAAGGTTATTTGTATGCCAAACTCTCTCGTATATTGTTCTGCTCTTTGAAGCGATGAAGATAAGTTTATTATACCCTGAGTGTGACATGAGCTTTCACCTCTTTCCTTCCGCGGTGTGTGAGTCGGGTACCTGAGCAGCTTGCTACCGCATTTGGCGCGCTATGCTTTTTTCGTCTGAAGCTGTCTATACAAGACCATTGTTCAAACCCAGTTGCTTGTATTGTTGGTGACCATAAGACACACTTGCCCACTCTACCTCACGTGTTCCAGCTCGATCTCCAAGAAGGCTAATATTTATTTCCCACTCCCACTTCCTTCCTACCCCCGAATTTCTTCTTCCACATCCAAATCCAAACATTACCCATACCCTAGACAATCACCAGCTTTGGCGACCGGAATCTTTCAAATCCACCATCCGCACAACCCTCAACAGCCAAAACCACCAGTACCACCCGGTAAGTGACATTATCTTTCAACTTCATCAATGGCCTGTTCGACCGCATTATCGTTCCGGGCACTTTGCCCCGCCAATCGTTTTGTCAACCGCGGTGTTCTCCCGCTTCTTTGGGCTCGCTCACTGTGAAGCGGACTACGACCCTTCTTCCCACCCTTCCTGGTTTCTTTTTTCGAACCCAGTCCAGAACCCCAGACCACAAACCAGTCGGTTATTTTCAAGATTCACCGCAACTAACCCCAAGCATTAGACATCCATCTCCGGTTCAAACTGACATCCTCTTGCTACTACCAGACACAATCATCAAATCAATCCGTCAAAATGCCTCCCATCGACACGGAGGGCCAGTTCAAGTTCCTGCTGTGCTGCATCAAGCACTCGACAGCTGGAAGGGTAAGCGTCTACCCTCTTTTACAATTGATCTAGTTGAGGACTTTGGTTTTAATTCTTAACCATTTGGTTACGAACTAGGTGAACTTTGACTCTGTCGCATCTGAGTTAAAGATCGTCAGCAAGGCTGCTGCGTAAGTCTACGGTCACTTCGACCATTCCATTCTCTTATTTAGACCACAATGACTCATTCACAACAGGGCCAAGCGTTATGAGAGACTTCTCAAGGCCCATAACATTACGGTCTCTACTCCGCGTAAGACTGCTGCCAGCAAGGCTGCTGCTGGTGGCGGTGATGAAGCGGACGACCCCAAGACTCCATCCAAGAAGCGCAAGCGTGCAGGTGTGGCTTCTGCTGCACCCAAGAAGGAGGATAAGGACGAGACTCCCATAAAGAAAGAGGAGCCCGATGTTAAGGAGGAGCCTGACGTTAAAGAGGAATCTGATGACGAGGTGGAAGTCAAGGGAGAAGATACCGGTTCGTTCAAAGAAAGCGCCAACAACAAGCCTAACCCTGGCTTCAACACACACACCACCTCTACCAACACCAATACTGTCACGCTCACATCTTTCACGTCACAATACGAGGGTGGTGTCGGACAAAACAGCCCGTCTGGTACAAAACCACGGCGGCTGGGTTCGGATTGCCTGCAACTGGTGAAAGTGGCCAACGTAGATGGCAGCGACTGCATTGTCGTTGGCGAGCGGCCGGCTTCCACACCAGAACCAGTATTTATCCAGGTCTCAGTCTCTAGCACTAGCGGTCCGGACCACGAACCCAGTCACAGAGTGCTTCCCACACCCCCCAGTTTTGGATATCCTCACCAGCAGCACCGCCCTCTTCCCAATCATCACCATACTTAACAATTTCATCCACCACACTAGACTTGGGCTTTTTCTTTCCACAACGCTAACCTCAGATTGCACCCACAGACGAGGACTACATCTCGGAGTAAATTCTCCCAATGCACCACTGCCGCAAGCGACGGCGCAACATCGATGACAACATCATCACCATCGCTTATTTTTGGACGTGGAATAGCTCCACGCGGCCGTTAAAGGAGGAACCTCGCCCAGCACAAGATCCTAAGATTTACTGTGGACGTCACCATCTTTCACCGTGAAGGTACGTTGAGTTCACATTTTCGATCTGGCCCGAGCCTTGTTCGGTACGACCGCTGATCGTGACCTTCCTACAGCTTTATTAAGGATCAGAGCGAAGAAAGAACAAATTATCAGGAGACCCGGGGAATCGGGACAGCGATAGGCGTTCCTTGGCTCGTCTATTAGGGCGGCTGGTCTGGTTTCGGGTCTCGGAGGAAAGTGTCTTTTTCTGGGTTGCTTGGGTCACGGACAAGGCGCGCTGAGTTAAGAGAGAGCATCAACTTCTTGATAGTAGGAGAGGAATGGGACTGTGATGTTCTGAAGCTATGCTTTCCTCAGGGCTGTTGTGACGGTGACGCTGATGATGTTCTACTTTATTCTCCCGGCACCTCCTGTTGAACTTCCAAAGGGCCGCCATTTGAAGAGTCTCGACACTCGGCTCCCAGCCCTCGTCTTTCGACACTCGGTTCTTTGGATGTGAAGATGGGTGAGTTCTAATCGATACCCCACGCTTAGAACGTCGTGGGGGTTTTGGGGGGCGGGGGGATTCTCATTGCTTAGTGCCGAGTAGAGGGGAAATAATGCCATACTCGGCAATTAATTCTCACCATCAACGTGAAGAATCTTTGCCTCATCGCCTCCTCATGGTTGGCGTGTTGCGACCGGCGTTCCGGGCCAGTGGAAGCCGACCAGAACCAGACGTTTCAACCCGATACCAACCCGATACCAACCCCGCCACCCCGCCAACCCCGTCAATCAAGCCGAGGCCGGCAGGTCAGCACAACACTAACCCTAACCCACATCGCGTGATATACCCGTCCTGTTCACAAGTTTGACCTCTCGTTGCCCCTCAATCTGTTGAACATCACAATCCCTCTTTGAACTGTGACCGCTTCTTCCCATTTGCTGTTCCCGCTTTTTCCATGGACTGGTCAATGTGGGATGCAGATGGTTCCAGAAACTACTTCCCTCGGCCATCAGGAAAGACGCTAGCACAGGATAGGCTTAGCGCGGGGGAAGCTCGGGCCAAAGCATTAGTGAGCTTGGGGGAATTTTTTTTTGGCTGCATCACCACCGTTGTTGCCGACTTCTTTCTTCCTTTCCGCCGCTTTATTCTTTCACGGTCTACCTTTTGAACCTCAATCTAGCCCAAGATACCCGGTGCCTATACTTCCCTCGTGCCTTAATTCCTTTCATACATTTGCCTCATACACAGGCACAATGCAGCGTGCGTTGACAAGGGCTTCGGTCTCTTCCCCGCTCGCGGCCGCCCGGGTTCGGTCAACCCAGCAGCTCCGTTTCGCGCACAAGGTATGTGCAACATTCCCGGGAGGAACAACGTTCAGTGTGTAGAGCGTGCCCCTGAGGCCCTTTTTTCATTGAACTCCTCGTGTGACCTTGTTAATGGGTTCTGACGTTCTCATTTTTCCTGCAGGAGCTCAAGTTTGGCGTCGAGGGCCGTGCCGCCCTGCTCAACGGTGTCGAGACCCTCGCTAAGGCCGTGGCGACCACCCTTGGCCCTAAGGGACGCAATGTTCTCATAGAATCCAGTTTCGGCTCCCCGAAGATCACCAAGGGTACGTTCCCCGTTGAAACTACGAGCGGACACCCGGGATTAAACGAGCTGGACTAACCCCGCCACAGATGGTGTGACCGTCGCGAGGGCCATTTCCCTCAAGGACAAGTTCGAGAACCTCGGTGCCAAACTCCTCGCCGATGTTGCCTCCAAGACCAACGAGGTTGCCGGTGACGGTACCACTACCGCAACTGTCCTGGCCCGTGCCATTTTCTCCGAGACCGTCAAGAATGTGGCTGCTGGCTGCAACCCCATGGACCTCCGCCGCGGTATCCAGGCCGCCGTCGAGTCTGTTGTCGAGTACCTTCAGAAGAACAAGCGCGACATCACTACCAGTGCTGAGATCGCCCAAGTTGCCACCATCAGCGCCAACGGAGACGAGCACATTGGTGCCCTGATCGCGAACGCGATGGAGAAGGTCGGCAAGGAGGGTGTCATCACAGTGAAGGAGGGCAAGACCATGCAGGATGAGCTTGAAGTCACTGAGGGCATGCGCTTCGACCGTGGCTTCGTCTCCCCCTACTTCATCACCGACGCCAAGGCCCAGAAGGTCGAGTTCGAGAAGCCCCTGATCCTTCTGTCCGAGCAAAAGATCTCGGCCGCTGTTGACATTATTCCGGCACTGGAGATCTCCAACAAGCTCCGCCGCCCGCTCGTAATCATTGCCGAGGACTTTGAGGGCGAGGCTCTTGCAGTCTGCATTCTCAACAAGCTGCGTGGCCAGCTTGAGGTTGCGGCCGTCAAGGCCCCTGGCTTTGGCGACAATCGCAAGTCTATCCTGGGCGACATTGCCGTCCTGACAAACGGCACCGTCTTCACCAACGAGCTCGACATCAAGCTCGAGAAACTGACTCCTGATCTTCTCGGTACCACTGGTTCCATTACTATCACAAAAGAGGATACCATCATCCTCAACGGCGAGGGCAGCAAGGACGCCATTGCCCAGCGCTGCGAGCAGATCCGCGGCGTCATGGCTGACGCCACCACCTCTGAGTATGAGAAGGAGAAGCTCCAAGAGCGTCTCGCCAAACTCTCTGGTGGTGTTGCCGTCATCAAGGTTGGCGGTTCCTCCGAGGTCGAGGTTGGCGAGAAGAAGGACCGCTTCGTCGATGCTCTCAACGCCACTCGTGCTGCCGTCGAGGAAGGTATTCTCCCAGGTGGTGGCACTGCGCTCATCAAGGCTTCGTGCAACGCCCTTGATGACCTTAAGCCTGCCAACTTTGACCAGCAGCTCGGTGTCAGCATCATCAAAAACGCCATTACCCGCCCCGCGCGAACCATTGTCGAGAACGCCGGTCTCGAGGGTTCCGTTGTCATTGGCAAGCTCAGCGACGAGTACGCCGCCGAATTCAACAAGGGGTTCAACAGCGCCAAGGGCGAGTACGTCGACATGATCCAGGCCGGCATCCTAGATCCCCTCAAGGTCGTCCGTACCGGTCTTGTTGACGCCAGCGGCGTTGCCTCGCTCCTTGGCACCACGGAGGTCGCGATCGTGGAGGCGCCCGAGGAGAAGGGCCCCGCCGGTGTGGGCGGTGGCGGCATGGGCGGCATGGGCGGCATGGGCGGTATGGGCGGTATGATGTAAGACGAGAGCATGATGAAAAAACTGTAATGTGTGACGGTTGTGGTCTTTGATTTAACGGCGATACGGTTTGGCGAGGGGGCATATCCGGTGTTTGTCTTTGGGTTTGTGTACTAAATGAGCCATGTAAACCCCTCTCTCTACTCTTCCTCTGTATTCTAGCGCCACACATTCGCCGGGTTGGCGGGGGCCGTGTATAGTATGGAAGGTATATAGAATTGGACCGCCACTTTGACGGCCCACATAGATGACTACTTCTCGCCTCCTTGATGTGAATGCTCTTTGTATAGGAAGGCATTTCTAATGCAAGGCGTAGTATGCTAGAGTGAAAACCACAAATCTGGATGCAGTCACTTATGTCAGAATACAAGACCTACTAAACAACCACATCCCACACCGCCAGCCATTTGCTCGATCTTCCCATTTTTGATCCAATACCTGCAAGAATGAGAAACCTTCGAATACGCGCCAGGTTGCTACGTTCTGGGTTAGAAATCGGCAGGCCTATCGTCTCTCCAACTCTACCACGCTAGGTCCGCCAAACATCATTTCGAAGGAGCAGTTTCCGAAACTCAACCAACAATCCACCACCGATTATAGTGTAGGGGGCCAGGTTTGTTGTAATCGTTTGTTGGATGGTGTATCGGGTTGTAGTAGCCTCGGTCCGGTTGGTATCTTTTGCACACTCCCACTTTTCTATTGTAAGACTAACCACCTTGATAAAACGATCAAGCTTGAGAAGTACAGCTATTTTTACACAGTGATTCGACTTCGCGGACTACATCTTAGTTTGCAATTGTGACAATACCGAGCCGCCCTTGCCCCAGTAGCAAGCGTTGGCTGAGCAGAACCAGGAAAAGAAAGCGTTCTGGCTTCGGCCCACCACAATGACTTGTTGTTCAGCGCCCAGCGTGGCTCGGAGGACTAACGTTACACACAGAGAGGGCATCACAAGTTTTAAATGTCTTACTCACGGTTTGGAGTTGGCGACGCTTTATTTCGTTAAAGCTAATATTAGTTTCTCGTGGAGCCACAGTGGAGGACAGAACGCAAACCCTTCTTGATCTCTGGCGTTCTCTGTTATCCCTCCATGGATGTTTCAACCAGGCAACACCACTAGATGAATCGAGAAATACAGGGGTAGCAGACAACTCGATAGAAGCCTAAACGGTCACTGAGCATTCTAATGTTGGCGTTTTCGCTTGGCGTCCTTGTTGATGGCGCGTCCTTAGGCAAAACTCTGTGGCCTAGTGTTTTTTATTATGGTGACGAATCTCTGCCTTCTCCCAACTTTTAAAGGGTCAAATCGAGTGTATGGCAAACCTGATGGTGTGCTTCTGGAAGCCCAACAACTTAATTGATGATTGTGGGGGCGAATTGTGTGGAAGAACAATAAATGGAGCCTAGGTATTACATGTACTCTGTAGCGGAACCCACCATAGGTAGGTACCTACAGCGTAGTGATGCATACTCGGCTCACGTAAGCTGAGCATCGACGTCTCCACTGACGACGACCCCACGATGCCCACCACAAAGGTTGAAACTGGAGGCGGTGTTGCTTTTCACCTCTTCAATCCCGAACCATTCCATCTTGATCAGGGTCACCTCTCTTGTCCTCCTTTTCTACCTGAACGGCTGTCCACTGCAGAGGATCTCTCTTACCTACCTAGCTTATTCAATCGGAGCAACCCCGAACGGAGTAACCCCCCATCGTATTGCGTAGGTAAGCAGGCTTGTGCTTCCCCTGTCTTCAGCCCCGCTTTCTCCCCTCTCCTGCCCACCGATTCAAGCTCAAACCCACAATCTCCCCGCCTTGCCCTTGGGACAACTCTTTCTGACGGTCGTGACTTTGTGCAGCTTCCATCTTAACTGCAACCCAAATTCCGTCTTCACCCGCCGCTCCAACCGAAGTCTTGAATAGAATTCACTCACATCATGGTAATCGCCTTTCTCGTGCCTCCGCCTACCTTCCTTTGCTGACCCAAGTGTTTCATAGCCTGAATCTGGGTAAGTCGTGGTTCTGTCCTCCATTCTGACGTGTTCGAGGTTCAATGCTTGATGCTTGATTTTGGTCCTGTGTTTTGTCAACAAGCCCCGGCTAGCGAGTATGCGAGATAGCAGGCAGCGAGAGACCGTCGCATGGCAGACAGAACAGCAAGCAGCAATGACAACACGAACTATTGCCGACTAAATTCTAACCCCGCCTCCCTTAGAATAAGGATCAATCCGGAATGCGTCACCGCGTTCGCGGAACTGTCCAAGGAGCGTAAGCACCGGTACATTATCTACAAGATTTCGGACGATCAGCAGGAGGTCGTTATCGACAGCATCGGCGCCCGCGACAGCGCTCGCGAACTCGAGCTGGGCTGGGAACAATTGTGGGAAGAGTTCGCTCAGAAATTGAAGACGGCAAAATTCACCTGGCATACTGTATGTGGTTAGCCATATATATGAAGATAGGGTCAATAAGGGTATATGGCAGACTAACTGGGACTCGCTAGGGCGCCACTTCTGAGCGTGGACCCCGCCTCGCCGTCTTCGATGTGCCTTTTTCGCTCCCCGGTGAAGGCGATCGGTAAGCCTCTCGTTGAATCGTGGGCCCCATGAAATTACACTAGGCTAATGGTCAAACAGGGAGAAAATCGTCCTCATCTCCTGGTCATCGGATGATGCTTTCGGGTCCATCGCTGGCAAGGTTCGTTTTCACTCCTTCATTCGCACCCGCTGCCGGTCTTCGCTAATAGCCACAACTTCATAGGGCAAGATGGCTTATTCCTTGGCCAAGCCAGTTCTCGCGAATGCATTCGGCAGCAGCGTCATCGAAATTCAAATCAACGACGAAGCAGACCTCAACTGGACTAACATAAAGAACGCGGCCAGCAAGGGCAAGGGCGTCTAGAATATACCATGGTGACCATGTTATACCCTCGCCACAACTCTAGGGCGTTCATAGGCTGTTTTTCTTCGTGGGTTTGGACGTGGGTGAACGTTGTTCAGTGCTATGGTGGCGTGTACCTCGTGTCATGGAGGGAGAGTGCTATGTACGTAGCATATCTTGTCTAAGGGCGGAGGAGACGGTAGGCAAACAACAAAGCGCCATGGTGCTGCCGACTAAAAGAGAAGGAAGATAGAGACAAACAGCTCCGAATGGTCAAAATGTTTCGAAGATGTAGAAGGCGCGCGCTGAACAATCCACTGATTCCAATGCAACATCTTATTACGCCGTGCTCTTGAAGATGGGAAACCAGCATTTCGGGACCTGATGGGCCCATATGATAATCTACCGCGCAACTGAGTCGCAAGACGCGTAACAAATCGCGTCCGCGCCCAATGATCACCTCTTACCCTGACCTCTTACTCCAAGCGGCCTTGAACAATCCTAGAGCTTCCTCGACAACAGCCTCATCTCGCACCCTCTGCTGCAAATAGCCTTTGAGTTCGCCCCAAAACTGTTCCGTCTCCAGCACGCTTATCCCTTGCAACCCCTGTGCCACCGCTGCCCCCTCCCCAGCAACAGCAACAGAAGCAGAAACAGCATCAGCAGAAGCAGCACCACCCTTTTCCCTCCCATCCATCTTGAAATGGCTTGCTCCACCCGCCAGCACCATCACCCCTAGTTCCACGCCACCAGCATTGCTCCCAACGAGATCTTTCAACACCTTAGTGTCCCCCACCGGTTTCTTGCCGTGCAACAATTTGATCTTGTCTAGCGGGATGCCCGTCTCGGCCGCAACGCGCTCTTTGACTTCGGCGAGCGAGGTGGAGTGGGGTACCGCGGGCAGCGTGAGGTCGAAGGGCGGGTTGCGCGGCGAGCGCAGGGTCACGGAGAGAGCGGGTTCGGCGCCGGGGTTGGTTTTTCGTTGGGATATGGAGTCGGAAGGGGACGATGTGGTGGATGTAGCGGTAGTGCCGGCATTGGCGGCTGAGGAGCGCTTGGAGAAAGGTTTTTGGGTTGAAAGGCGGGAGAGGGTGTACTGTGGGCGAGAGAATGGTGAGGTTAGCATCTAGTCTGAGTTGAAATGGTGTTGGAATTCAGGAGACGTGAACGCCGGGGAAATGAAACACACCGGAGAATGGCCTGGGTAGGAGCGCGGGTCTTCAATATGGTCGGGCGAGATCTTGGGTGGTTTGGAGTCCAGGAGGGAAAGGAAGGATTTAGCAAAGGTGACCTCACCCGCCATGTTGCTGTTTTATTCCGGCAATCGTTCGTTTGTTTATAATTAATGTAGTAACAGGGGGAAATGTTATGAATTCACCGGGCGTCAACTTTGAGCTTGGTTCTATGATTGAAGTGGCTCCGCGGCGGGAAGCGTTCACCATCTGGATGGACCTCGACGGAAGGTGGGGGCGGGGGTGGGACAGCTGGGTAATTAATTCAGCCACAAGCCTGCGCCTCTGATTGCTTGCCCAAAAATCGAAACTTGAACTGAGGTGCTTAGGTGAAACGAAGAGCCCGGATGACATAGCCATAAAAAAGTTAACAGAAATGCTCGCCTCATAGGCCCTTATCGACCAGAGGAGACGGCCGCAACGGCCAAGGTCCTTTCTGGGTGCAATCGGGTGACGCGACACAAAGGGTTAGGGTTATGCGCGGGGTTGAGAGTCTGTCCCGCTGCGTCCCAGAATGCCCCCGACCACTACGCCAAGTCCTTCAGTAAGCTTCGCTGCAAGGACGTTATCGGCCAGACAAGACACCCTTGAATGGGTATTCAGGAATATGAAAGAACAAGAGGCATATTAGATTAAGCAGGCTATTCCTCATAATCAGCTCTTTGTCCTATAAGTCGTCCTTAAGTCTAAGTTAAGCAAAGCTGAGGTAGTTGAGGTGTCAATTGGATAGGCAGAGGTACTTCACAACATGACCAATGCTTTTGGCCGCTCCTGCTCTGATACGGTGCTTGTCCAACTAGGCTCTTTATTTCGCTTTCTCTATTTCTCCCGACCCGCCCGTTTGCCCCGTCTGTCCGTCCGTTTATCATAAAAGGTCGTCATCTATCGTGTCTGACAAAAGAAATGGATTTCGTGCGTCATGTCGTGTCGTCGTCATTTCGTTTTTTCCCATCCTTTAACCCACCCGGATCCGGTTTGTACCCTCTTTCTCACAGGGTATTGCTGCCCTGTTTTTGCCTAGCTGCTGTTGTCGCGAGGCATGGGATAAAAGAAGGCAAGCCCATACCAAAAGAAACCACTGGATGTCCTCAATATTCTCCCACGACGTGAAAGAAAACCATGACCTGTGATCCCAGCAGCCCCTACCTTGTCCCCCGTTCCATTCCGGCAAATGCTCAACCTTACGTCGCCGCCTCCAGCTAGTCGTGAAGGCCAACCCTAATACCTAGGTCGGCCATATGTAAGTCGTAAGAGCTCCTGGTTTCCTTTTCCCACTAGAGCAGTAACCCAGCAACCTCCCCAGCCTGCTCCTCATGAATGAGCATGGACTAGGAAGACAATAAATCCAACAAAAAAAAGGGTCAAGGGCCTGCATCCCTTTAGTCATCGACGATAATGCCACGGATGGCCCACTTCCAGGCATCGCCGCGGTCAACATGGTAGTTGACCCAGGGGCGACACTTCTTCCTCCACCGATCCTCCTCCTCACGCTGGCGCCGCACAAACTCGGGCCCGACATCAAACTCCTCACCGACCGGCCACTCATGGTTGACGTCGCTGACACGCGGGTGCCCGCCGCCGACTCCATCACCACCATCACTAGACGCCATGGTACGTTCCTCGAGGTCCGGTATGTCCTTGAACACGTCCTCGTCGTCATCGAAGGCATTGAACCCGTCAAGTGTGTCGCTCTTTTCCGATCGGCTCTGCGGCGCTAGCTTGAGCCAGCACATGTTTTGTGGGTCGAATACCATCCCGCCGACGACCTGGACGCCCTTGGTTGGACCGATATTGGTAATCAAAGCCGGTCGTGGTGTGGAGGCTTCCCGTTCGCGAGTCATGTGCTGAGGCACAGACGTGGTCGACGGTGATGAGGCCGGTACCTCGAAGGCGCTCAGTGCGGTGTCGTTACCCTCCCATCGGAACGTCTCTGGGTTGTACCACATGCCCTTGACCACTACAGAGTGTTAGGATACCACGCAAACTCTTCTCAATTGGGGAGAAAAAACAAGGAAACTGACTCTTCGGGTCCCTCGGCGGGTTCAGATTGGAGATCAAATGCGGCTTGGACTGCGGCGAGCGCCGAATCTTCCTCGCCTTGGCCGCCGGCATCGTAAACTGAGGCTGAGAGCTGAAACTGCTCTTGGCCGAGAGCTGGGCAACGCGCTGGGTGGTAAGCGGAGCAAACAACCCCGATGGATTGCGCTGCGCAAGGCTTGTCTCCCGTGCGATCCGGCTAGCGGCAGTATCGCGAGCAAAACTGGGCACGTTGTCGACACGGGAAGGGTAAGGGACGCGAGGGGAAGGGGTAATGTTGCGATCTGGGGGGATGTTCTGGTAGCTCTTGGTTCGTGTCTGTGATTTTGCGCTGAGCGGTTGCTTCAAAAACTTCGACTCAGCGTGGGTCGATGTGGGCAAGTCGTCAAAGGCATCGAGCTCATGCCCGTCACCAAAATTCTTAGCCCGGCGAGGGACGCTGAGTCGGCCCCACGTATTCCCATCCGGAGTAGCTTTCTCGACTGAACGATACAGGCGCGGACTAGGCGACCGAATCGTCGAGCGAGACACTGTCCGTGAGCTGGGCCGGAACTCAATGCTGGTTTCCGAGTCATGGCGGCGGAAAGTGCGGGTTTTCGCATTAACATTGTACGATTGGGTGGCGGAAGCCCCGGCGGGGAGGAATGGCACGGGGGCTTTACGTGATACTGCTGCAGCGCTCTCCGACGGGCGCGGACGATCCACGGGGGTCTTAGGCCGAATAATTGGGACGCGACTCGGCTGGTCAGTACGCGACGGAGGCCGGTCGAACGCTCGGACGACCGAGGGCCGCGAAGGGGGTTGGGTCCCACGCATCACGGGCAGCGATCGCTTCAAACGAAGCAACTGCGCATTCGTCGTGGTGGCGGGTTCATGTCTTAGTGATGCTTGTGATGTCCTCTGGCCAAGCTCCCTCCTACGCGGGGTCGAAGGAGTTATGGTGTGTGTGGACGAAGGTGTGCCCGGTGAAGTAACTGAGCTGATGCTCGTCACAGAAGAATGGGCAGAATGACCCCCGAGACGGGCCCCCAGTGACCGGCGCGAGTGGCCGCGTTGGATGGGACCACCACTTTCGGAAACGGGTTCCAGAGAGGATTGAGTGTGGGATCGCTCATGGCTCACCATCGGTCCCACCGGCCCCATAGGCCGTGGGAGGCGAGATGCAGTGACTGGCTTGTTTGTAAACTTAAGGGCGACTGACGTCTTGGGCCGCGCAGGGCTGGTAGGCCTGCCGGACTTGACTTGGATGTTGCGATTGAGGGTCAATTTCCGCGAGTCGAAGACCTCGCCATCACCAATCTCGAGTCCAACAAGGAAATCCTCCTTGTCTTCTGGCCTCTCTTGTTTGACAGGTTTCCGTCTTGGGGGCTCCTCCTTCTCGGATTCCTCCTTGATCGTGTCCTGCGGGAAACGCGGGGGCGAACGGCTCTTGCGCCGACGCTTGAGGCGCTCTCCAAAATCAAGCGGTCCGTGTGGGATGATCAGCCCTTCGAATGCCTCATCCTCACTCTCCATTATTGAACTCGCAATGCTTGGGCTAAATGCGGATACTGAGGAGCTTCGAGTGGACTGCGCGTCACGCCTAGTGCCGCCAAATCTTGTCCCCAAACTGCCTTCGGCCCAGTCAAGATCATCCAGGATGTTGTTGAACGTTGGTGTCTTGGGGGGAATGTCCCTCTTGGCGGTAAGTGTGAGTTTGCCGTCCTCTGGGAGTTCAAAGTCATTTTCGAAGTCATCCTCACCCACTATGACGGTGTTGGAAAGAGCGTCATTGGAGGTCTTCTGCGGAGTTGGGGGCGTGATTAGGGAGAGTGGTCTGGGCGGTTCACGCCTCTTGGAGACTTTGATGGTCGCGCCACCATCGAAGAAATCGTCGTCGTCGTCAGCATCCCGGAACTTTTCCAGGTCAATGAAGCTTGGTGAAGGTGTCGATTTCGTCTCCTTGGGCTCCTCTTGCGCCAGAGGGAGAGAAAGCCTTAACGACTTTGAAGGACTAGGTTGCGCCGAGTTACTGACTTGGCGCAACACTTCAGGGAAATGTGTGCTTTCCCGTGTCTTGATTTGCAGCCCCTGTCCTAGCTCTGGGAACTCCAGGTCGTCTACCCAGTCCTCCTGGATGATTTTCTTGATCTTCCTTCCTCCAAGTCGCTTGATCGTGCCGCCCATCAGGGCCGTGGGTGGCACATTCTTAGGAAGCGGGATGCCGGCCTTAGCCGCGGCGGCAATCGCGTCTAGTGTTGACTTCTCATCGTTGTCTGGTAAATGCACCTGCTTCTCTTCCTCCGCGTGGATGGAGTCGTATTCGGAGCGGAAGGAGGATGCCGAGTCGCGCCGGTTGTACGACGCGTTGTTGATCGAATTGGAATTAGAAGCAGAAGGAAACGCGATGTCTTCGCCGTCAATCAGAAAATCGTCGTCATCCCAGTTCTCGATTTCGTCCTCGACAGGCGGCCGCGCCTTCAGGCGCAGGGTTGAAGAATCCATGGCTGCTCCTGATGATGTTGTAAGAAATATGCTGAATGAAGTGAGCGATTGATCGGGTGGCGGCTGCTTGATCACAGCAGCCGCAGCCGCGGTGGGAATCGCACAGCAAGGTGAGCGCGGGCCAGTGTGGTCAGTGATGCGGACTCATAGTCGACGACACCTCGGGGCGTCTCTGGCCACCACGTGCCGGCGGTTTGATCGGTTGCGGGGTCGGACAGGTCCTCGGAAGTAGAAATAAAATAGTCGCGGAGTCAACGAAAAGGTGGTAGCAATCGGCGAGTATCGGGAAACGAGATCCGGAAGCAAGAGTTCAACAAGCAAATTCAGCGCATGCCCAATTGTGCTGTCTGGGAATTCGGTCAAAAGGTTTGTTGTGCAGAACCAGGCCGAATTGCGCAGACGATTCCGAAGTCACATCGAAGAAAACAGAGCGGGCTCGGCGCGTTGTGTAGGATGTGGTGACAGTTTGAAGATAATAAGTCCTTTCCAGATTCCACAGTTTCCAACAAGGAGAAAAATCGGAAGTTTTCTGAATTGCGAGAATACCAAGTCGTGTGTCGTGTATCAAGGAGGAGGCAACGTTGGCACAAAATTGGAATGGCGGGACTGGACAAATCGAGGTCCTGTGGCTGGAAAAGTCGGGGCGAGGGATGCAAGAAAGCAAGCAGAGGGGCCAGGGGCCAAGCACCCCAACCTGCACCAAAAAGGCAGGGTGCGCCAGTGTTATTGGGCACAAGTGTAGCCAGGTGCCCCCCCGAGACCCACTGTCGCAAAGACACATGTGTTTTTCCTAGCAAAAGTCTCACATTCTCCTGCACAACTTGTGTGTATTTTTGTTCTCGTCGTTTTTCACTGCACACGAAGGAAAATGTTCAACATACTCGCATTGACATTTCAAGGGACCCAATTTTGACGGTTTTTGTGCTGAAAAAACGTCATATACAAGCTTCCCCAATTGCCTCACATGACCTGCGTAACGGCTCGTGCATGGACCTCAGTGTTTGGCCCGGCTACCAAGTGGTTCGTTTAGCTAGGTAGGTTCGGGGTCGCGTTCATGACGCGACACCTACCGCGCCTCCCCGCCTTCCCACCACCGTAATAAGCAACCAGCCATCAAAGCATGAACTCTTTTAGTTGTTAATACGGATACCATCCTTGAAAATCAACACAAGAAAGGGAATCTCCTCCCCACGTAGTTAAAATTTTGACAAATGGGAACCAGCACACCATGCTGTTGGGCCACTAACTACCTATCCATTGAGGGCAATTCGATCAAGATTGCCTCGACGCTGAAATCTTCAAACAAAGGAATGAAGTGCTCTCCCGACTTACAGAGGATTGACATATCCATTTTGATCTCGCCCGCAAAGGGTGCCTTGCATCTTGTCCAAGTGAGTCCCTGTTGCATGGGCTGTGATTGGATTTTGGAGTGTACAAAATACGGTCTCTTCCAGCAAGCTCCAGCGCTGCCTAGGGCGAACCCGCTTGCTGCCTGTTGGCTTCTGATCTGAGCTCAATTCGCAGCCACTTCTCCCAACTGTCACATAAATATGATAAATGTTGAATTGCCCGGCGTTCACCCGCCTCTCGGTCCTTCGTCTCCGTTGATGGCAAATGCAAACAGCGCACGAATGAAACGAAAATAGATTCCCCAAATATCATACCACAAAACAACAAAGCTACACAACAGCACCAATCAAGATCCCTCAAACAAGCCGATCCATAGTTATTCCTTTTCGGGTCCTCATTCTCTGCCATCGGTCCTCCATCCCCGACCCGCTCGGCGAGCGACAGGATATATTTCTGCTTCGGAGGCATAAATCCGGCTTCCTCCAATCTCTAGGCCTGTTTCACCTCGGCCTCGCCGTGCCGTGTGTCAGCCCATTGGGAGATACCTCACTTTACACAAGAGCTACGGTGGAATGACGAAGTACAAACCACCAACCAACAGCCAACAACACCGTTTGACAGACCTCACAAGAGAAGTAGCCAACCACTGGCTCATTATTTTTCGGCGGAATTAGAAACCAGGGAACCTTATCATCTACCCCCGACAACATCCACAATCTCTCCACCCATCATGGTCAACTCATACATCATCCGTGTGGCCCGAACTGACGAGGATGGCTCGTTTGTCCTCGGCGAAGTAACACCCTCGGGATCCAAGCCACTTAACGTTAAGTTTGTCGCCACTGAAGGGGAAGAGCCCTATGTTGTCAAGTGTGAGTCTTGCCACCTTTCCCCTTCTCATCGTAACACCCGCTCGGGGAGGTTGTTCCGAACCGGCGGCACAAGGCATCCGTTTATGCGTTACCTACCGTTCCTATTTTTGCTCGGCATTATGCAATCAACGAGGAGAAGATTAACAAACGGCCAGTACGACATGACAAGATTGGGGAACTGCGGGCGAGTAGCAGTGCGTGCACGGCGGAGGAATGGGAGAGCATACTGAAAGCGCTACTCCTTGGGGCAGAACCTGTTGAGGGTATTGAGGCGGGCGCAGAGGCGAACGTGGGCAAGTCAATCACCATCACCATCAGGCGGAAGGTGGCCGGTATCAATGTATGCGTACCCAATTCAATCCCACAAACAAGCTGAAAACGCATACTGACATCCCCCCAGCAACGCCTCGGTTCCCTCACACTCAACCACAAAGCCGATGAAGCGATTCAATTATTTGACTGGTGCGGAGCCGCTGCCCTACAGCGTGAGAAGTTCCAAGAGACCGCGACCAAGGCAAAGTCCCAAACTTCCAGCCTAGAAGCTAGCATCGCCGAACTTCGCAGCCAGCTCGATGAACTCACAACATCCAAGAGGACAACTGAAACTGAGATGCTCGAAAAGTTCTGCATCCTCCTCAACGAGAAGAAAGTCAAGATCCGGGAGCAGCAGCGTCTCCTCAGCACCGCACAAGTCGACCCGTCCAAGCTCGACGCAGCCCGCGCTTCCCAAGCCGCTCGATCCACACCTGCTACAGAGCGAAAGCCAGCACCATCCCGACGTGCCAAACGCAAGGCATCGGAAGATGCCTCAGGCGGGAGTTCGTCGTCCGATTCAGATGACGGGTTCGATAAGCCAGCCGCTTCCAAGCCCTCCCTCAAAGCAGCTTCTGATAAGATGGATATTGACCAAACCGAGTCCGAGAATGAGCCGCCCCGAGGAGCTCGAAGTGCCAACGCAAGTAAAGACAGCCCCGAGTCAGAAGACCGCGAGACCACCGATGAAGACGGGACTGAAACAGCGAGTGAGCCAGACGAAGAGCCAGCACCCCCTCCTCCGCCACCCAAAGCCCGGCAGCAGAAGAAGCCGGAGCCTGCGAAGGGACGAGCCGTGGCAGCAGCAGGAGCAAGTAAGGGTGGGAAAGGCAAAGACGTTGTGATACACCCTCGTCGGCCAGTGAGACGGGCCAAGGCGGCCACACCACCGCCTGCAGAGGCGAGCGAGACGGAATCGGACGATGAGTTGTGATGTGGGTTATAGAGATGTTGTTATGACCTAGACCACGAGACTGGGGTTAGACACATAGTCTACCATCATTTTTGGTTTTGTTCCTCATGTGTCCGACACCTCAAAACACCAACTCTACTATATCCCGATCTCCGGCTACATACCTCCCTCCTACCGCCGATCCCCCTCCTCAAATTTACCCAACCAGAACCCCCTAAAATGCTTCTCCCTCCCTTTCTCCGCAATCTCGTCCACCTCCCTCGGCGTCAGCTTGAACAGCGGCACCCGCCGCTTCCACTCCTGCAACCGCTGCTCGCTCGCACTCGTCGTGATCGCTACCACCCCTTGGTCCAGCACCCAGCGCAGCGCCACCTCGCCCGGCGTCACCCCGTACTTCTTCGCCGTACGCGCATACACCTCGTCGACCGGGCCGGGCGCGGCCTTGGTCACGGCGGTGAGCGGAGAGTACGCCTCGACAGCGATGTCGTGCGCGCGGTGAAACGCCAGCAGGCCTTCGTCCACGCCTTCGGCGTTCTTAACGCCCGTCTCGAGATGCTGTAGATACGGGTGATACTCGATCTGGTTGATGGCTGGCTTGTGCCTGGCCGTCTTCAACGTGGTCTCGAGGTGCTCGCGCAGGTAATTGGAGACACCAATTGACTTGGCGCGGCCGTCATCCTTGAGAGCCTCGACCTCGGCCCATTTCTGCTGGAGCTCCTCGGGCGAGGCGGCCCAGAAGGGACTGTGGATTAGGTATAGGTCGACATAGTCGAGCTTGAGCTTGGCGAGGGAGCGCGAGAAGGCGGTCTCAATGGACTCGCCGGGGCGGCAGGAAGTTTTGGTGGTGATGAAAAGCTGGGAGCGCGAAATGCCAGAGCGGGCGATGGCAGCGCCTAGCTCGGGTTCGGTGCCATAGGCTAGCTTGTGTCAGTACGCTTCGGAAAGGGTGATGGGCCTAGTGTTGGTGCCAGGGAGGCTTTTCTTACATTCAGCACAGTCAAGATGGTAGTAGCCGGCTTTGATGGCCGTCAGGATGATGTTGACCAAGTCTTCGTCTAGTTCATCCTTGTTGTTGCCGCGCTTAGATCGGGCTGTTCCGAGGCCATAACCAAGCTTAAGAAGGGTTTATCAGTAAAGCGTCGGAAATACCTACTACAAACAACCCAGCTTCCACTCACCAAGGGAATCACGTTTCCATCATTTAGCCTCAGAGTAGGAATGTTATCTTGCTGTTTTGGAGTCGTTCCTGATGCGTCGGCTTGAAATCCTGCTGCTGCTGAGTTCATCTTGAGTACAATAATTTCTGTACGAATAACAACAATACGGCAGTTTTTTTGCGTGGTGACGTTAAGCAGTGAACAACACGATGAGTTCCCGTATTAAATAGTAAAAGCAAACTGCAGAGAAGAGTTATCTCCGAGAATCCGAAATCTCCTTAAATCACACAATCAGCCCACAGTCCATTAGCTCCACCATCCAGATTCGGTATTCTCGTGTTTTATCTGTTTTCTATCCGATAGTCGCCGTCCCCGTTGTCGTTCATCAGTAGTGCCCCGCAATGATGCGGGGGGCGCCATGCGTACTGCCTATGACGCCATTCAGGGGAGCTCCAAAGGGGCACAGGGGTGCAGCTGTGGAGTCCTTTGCCTGTCACTCTGCGTTGATAAGTGCTACATATGTAGTTAGGTACATATGTAAGTCATAGATGGGATGGGAGAGGAAACATGGACGAGACACCCCTGGTACCAGGTGCCTAATACGGCATGCAAGTAACAGAGAGTTGCAATAACGTCTGACCTGAATGAAGGATAAACCGCCGCGTCTGATTCAGAGGAAGAACACCCGACGACGGCAGGCCGGAAGGTGAACCGAGGAAACGTCGGCCCCGCAAATGGGGTGGCGGCGACCGCTTAAGCACAAGCACAGCAGTTCTGAACCCCTGTACTTGGTAGGGTGCCCTGAACCCCGATGACGTGCGGTTCCAGCACATGGGACGCCCCGCCACCTGAGCCCTCACTTTTTATCAACCCACCCGACGTCAACCTCCACCGAATACATGTTGGCTTCTTCAGAAATAGCACAACTCCTAATATATCTTGCGTTAAGGATTTGACAAGTTTACGTGGGATCAAAGAGATCAACCCCCGTCTTAGTTCATTCCCCCTCAGGCAATTCCCTCTTATCCGCGAAGCACTTCGCCATTGCCGGTGCAAGCCGAACCGAGAGCAGGATCCCCCGCCCTCGAACATATTGACCTTCCGAGTATTCACCTTGATGCGCTTTCAACCTGCCGCCCGCTGCTTCGCCATAGCCCAGCAGCTTCGAAGCCCCTGGAGCCGGCCTTTTTCGCCCCCTTTGCCTTCATCCGCAGCGGCAACTGCCGCCTTCACGATGGCCACACACGACTTCAACCAGAACGCAAATCATTCCTCACCACCACCGCCTCCAACCCCCAAAGCTAGCAGTGGAACAACCCTCGCCGCGCTGCCCAAGTCATGGCACTTCACCTCCTCCCTTCCAGCCGATGAGCAGTTCCCGACCCCGGCCGACAGCCATAAGGCGCCGCGCGAAGATCTGGGCCCACGCCAGGTGCGCAACGCCCTCTTCACTTGGGTGCGGCCCGAGACCCAGCAAGATCCGGAGTTGCTCGCCGTGTCGCCCGCTGCCATGCGCGATCTGGGCTTGGCACCATCCGAGGCCGAGACAGACGAATTCAAGCAGACAGTCGTCGGGAACAAGATCCATGGCTGGGACGCCGAGACGCTGTCGGGTCCGGGCTACCCGTGGGCCCAGTGCTACGGCGGGTTTCAGTTCGGTGACTGGGCGGGACAGCTAGGCGACGGAAGGGCGATAAGTCTGTTTGAAGCCACAAACCCGCAGACGGGGAAGCGCTATGAGGTCCAGCTCAAGGGGGCTGGTCTCACGCCATACAGCCGTTTCGCTGATGGCAAAGCGGTTCTGCGGAGCAGCATCCGTGAGTTCGTCGTCAGCGAAGCCCTCAACGCCCTTGGAATTCCCACTACCAGGGCACTGGCTCTCAGTCTACTTCCCCACAGCAAAGTTCGTCGGGAGCGCCTCGAACCTGGCGCCATCGTAGTGCGCTATGCTGAAAGCTGGCTTCGTTTTGGCAACTTTGACATCCTCCGCGCCCGCGGCGACCGCATCCTCACTCGGCGCTTGGCTACCTACCTAGCTGAAGACGTCTTCGGGGGTTGGGAAACCCTCCCTGGCCGCCTCGATGACCCGTCAGAACCGGCCAAAAGCTCCGAACCTTCGCGCAACATCCCACGCGATACAATCCAAGGCCCACCCGACGCCCAAGAGAACCGCTTCGCCCGCCTCTATCGCGAGGTTGCCCGGCGCAACGCCCTAGTCGTCGCCAAGTGGCAAATCTATGGCTTCATGAATGGTGTACTCAACACCGACAACACATCTCTGTTCGGCCTGTCCATGGACTACGGCCCGTTCGCCTTCATGGACAATTTCGATCCCAAATACACTCCCAACCACGACGACTACCTTCTCCGCTACAGCTACCGCAACCAGCCGACCATAATATGGTGGAATCTTGTCCGGCTTGGTGAAGCCCTCGCCGAATTGATCGGTTCTGGTGCCAACGTTGACACCGAAGAGTTCATTTCCACGGCGCCCACCGAAGCAACCGCCCCGACCTTGGCCGTCCTCGCCGAGAAAATTATCAACCAGGTCGGCGAAGAGTTCAAACATGTCTTTTTGACCGAGTACAAGCGCCTATTCGGACTCCGCCTAGGCTTCAAAACCGCGCAAGACACAGACTTCGACACCTTTTACTCACCACTCCTCGATATTCTTGACGACCTCTCCCTCGATTTCCACCTCTTCTTCCGCCGTCTATCTTCCCTCCAACTGTCCGATATCTCCACGCCTGAAGCCAGAGTCAACCACGCGGCAATCTTCTTCTCCCCGGATAACAACACCAGCAGGTATACGGCTCGTGAGGACACAAGTCCCGTCACAAAAACGGCCGCCGCGACCTCCACAGCCTCGACAACCGACACCTCCAGCGCCAACTCCGCCACCGAACCCAACCGCCAGCGCATCGCCGACTGGCTCGCCAGTTGGCGGGACCGTATTCTTCAAGACTGGGCCGACAACGACGCAGACGACGCCCGCATCGCCGCCATGAAAGCCGTCAATCCATCATTTATTCCACGCAGCTGGATCCTCGACGAGGTCATCCGCCGCGTCGAACACGAAGGTGACCGTGATGTGCTGCGCCGCGTGACGCACCTTGTCCTGCACCCCTTCGAGGACAGCTGGTCCGGGAAGGAGTTTGATGGTACCAATAAAGTTTACAAGGGGGACGAAGAAGAGGAGGCGCGATGGACAGGAGATGTTCCCAAGGACGAGAGAGCTATGCAGTGTAGTTGCAGTTCGTGAATCCGTCTGGACTGAGAGATAGCGATGATAGCGTGGCTATCATTTTCATCAGCATTGGTACCCTATAACTTCAGGAGCCATAGTATAATATCATTCGTTGATAAACGAGAGACTATGAGCGAGAAACTATCCGAGTACATGGACAAGGCCCAGTAATCCATTCATAGGCCATGCATCTCCAGCGAATCATTCCTCCCTCTCTCCTCTCTCCTGATAGCACAAGTCAACAAGAAAGAAAAACAAGCAAAGCATATGTATGGTAGACATCCCAAAAACAATGACCATCCTTTCTCAACCTTCACACTCTTCTGATCCTCCCTAACTGGTGATGTCTGCCGATAAAAGGATGATTCATCAGAGCTATATAGGGTTTTGGAACGGGGTTGCCAGTGCGGCCCCGGTCTCGAAGAGGTGGTGTGTTTGGTGGCTGTCCCCACTAGATCTTGACACGACAGATTCAGCCCCCTCCTCCGAAACGGGTATCCGCCGCCGTTCAATATTGCAAAATCCATTAACTATGATGTGTCCAAGGCACTCGAAATGGGCAGTAGCCTCCCGAGCGTAGGATGTCGGGTGATTTGGGAAAACGTAGGTGCTGACGAAGATGCTGATAAAAACAGTCTCTCAATATGGTGCTAGAGACCTCTCGTTGTGAGAAGTGTTCACGAAATGCGTGGTGTGGTCCAAAAAAGCGTGCGTCAGAAGCGTCAAAGCCCCGAGCATAAAAAGTTCGGCGGTATCCCGGTTTGGGTTGGAAGGCAAGAGTGGCGCCCACTCATCGGAAGCCGCTGCCGTAACGGGCGCTGCTCGCCATCCGGCCCGGCATCGGGCCTACGGCGGGGCCCGGGCGGGTGGCGACCGCGTGGTTGGTGCAGAGCATACCGACACGAGAGCCAAACTTGGATCCACGGAGGGATACCATGTGCTTGCGGATGTGAGCGGCAACCAGCTCGCGGTGCTGGGGGGCGGCGTGTGTCAGGATGTACTGGATGAGATAGTTGCCGTACTGGTCGCTGGCAATATCAATGAGTGGAATCCGGGGCCGATCGATGCGACCTTCGCAGACGCGGTCTAGGTAGCGACCCAGAAAATCTGGTCCGCCGATTTTCAAACACTTCTCAACCACCTTGGAAGCAAACTGGTCCATGCTGTACTCGGCGGCGTAGCGGATGACGTGGTCAATGGCGCGGCTACGATCTGCCGGCGCACCATGTTCACACACGTGCTGGATACACCAGTTGCCAAATTGGCCGTGGGCAACGATGTCAATGTTGGCGAGTACCTCCTCAATACAAGGACGCTAGGGATAAGGTCAGTATTCGTGAGAAGCAGGTAACGTCGAGCTAGTATCTCACCTTGTCCTCCTCCAGACAATTCTCAAATATGTTCTGAACAACCAGGCTCCCCGTCTCGCCGAGAGCAACCTCATGCCACATGCCGCGCAAGGCTTCGTTCACATACTTCATAATCTGCGGGGGCGACTCAATCCAACGCAACTCAAACAGCTTCTGCCAAACATGACAAGCGTAGCGGTGAATAACCGTCTCCGGGATCCGTCGCAGCAGCTCATGAACCATGATCGCCTTGTAGTCCTCCGGGACCGAGTCGAACGCCTTCTGCACTACATGGCAGCCAAAAGGATCCATCGAGAGATTGAGGGTATTGCCGCGGATGGCCTGCGCAATTTTGATGACTTGCTCGGGTGTGCCGTGCTCGAAGCAGCGTTGGACCAGAAAGTTACCGAAACGGTTAACCATCAGAGGATAGGCCTGAGCCACAATGGCTTCGACGATGTCATACTTCTGCTCCGGAGTCCCAACCTTGAGTTTCTGCTGCAAGAAGATGGAAGCCTGTTGGTCATTGTTGCAAACAATCTTGTCAACAATGTACTTCCAATCGCAGGTGACGTTGCGGTCAAGCAGGCGGCGGTAGTTCAAGGGTTCTGTGGTCGGCGATACGTATGTCTGGCCATCTGCAGTCAAAGTCTAAGAGAGGGCGTTAGCATGAGGTTTTTGTTGAAGTTGCGTTCAATTCATTAACTGACCTCGCCTTTCCAAGACGGACCGGTTGATGAGGTAAACTCAGTGGCGTGGGGAGAAAGGGAGGTTCCGGCCTGTTGCTGCTGTTGGTAAGAGTAAGGCGCCATTCCCAGACCATTTCCCATCATTGCTTGCGGACCGGCCGAATAACCCTGCGCCATGTCGTAGGGCGCGGGGCCCATGTTGTAACCATTAAAGCCACAACCTAAATGGCTCGACGAACCGTACCGATTCTCATACCGGTTTCCCCGGCGTCCCATTGGTCTCATCGCATCATGGTCAGGGACCATGCGATCTTGCCGATACATGTCCATACCGGAAGATGGGAATGCGGAGTCGTAATTAGGACCGCGGTGGCCGGGCCACGGGGCTGGCTGAGTTCCATCCATCATCATCTGGCCCTGGAAGTATGAATCGTTGGGTTCTGACTTCGTGTTGCCGTTGCCGTTATTCCAGATACCCCGAGGACGGTTCATGACGGCCACCGGCAGCGAGTCACCGATGTTAGAAGAAGTATCGTCTTGAGTCATCCAACTACCCTCGCGGGAAAACGACGGCACCTTGCTCGACGAGTTGTGCGCCATATCGGAGGGAGTGCCAACTGGCGAGTCCGAAGAACGCATCGTAGACGCGTAATCACGCTCGGGTGCCAACGCAGGGTTGACAAACTCCCCAGTTGTCTTGACGCGATTCTGTGCCAGCTCCTGATCCATCTGAGAGATCTTGGTCTGAGCTTGGGCAAGTTCGATCTTGAGTCGCAGAAGCTCCTCAGTGGCCGCCTGGTTATCGGTAGGGGTGGCGCTTGCCGATCGAGTTCCTGACACACCCGAGGCGGAAAAGGATTCAACGGCCGGCGTAATGGGAAGAGAGTTACACGCAGCTTGGTTATCAAACCCCCGCGAATACATAGTCGCGTCCTTAGCGGCCTTCTGCGCATCGGTTCGTTGCTGCAGTATGGAGTGTTGCTCGGAGAGTTGTGCGTAGAGTTTATCCATCGGATACGAATCGACAGGTGAGGCTGACCCGCGCTGCATCTGAAAATTCTGTGTTGGTCAGTACAGAGCGGCGATAGTCCAAGATGCGGGGCCTCCTACCTTGAAGTTGTTCTGGTTTCCCATGTTGGGTGCCTCGAGGGCGCTCACGGCTTGCTTGAAGGAACGGGCAGCCGCGGCGTCCTGAAGGGCGATGTTAGATCGGATCTCCAAAGCAATATTACACGTTGGTTTGACTGCGGGGGAAATGCCGTTGGAGTAATGAAAGAAGGGGTGGGTGATGTAGGGTAGGCAAGTGGTCGATAACGGAGATGTGGGATGTGGCAGCAAAGGTATAACGAAAGAGAGGTGAGCAACGAGGGGCAGGAACTAGGCCCCGCAAGAGATGTGCCGCGATATTGCGGGTCCGGAATAACAACATACCTTAGACTCGTAAGCCATGGGCTCCTCAAACGTGTTTGAATTCTCGTCCTGGGAGAAATTCTGGGGAGTAGTCCCGCGGCGATCACTTGGTCCGCCCGACAGGGAAGCGTTACCAATGACCACTGTAGCACCAGACATGGCAGCTGAGGCCTGATGGTTTTTGGGGACAAGTTCGGCGTGTATTTGGATATTGTAGTGCCGCAGTTGTGTTTGCTTCAACAAAATGAGAGAGTGCTCAAGAAGTTGGAAAGAGAAGTAGATAGGTAGATCTGAGAAGTTAGACTTAGGAATTGGGAAAAGAACCCGGTGGGATGGATATGTGCAGGAGTAGAATTTGCACCAGCAAGAAAGAGCCAAAAGGGGACGAGGTTGTAGGGGGAGGAAGGTACCCCCCGGCCCGCCCAACAATAAATCAACCTTCACCTTTTCCGTGAAAGGACCTCGGGTACTATACACGTAATAAATCGCGTTTTGAACCGCACACCGCTATGGGAATTCTAGGCAGTAAAATTTGCAGAGTTCAGTTGTCAATTAGGGACAAAAATGGTAACTCAGGAGTAAAAACGAAAGGACAAATGCCTTTGTGAATGGAGGGGTAAAAGAAAATCAACCTTCACAGCGGCAAATACCCAGTATCGGGCTGGCTCGTGTCCATAATTTGGGCCTCACTCCCTGTCGTATTATTAGTCACATACCATGAGAAACTCCTTCCTTATTCCCAAATCATGATGGCACAAACTTAAACCATGCTTACCTCGTCTGTCTGTGAAAAGGCAGGGTCAGGGAAGGAGCCGGTCGGGAAGTCTTGCCGTTGCTGGCGATATGGGGCCGAATGGCGGCGGAAACCCAAAGTTCAGAAACCGGGCAGTGGCCCTTGTTGGCCATGAGTGAGAGCCCCAAAGTAACTTAACCTGAGATACATAGGGGAACCAGATTACCACAACGGGTCTCTACACCTACCATAGTAAATGCCCCATGTGTACTGTTTTGGTGAGGCCTAACTCCATCTCGATACCGTTCCCATTCTCAGATCCTAGTAGTGCGGATAGGGGTCTCATTGCCTTAACATTGGTTCTAAGATTTTAGTTAGTATAATGGGGAATGTAAGGAGAAATGTGAATGGAGTTGGGATGAAGTAATAGGGAAAGCAAAGCACGAGACATCGCCGTCAGCTGGGACTTGGGGGCAGGATAGGCTTCACCCAACACCTATCACTAGATGCCCTTAGAAATGATAGATCAATGAGCGCCCTAAAATCAAGCCCTGACCAAGTCTATTGCCTACAGCCCCCACGTCTTAATTGGCCATTCCCAACGGGCTTGGTGGGCAATATTAAAGAGCAATGGATAACCAGCAGACATCTCTGACTACCACTATCAACGGCGGTCTAGGATTCGTGAATAACGCTCCGTTGTGAAACGCTTGGGACATCATGGTGTTTCCTAATACAGTATTGTACATATCGCATCGCATGGATCACGTGTGGTGCGTTTTCCCATTTGTCTATTTTTTCTTCTTGCCCGGAGTTGGTGCGTCTAGCAAATGGTCAGCCTCTGGTTGCAAGAAAGGAAAGAACATATCATGGGCAGTGAAACATACCGGCGACCCTCTTCTTTTTCGGCGCCGATTTCCCACGCGCTTTGAGACTGTGATGGTGTGTTAGGGTGGTGTGCGTTTGCATGATGGAACGAGGCGACGTACGCAGCAATGTGATCCAGGCGGTCAACCTCCTCCTCATCCTCAACCTCAAGCTGGAGATGTTCAAATTTCTTCTGAAATTGGGAAGTATTCATAATCTTCGGGGGGTAATATGACGCCAGCGCAGAGCCCTTAAGCCGTTGTCGAAGGATTTTGTTACCGGTGCGGACGCCCTCGGGGTTGAATGTTGTTGAGAAGAGCTCGCACCGAGCCTGAGTCTGTCAGTATTTTTACCGGGAAATAACTTGGTAGCGTGGTTAATACATACCCTCATAAGTTCGAGTAGCCGCGCACGAGGAACCGACATCTTGCCGCTACATGGAGGTCTGGGTTGGCGAATCACCAGAGGTGGGAAACAGGGGTACTGTGAGAGTTGACGTCGGGAAGATCTTGGGCTGTTTTGCCCGCCTCCAATCAAAAATGGTTTCCACTGCAAGTGGGGAAAGAGTTGCCCCACAGATTTTGTGGACCCGATCGCCAAATTCAACATCTGTTCACACTGTTCTATTCGTACATAACTATGGATAGTTAGTTATTATAACGAACGTGACGAATTCCTTCAAGATTAGATCTAGATGAAAGCGGTGCTGATTATTATAAATGGGGATTCACATTAACACATATTTAGATTCGGGGTTGGGATATATGGTGAGTGATTCTATATCTGCTGCCGAACATCTTCCAAATGACTAACCAATGGGATTTGGGAACCCGCCAAGACTGCGCAACTAAAAGGAGCTTTTTCTCCCTTTCAAGTCTCATCCATATTACATTTGCACGGGGAGAATCATTGACACGCGGCCCAGAGCCCAAATGCCGAAACGCTCTCACGGGGAGGCCACGGCGACGTCGCCGTCGGCGCCAGCGATAATATCAGCCACCGCGTCTACTCCCTCAGAACCCGCGCCAAAACGAAGCAAACCCTCCACCACCACCACTCCATCACCTCAAATACCCCCTTGGACCATCTTCACAAAATGGACCTCATCCACCATCACCAACACCCGCCCACCGCTTCCCACCGTCCTCAACCCCGCCCTCGAGACAGCAGCACTCACTCACTCAGGAATGCGCAAGAACCTCTCCGACCCGAGCTACGAACAGCTGGAATGGATCGGCGACGTGTACCTGGAACTGATCGCGTCAGAGTTGATCGTGCAGACCTTTCCGACCCTTGACCCAGGTCGGTCATCTCACTACCGCGAAATGCTGGTACGCAACGCGACCCTCGGCCAGTTCTCGGTGCACTACGGGCTTGACCGACGAGCCAACTTTCCCGCTGAGTTTGGGCTCGGCGGTCGCCCCAATGGCACCAAGGCAAGCGACAAGCAACGCATAAAGGCCCTCGGGGACATCTTTGAGGCCTATGTTGGCGCCATCGTCCGCTCCGACCCAGAGCATGGCTTGCGCCGCGCCGCTGACTGGCTCAAGGCCCTTTGGGGTCCGGTACTAGAGCATCATGTGCGCGAAGAGGAAACTGGTTCGCGCGTGTCAGACCGGGAGTTGAATCCCAAAACGCAGCTCGAACAACTCATTGGTGGGCCGGGCGTCAAGCTTGAGTACCGGGACCTACCCTCGGGTGGCAAGAGGGATCGCGATACCAAACAGGAACTTTTCTTCGTAGGCTGTTTTCTGACCGGATGGGGAGAAACGGGGTTGCAATTGGGGTATGGCGGCGCGCTTGGGAAGAAGGAGGCCGGCCAGAAGGCGGCGGTTAAGGCAATGGAGAATAAGAAACTGATCAAGAAGTTTTCAGAGAAGAAGAAAATATTCCTTGCTGCTCGGGCGGCACAGGCGGAAAAGGTCGAGAAACCAACGACCGGTTCCGTTACATCATCTTGATGGTCAGATTGTTTCCTGCCGCCCTAATCTTAGTTTTCAGTTAGAGTAGCTGATTCCGATCTATTGTGTCAAAGTAACCTAGAAAGTTGCCATAAGCTCGTCCTGGACGCTCATGTTTTGTGACTCCGGGAATAACAACATTCTGGGAAGTTGACAATACCATAAACGATATTGTCATACCACTCGCCTAACGTCATACTTCTCCGCTGGGAAACACTGCGGCCTCAAACGGGTCGGTGGAGAGGAAGCCCCACTATGATCGTAGTCAATTTGGGTTCATCAAAGTAGCAAAAGCCCACCACCGAACCCCCTTGCTTCTTCAAGAGGGGGTGGGACTGGCTACGAAACCCCGGTGTAAGGTGCTCCTTGCTGTGTCAGTAAAGGCTTTGTTTTTCCCATTCTTCAGTAGGCCTCCCATCCTTCATTATATTTTTGTTTTCGTTAATCTCGGTGTAAATCAAGACCTCTACCACCTGACCTGCCTAATTAGCCTTTTGAGGTGGTTAGTGCCATTAGTTAGGCGTTCCAGAAGTTGTAAATCAAGCAAGCCACATTTCCTGCTCCTGCCTTCCGTAATTGCCCGCCCTTTACCCCCACCATTTTGAGGTTGGTGATGCGGGCATTTTGCTGCAAATATGGCGGCACTATGTCCACCATGGTTTGTTGACTTTCGGCTGTTTTGGGATTGTGGGGCGCTTGGCAAATCGGTCATTATGAGGGGTCGGGAGGACCGGTTGCTAGATCAAACACGTGCCAATTTGTGTACCGTATTTGGGAAGATCGCAAACTCAATTATTTATTGATATCGTTCTTCTTCCAAGATAACCAGAAGTAGTGGAAGAGAAAGCACGCTCCTCAGCCCCTTTCACGTGTAAGCCGAATCATGCACAACATGATTGACGACAGGGGCTGTTGTCCACCGCCAATAAGTGGTCTCGCCCATCCCGGCTTGCCCGGGCTTGGGACCCGCGCTCCAGGGGCATAAATATTGGGGAAGTGGGCCCCCAAGTCAGTCGCGCTGCCGAGGCAAAAAGGCGTTGTCGCGGGTTGCGCTGGGTTTCTTGTGGGGTGCCTTGTTACATCACCTGCAAACAGGAGCGCGACAAAACGGTTCCTCGGCCGAGATGAAGAACACATAAAAGAAGGTTGTCACCCGGCAGTGGCCAGTTGCCCCGGTTTTTGTTTCAGAAGACGGGAAACGACGAGCGCGACGTTTCTGTTTTTCCCACTATTCGAACTAGCCGACGACGTTGCTCAACACATTTTATCGAGAAAACTACAGCACGCATTGCGCTTTCCGCGAGCTTGTCCCTCGTTCAGACTTGGGCTACCCCTCTAGCTACTTAGGTATCGCGTACACCTGTCGTTCATGACGAGGTAGCTCCCAAGCACCCCGCGCCGAGACCACTCGGCTCAACATTTTTATCTCGACGCATTCAACATTCTCTTCGCACTCCGAATACCATTTGATTCAAGTCTCGTGGCCCCGTATCCATACGGGGCGAGGAAATTCAAGCATAATGTCGGACTCAATTGGTAAGACACACCCCCCCCCTTCTCAACCATCATAGGACCGCTCTCTTGCGGTTCGTACACCCCCCTGAGTAACCCCCAGGCTGACCATCTCTGCGCCGGCACCGGAAAGACCGAGTCTTTGTTCATGCCCTCAACACCGTTAAAAAGATCCCCAAAACAGGGGCGGCCCGACCACCACCGACGGACCGTATGCGCCTGTATGGCCTATACAAACAAGCTATGGAAGGCGACGTTGACGGCGTAATGGAACGGCCCACAGCTGCAACAGTAGCAACCAGCGGAAGCACACACAATGGCAGCGGCGGTGGCGGGAGCAGCAGGCGAAGCAGCATCAGCGAAGATGTCGTGCGCGAACAAGATAAGTGGGACGCGTGGAACTCGCAGAAAGGCCTAACGCGAACGGAGGCCAAGCGCAGATACGTCGAAGCGCTCATTGAAACCATGCATAAGTACGCCAGCACACCCAACGCGATTGAACTGGTCAACGAGCTAGAGTTCGTGTGGAACCAAGTCAAGAGCAACAGTCCCAGCGCGGCCGGGTCTTCGTCCGAGCGAGATGGCAGCGGCGGCGCCATTGGAGTGGTGACCGGAGGTGTTGGAGGTGCTGGTGGAAGTGGCGGAGTTATCGTGAGCCCCATCCGCCGGTTTCAAACGCCAATGAGCGGGAGTGAGGGACCGATGAAGGTTCTCAGCCCGATGAGCGAGGAGGACGAGTCAGAACGACGCATGGCCGAACTAGCCGACCAGGCCGATGATGAGCCAAGCGAGTATGCGAGACGGAACGACAAGCGGTCAAAGAGAATGGAGCGTGCTATCGTTCGGCTGTCAGCGGAGATTGCGGCGCTGCGCGAACAGATTGCTACCGGGCGGGAATGGCGGATTCGGAGGGACAAGGGTGTGTTTGCCTGGGTGGGCTGGACCTTCTGGGCCGTGACGAAACATATTACGGTCGACGTCGCCCTTTTGCTTCTACTGCTTTTTTGGATGAGGAAGAGGAGGGACAGGCGGTTTGAGGATAACGTGAGGTCCATTTTCAGGCTTGTGCGGGAGTATGTTAGGAAGGTTTTGCCCGCCCGGTGAATTGCTGCCTGCGTTGAGAAACCTCACATTACTGCGGATCCCAACCCTTCTGCGTCCTTCTCATCCCCCTCCCACAACCCGCGTCAAGGAGCAGCACGACGGAGTCTCGTGAAGACCTTGGGCATTTAATGGTTTAGAAAGCCACCACGCCGCCTGACATCGTTTCCCTTTGGGATGTCTAGCACTACGGGCAGTGAGGCAACCGATTTCAGCCTTGACCTATCCGGCCCAGCCGTCGTGTTGTTGGGGAGACGGCCGCCCAAGTATCCGGCAACTCCTACCTCTCCCCGCCTGCCCCGCGCCCACCCGCAGAGCAATACCCGGCGAACCAACACCCGATAAGGGAATCTATCCGATGAACCGAACCAGCCCAAGGATGTTTGACGATGGAAAGAGGGATTAATACTGTCACGAGCGTACGGACCTAGTTGGTTTGGGGCTCGGGAAGATGTTGACGAATAGGCTCGGGACAAAGTCTGTCACTGCTTGGGGCTTGATGCTAAGTTGTTAGGCCGACTTTCAATGAACGGCATCCTACCATCCTAGGATGTGACTGTTAGGAGTACGATTATAGATATCTACACGCCATCAGCCGGATGGCCGAGGTGCGCATTTCGTAGCGATGCCTGATGCTTCAGCCGCCTCCCAAATGTCCTGCCGGTCGCCAGCAGTATCCCAGACTTACAGGAATCCTTAGATAGATACATCCAACCCTGATAAATACGTCAGCTTTAATGATACTGGGCTTGTCTTTTCGGGGCGCATTATACAAGTCATCAAAAATTCGACAAACTCATTCAGAATTGAACTCGGTCGAGCAAAGCTCCGCGTATCTGCGGGACCAGGCGGATCAAATCCGTGTGCAGCTTACTCTCCGTTTACCCGACCCGTCCAAATGAGTCCATTTCATGGTTGGTGATAACCAGCGACGTCCGCTGAGGGTTACCCCTCCGTGGTACCGTTGGGGGGCGACCAACAGCCCTTTCTCCTCCGCTGTTGATTTCCTAGGGTTTGTCCCTCCCTCCGCCGACCCCCCCCAGGTTCCCTAAGTACCAGCAGTGCCAATAGGTACCACAAACCCTCGTAGATCTCAGCATAACCTTCACCAGCAACTTCGACGACCCCCACGGCCGAGACAATGGCTACCTCCTCCACTGCATTGCATGTACATTCCATAGTAGGTAGTATCCGCCCGCACAGTGCGAGGGCTTTTCCAGTTACCGCTCAGGGGCAGAGAGCGCGGGGTCACAATCCTGGGAGACGATTCAAACAGCCCACTCAACCACTCTCCAACACCCACGGCACCTGCTTCGACTACATAGGTCGCCCTTACGCCAGCCAACACCATGAGCCTCGTTCACGTCGTGCTCTTCCAGTTCAAGGCCGATGCAAACCCGGAAACGATCAAAGCAGTACGCTAGCGTTTCTCTAACTAGAGAGTCTTGTGTTGGTCTGAACTAGATGGCGGCTGACGGCCTAATATCATAGGTCTGCGACCATTTTCTCTCTCTCAAAGAGAGCTGCATCAACCCAACATCCGGCGAGCCCTATATTCTCTCCTTGAGATGCGGAAAGGACAACTCGCCTGAGGGCTTCCAGGTATAATGAACCGGAGGCCGCCCCAGAATCTTTCCCTGTTCTCCTCATAGTTGACAGTTTACTTTTCCTGCAGAACGGCATGACACACGGATTCGTCGTTGAGTTTGCGTCACCGGAAGATCGGGATTATTACGTGACCACAGACCCCGCTCACCAGGCGTTCGTCAAGACACTCAGTGGGGTGGTTGAGAAGCCTACCGTTTTTGATTTTGTAGATGGTCTCTACTAGATGGTGGGGTCCGTTGGATTGGATTCTGAAAATATCATCAGTCCATACATGGGAGAAGCAACGGTACGGTCAACTCGAGGTAAAGGAACGCAACAAAGAAAGGCGGCGGAGGGGTTTGGCCTGGTGGGGTATGACTGTAATTTACCGTATTGTCTCGCACTAGGCCCGGGGGGAACGCCTGGTCTGGGCATCTCGGCCATTGAACCACACCCAATGTCCAACCAAGTAGTTATTGCCAATCAGCAAAGCACCATCAATCGCCCGAAAATGGAACAAAACTCGGCCGAAAAGATAGCACCGCTCAGTAGCATCGCTCCCAGCATCTTTGTGCCTCTACGAGACGATATTCTCACCGCGGAACCACCACGGGACCGGATCGAGCGTTTGAAGAGAATCCTGCAAACCATCGATTACCAACGAGTCGGCATCAAGGAAAACCTTCTTTACATGTTTGAGCGCGAGAAGAGGCGCATCGTGCTCGAGGCTGCCGAGATAGAACAACAGCAAGGACCACCTAAAATAACACCGGGTCTAGCACCAAACGAGGTGGACGAGATCATCGCCAACATGGAGTCGCCAGCTGAGCCAGGCAAGGACTACAACGTTCGCGACATGCCGGGCTGGCTTCAGGCCACTCCCGTGCCTCCCGACGCGCCACTCCGTGACCAAACCGTCATGCAGCTCCTCAATATGGCTGAGAAGGCAGTGTTCGACTTGGAAGGATTCAACAGGCACATGGATGGCATCCAGAAGCGCTACCTTGACTGTCTCGAACAAGAGACGGCACGTTTCGCGGATATTGGAAAGAGCTCGGAAGGAAAATCAGGCTTCAAAGGGGTTTAAGACTACCGGTTGACTACAGAAGAGGTGCTACCTCGTTTGTTGACAGCCCAGTTCGTGTCACAGTTGGAGGTAAACCGGAAGCTTTCACTTTTCTTTGTCCTTTTTTTTTCTCTGGTCAAAATGTGGCAACCGGCGGTAAGAGGCGTTACTCAATGAACCTGAAGAGTTCTCGCATGCTTCCATAATCGGAGCCAAAATTTCAATCTAGAGCACAGGATAGAGGAGGACTCGGTGGAATCGCAATCCAGCACAGATGTGCCAAATCGCCGACAAAATTCTCCTACAATAAGTGCCCAGAAGTACAATGGAGAGAGAAAAAAGTTTCAAAATGCAAAGCTGCGAGATGTGGGGAGCTTAAAAAGGGACAGGCTTACAAACTGCGGTGTTTGATTGGTCAAATAAGCGGGCCTTGAGCTCACCTTCCTTGAATGCTGTTTGGTGGCCGTGTCCCTCCTCCACCACCGCAGAGAAGGAATCCGTGCGTTTCGTTTGGTTAGACCCAAAGAAGCTCAAGACCTGAACTTGCCGCCACCACCGAAGACCACCGACGCCCTCCCCCGCGCCCGCTCCCATATCCGCTCTCAAAACCCTCCGTCGAGACGGCACCATGTTGAGGCAGACATTGGCTCGCTCGGCTTGGCGGACTGGAAAGCATCCGGCCACCGCGGCCAGCCGGGCCTTTTCCGCGACAGCACAGCGACCGGCCGAAGTCGAGCTTACAGTCGGTGCGCACCCCTCCTGGCTTCTCGTCTAGCGTTTCTACGTCAATTAGCTTTCTACCGATTCAATGCTGACCTAAGTAGATGGCCGGAAGGTTTCGATCGAGGGTACGTCGATGCTCGCTGCGCCGAATTAGTTGATCGGCCGAAGATGGAGTTGGGATTGTTAATCGAGATATAGCCGGGTCCGCCCTCATCCAAGCCTGCGAGAAGGCCGGCGTAACAGTCCCAAGGTATATCCAGACAAGCTTTAGCCACTTCCCCCTGGTGCATCTATCTCGTAGAACCCTCGCTAATCATCTTGTATTCCAGATACTGCTACCATGAGTATGTCCCGCACACCCGCGCCGGCCGTCGCTTTTCCTACCCCGCCCTCCGAGCTAATGAAAGATCCCACTAGAAAACTCATGATCGCCGGCAACTGCCGTATGTGCCTCGTTGAGGTCGAGCGGGCGCCTAAGCCCGTCGCGTCGTGTGCATGGCCCGTACAACCTGGTATGGTGGTCAAGACCAACTCGCCGCTCACACACAAAGCCCGCGAGGGTGTGATGGAGTTCCTGCTGGCCAACCACCCCCTCGACTGCCCCATTTGCGACCAGGGTGGTGAATGCGATCTCCAGGATCAGTCGATGCGTTATGGTGCTGACCGTGGCCGGTTCCACGAAATCGGCGGGAAGCGTGCAGTGGAGGACAAGAACATCGGGCCCCTCATCAAGACTTCCATGAACAGGTGTATCCATTGTACAAGGTGCATCCGTTTCGCCAACGACATTGCCGGCGCCCCAGAGATGGGGTCTACCGGCCGTGGTAACGATATTCAGATCGGCACCTACCTCGAGAAGAACCTCGACACCGAACTTTCCGGCAACGTGATCGATCTCTGCCCTGTCGGTGCCTTGACTTCGAAGCCCTACGCCTTCCGCGCCCGTCCCTGGGAGCTGAAGCGGACCGAATCTATCGATGTGCTCGATGGCCTCGGCTCCAATATCCGTGTTGACTCCCGCGGCCTAGAGGTTATGCGCGTCATCCCCCGGCTCAACGACGACGTCAATGAAGAGTGGATCAACGACAAGACCCGATTCGCCTGCGATGGCCTCAAGACCCAGCGGTTGACCATTCCACTGGTACGCAGGGAGGGCAAGTTTGAGCCGGTATCTTGGGAGCAGGCTCTAACAGAAGTCTCGCACGCGTATCGGACCCTAGCTCCCAAGGAGAATGAATTCAAGGTCATCGCTGGTGAGCTCACCGAGGTCGAGTCCCTGGTGGCGGCCAAGGATCTTGCAAATAGGCTGGGCTCCGACAACCTCGCCCTTGACATGGCTAATGGCGGTCAACCGCTTGCCCACGGCATCGATGTGCGGTCTAACTACCTCTTTAACTCCAGGATCTGGGGTATCGAGTCAGCCGACTGCATCCTCCTAGTCGGTACCAACCCGAGGCACGAGGCCTCCGTTCTGAACGCTCGTATCCGGAAACAATGGCTGCGCTCCGAGTTGGAGATTGGCGTTGTTGGCCAGACCTGGGATTCCACATTTGAGTTTGAGCACCTCGGTACTGACCTGGCCGCGCTCAAGGACGCCCTAGCTGGTCCTTTCGGCCAGAAGCTCCAGGCGGCCAAGCGGCCCATGATCATCGTGGGCTCCGGTGTCACTGAGCATGCTGACGCTAAGGCTTTCTATGAGCTTGTTGGCCAGTTTGTTGACAAGAATGCTGCTAACTTCCTGACTGAGGAGTGGAACGGCTATAACGTCCTCCAGAGGGCTGCTTCACGGGCCGGTGCTTTTGAGGTCGGCTTCACCACGCCCTCCACCACCGTGGCGGAGACCAAGCCCAAGTTCGTTTGGCTCCTGGGCGCCGACGAGTTCAACGAAGCCGACGTCCCCAAGGACGCCTTTATCGTCTACCAGGGTCACCACGGTGACCGAGGTGCCCAGATCGCCGACATTGTTTTGCCGGGCGCGGCATATACCGAGAAGGCCGGCACCTACATCAACACTGAGGGTCGCGTGCAAATGACACGTGCCGCGACCGGCCTCCCCGGTGCCGCCCGCACTGACTGGAAGATAATTCGTGCTGTGAGCGAGTTTCTAGGCACCCCGCTGCCCTACGACGATGTCGCACAGCTGCGCGACCGCATGACCGAGATCAGCCCCGCACTTGCCGCCTACGATATCATCGAGCCCGTCGCTCTGGGCCAGCTTAGCAAGGTGCAGTTGGTTGAGCAGAACAAGGGTGCCAACGTCACAGGGTCACCGCTGAAGAGCGTTGTGGACAACTTCTACTTCACTGATGTCATCTCGAGGAGGTTAGTTTTACCCCCTTGCCCCTCCCTCCCTTGTCTTGCTTTGGCACAACCCCAGTGAAGGGAATAACATGACTAACAATGATATCCAGTTCCCCAACAATGGCACGCTGCTCAGCAGCCAAGGAGACGGGTGACCCGCGCACAAATTTTATGGCGCCGGGGATGGAGGAGGACCGGCCAATGGGCCAGGTTGCATACGGAGCATAAAGAAAAGCTTTGAGAAGAATTCCTTCGGTGGTCACGCGGTAGCGGCATCCAGGAGGGCTTGTGAATGTTGGGAGGGGTGATAAAAGAGTAGAGGTAGAGAGAAGCGTGAAAGTGGGTGATAAGGAGAGTAAACTTTTGTCTTCAAGTTTTCCTTGTTCTCATTTTCCCTTCCCTTCGCTACCTTACTTTTCGCACCCGTATCTGGCCCCATTGTTGCTTTTCTTTCCTTTGTCAGTTATTTTCTTCTCCGGTTTGGTTGGCTGTACATAGTTGGGGCCGGTGGGGAGGAGGGGAGGTGGGCGGAAATCTGAGGCATCGTTCCGTTGAGTTTATACCTCGTCAAGTTGTGACCATGCTTCGTAGACCAGACATATCTTTTTTGTCTAACATGATAAATTGATTTGGGGGTCCTCTGATTTAATTATGAAGCATGCTCGCCGATCCGGTCCCCCAGACACTGTGTAATGTTCTCCACCTCCGCCTCTCAAAACTAGTCCCAGCCCGCTATAATCCTCGGGGGATAATTGTGCCCTCCTTCCTGTCCGACTCTTAAGCATTTCCTGGCGGGGTCGGGTAGGCCATTCCATTCCAGGTCACATTATTCCCGCTCCTTCCCGTGCTTTCTGAATGGGAGGGATGAAGCCCTTGCTCGGGTTTAGTATAGGAGGAGGGTATCCGCCCGTGCCGCCCAAAGGGAATTCAGATCCACTAGTTTAGTTTCCTAGGAAAGGGCTCAATAACCCGTCCCTCTCCCCTCCTCTCCCCGATCTGTCCTTAGTTCATCAACCATTCCGCTTCTTTCAACTGGCGTTTGGTCAGTCTGACCCTCCAGCCTTCCAAAGCTGTTGCTTAGGTTCCAAAAAATTATAAGCCACTTCGAGTTCGAAAAGAAAATGTGAAGGCATAATAGTTCTATTTCTTCGCAATGATAGTTCATGTTGTGAAGTACAAGCCAGCCAAGGTCAACTGGTAAACACTACCATACCTGGCTGGCAGTACTGTAATGAATATGACGAAGAAGGTACCTATTTGACGATGTACCTCAAGGGAATTCCGAGGGGAGTTGTTACGACCTCAGGGTGTTTATTGCGGAAGGGGAGGGAACTCCTTGTCGACGACGTTGCCGAAGACACTGTCATGTCCCTGGGCGTCGGCCGGCGAGTCCTTCTCCCACGGCTTGCGGGGTGCCTTCATCTTGCCAAAGGGTGTGACTCCCTGTGTCTCGTTAGTAACAGGCCTTCATTTGTGGGTTATACTTTTGTTCGAGCAATAAACCGGGATGGGAGAAGGTGTTCGAACGGATTGAAAGAACCCAATGAAGGAAAACTTACCGGCGGGCGCACCACAGTATCCGGGATCTCCTTGATCCCAGGGATCGGCTTGCCCAGGGTCACAGCTTCGATTAAGGCTTGAAAGTTCTCCGGATACGGCGCACCATCACCGACATTAATATGATTGCCGGCATCATCAGCTTTCTTGCTAAGGTCGACCTTTGGGGCGTTCAGTTGCCAAGCGGGGATGTTCTGAACCTCGCCGCCTGAAGACGACGACGCGCCCCCACCCATGCGCTGTTGGATTTCAGCAAGCTTGGAAAGAATGGCTGCATCGGGACGACCCGACTGCTGATTCTGGGAGTCACTGTAAGACTCATACAGATTGCGGTCGATGTCGGTGTTGAAGCGTGACTTGTACCACCAGATGCGAGCCTGGAGAGTGGTGCTCAGAGCCTTCTGGCGGCTGAAGCCGTCGTTGGCACTAATGAGCGACGGGCCTAGAGTGACCATAAGGCCTTGCTGGGAAGAGTGTTAGCATCGAGCAACAAACTTTAGGAGTAAAGGATTTGGTTAATTGAGGGTCAATCAACATGTGGCGATTTCTTACAAGGAACGAGCGGTCCCGGACCCAGGGGTAGGCATCGAATTGGCGAAATGCAGCCTCAGTGTTGCCCGGCTGTGCCGAGGCGGCGCCCATGACTTGATTCACGTTGGTCTCCATTTAGAGATACTCGGAATAAGTATGCATGCGTGGGTAATGATGAATTTGGCCGGTCGGGGTGGGTTGCTCGGCGAAAGTCGGTACCGGTTCTCTGTCAGGCCGGGAAGAAATATCGATGAAAGCCGAGAAAAATATAAATGTATGTTGTTGCGAGGGTTACACCCCCAAAGTCGCCCTGCTAAAATCTGGTGCTGTAACAATGAACCAATGTTTCTGAATGGATTTCGATAGCACCCTGGTTGCCGTCCGGTGTTGCCTCGGTACTTTGCTGGTTTGTTTGTGCTGTCCGGATTGGAGGGGTTGAGGGGACAATACCAAGTTGCATTGGAGAACGAACATTCAATGAGTGGCATGAAATGCCCCTCTTCAAAGCACCGAAAATCAGTGTCACGAGCTAAGCAATAACAATTGGCACCGATTTGTTGTTACATATTGTCTAAAGATTATCTATTCAAGGTAATAGATGAACAATGTCACAGAGAATTAAGTTCCTTGGAAGAATACTAAACAAGAGCTAGAACATTCGGGTACCTCTGTAGGTAGCATGTCCCTTTCTTTAATTCACAGCTGCCGCCCCGGATTCAGGCAGGTTCGAGTGGGGCAAATCAAGCTCGTATATCCGTATTCCGTACTCCGTACAGATACACAGTAGGAAGTACGGACCCGCACAGTCCGGAATAGCGGGGTGCCGTCGAGGCACGTGAAAGGGCGCCCAGGCCTCGTGCCAAGAAGACGCGTTGGGAGACGCGTCTCCAGCGCCAATCCGTTCCTTCCCCAACCTTCAACCTCCAAACTGCCCTCACAACGTCCGAAAGGAGTCATCTTGATCCGATGCAAGTCGAACCCGTTGAGATTGCCTGAGATGCAGACACCGTCAATTCAGTCGAGATATCCAGCTATCGCCGAAAATCCCATGGCCAACCCGCCCTCCCAGCCATCGTCTTTCGCTCCGAGCGATCCCACCACGCGCCTCGCCTCCCCCACAGTCCTCCGATTCCAATTTTCCGAAAGGAATGCCTCTGAGCCGCCCTGCGAGACTCGGGCCACCCGCAGTACGTCGCAGCTTCGATCCCGTATCGGGTGCCTTCAAGTTTGCCGCGTTTGGGTTTACTGCGGTCAATTTCTTGTCCCTCGGGGCAAGCCGATCTCGCGGGGACGAATTGGTCTCGGAACTTAACCCTAAGCTTCCTCTTGGTTCTCAAGTATAGCGCTTTTTAAAGTCATTCGGTTGTCGCCTTCTATGCCCGCGTCGCTCGCTGTATCAGTAGCTGCCGGCCGTTGAAAAATGGTGCAGCCTCTGATCCGGCGCGACAGGGGCGGACCGGCGTCGACGCCGAGCTCCAGTCACCCCCTCGTGGGTGGGCAACCGTCCCTTTTCATGAGTCCACATGGTAAGCGCCTCTGGCCTGAGGCCGCTCGTCGAAACGGTGACACTGGAACCCGTACTCTGGTCATGATGGATTGCCTGCAGCGGTGTTGGATTGACAACTGAGTCCCGCGGATATCCTCGGGTAGCTTGCCTGATCGCATGCTCTTTGTGGTTGTTTCCCCCCGGACCAGCCGCTGGAAGAGGAGGGAGAGCGCAGCTTTGGCCCCACACGATCATTCAGGACATTTCACTTCCCTCCTACCAGCTTGCCCCGCCGGAATCACCTCAGGGTGAGCGGGGGCTGGTTAGCAACCTACGGAAATGTCCACGAAGGATAAGCCGCCGCGCTGTTACGCTTTCAGTACCCTCAACTTCCACTTTTCTTCTGCATGCGTATCTCGCCCCTCACGACTCAGCCGACCCCCGCCGACCGCGCGAGGGCAACTTGCCCAAAGCGTGTCATGGAAACAAGGAAACTATGAGGTCCGACCAGGCGCTTTAACTTGTCCTCGTAGGCCCTGTCCTGCGTCCGGCAAGACGCCAAAACACCGTGTCTCAGAGAGACACACATTCCTCTTTTTAGAACCTGGGATATGGTTCTTTATAATGGAGATGAAAGCGCGGTTTTTTGAAGATGTATTTTGTCCGTGCGGTTTATGCCCTCCTTGCTTGCCCCGTCGTCTTTGGATTGGCTGGGGTCTTGCAACGGGAGAGGAAACAAAAACTAGTCTACGTTGGCAGTGCGACACATACGGAAAGACGATTGCTGGGCTGGGCATTGGACTGCCGGGACCTTCTACACTTGGCTACCGATCTTGATGGAATCTGCACCGACGACGGCGAGGCTCAGCTACCGTTCTGATCCCGCAGAGGGTCTTGATAATTTGTGAGGGATAGGGTTGAAGGGTTGGTCAGCTAGCTAAGAACCAATGCTCCGGCTTGGGTATGCCGAATGACGGCGGCTAGTTGGTACGGTCTGGGTGCCGGGACCCATCTCGAGTTGGAGTCAAAGCTTTGTGCTTGTCCGGTGTCTGGCGCTCGTATTATCTGGCCGTTCAGATTTCGGAGTACCTTGGGAAGAGCTTTGCTGTTTGCGGCCGCACCTGTTGGAAAAGGACGAGCCCTTGGGGGTGGTCCAGGCCACACTCTCTCCAGAAATGGCGGGAGAGTGGCCCCTCTTTTTGAGGATAAGTGATGCCCTCCACCCTCGTTGTTGTTTCAGTGCTAATTTTGGAGCAGGTTGGGTGTGTATTAGGCTCCCGTGGCCTAATAACTAGGTGAGTCTTCATTTATCTTGCTGTATCGTTTTACTGCTCTCCCGGTGGTGTCACTGCGACGGCGTTCCAAAATGGAAGAAAGGAAAAGAAGAAGTCAAACCGGCTCAGGACGATCATCGGCGGGACGGGCGCCCTACGATGCGATGGTCTGGAACGTAAGCATGACGGGAGATAGGAGACAAGATGACACAAGGAGATTGTATAGGTAAACATGCCGTGCAGACAATCGTCCTGCAATGAACGCAGAGGGTTCCGGCAAGCAGTATTTGTTACTCTACCATGCTACGACCGCTGTGGTGGCTGCCGACCTCTCACGTCATTTCGCCCACTTGCCCCCACTCAAGCCGAAACTTCCTGATGGCAGTTCGTTGTGAGCACGTTACTCGTTGCTGTTCCGCTGACGCAGCACAGGTAATGATCGTAACCTACCCCGGGCCGTGCAAATACGTTGGACTTCACTTCAAGGCTAAGCCTAAGGCCCCGAGACCCTTGGATAAGCCGGCCAGTAAGACTGCGGATGGAGTAACGGTCGTGATAGAGGTCGGATTCTTTGGGGAAGAATGCGTGGGGGGGCATTAGCCCCAGTTGAAAAACCTCCATCTTCACGAAGTAGGAAGCGACACAAAGCGAGGACCAAGTTAGCTAGGCTAGAGCGGAACTGCTGCAGGTAAATATCAGGAGCAGTTCTCGTACATGTCAATCTGAGAACGGCAAGAACAAACCGATCAGCACGCCGCCTTTCCCGACCACTTTGGTCTCTTCAACGACGCCGGTTGTTGTCCTCGGAACAAGCACACACATACACACCATGGCCGCCATTAAGGCCATGACGAGGCTGTAAGTTAAATCCAGTTTCCAGCAGTTTTGCGGCGCTACAGACTCGCCGCACGCTGGACTTGGCCGGGGCGTTGAAGTGAGCCAACCTCAAGGGGTTATGCTTCGAGTCGTTGCGGCCGATATTTTGACTATGGGCCGGGCCCTCCCGAGGTCGGCTCGGCCCGGCCCGGTCCAAGATCGGATTGCGCATCGTCTGACGTAACTAACCCCCTCCTTTTCGATCTGAAATAGCCGGACATAAACAGGATGGCCGTGATAATATTTCGTTGCGGTAGCGCGTTGCTCGACGCTAGTTTTGATATCCCCGTGGTGGGACAGAAGTACTTACGCTCATCCACGTACAGGAGAGACACGGACGGGTTTAACGATTCCTCGGGTGACACAAAATATTTCCAAAGTTACACAATAGCCGCATGTTTGGTGGCCCAACATTTCTAGAAGACGAGCCACGCAGGGTAGCTCAGAGTACATATGCCTTCTCCAGAACGCGAAGCCGGCTTTAGGGACAGATGTGGTGTTTTGTCAGGGTCGTCGAATTCTCAACATATCCTGAATGTTTCAGGGCAACTGAGTCCGGAGTACTACAACTTACTTTATACAAGGGCCAGGCTACTATGGCCCGTCTTGGCTTGCTCTCCAGAAGCAAGTGCTTAGATCGCGACTAACTTTGCCGCTTTGCCTCCGATGAGGAAGGTCATAATAAAAATCATAAATATCCCGGAAACCCACTCACCCGGGCCGCCTCCCTCCAAAACAGGTCCTCTGCTCCTATGCCACATGCCCTGAGGCCCTTTTTGTGCTGCCCCCATGTTTCCATGCCTCCCCGCGCCCCCACATAAGATTTGGGTTCCATGGTCACCTAGAGCGGACAGGGTGGCAAGTATTATTCCCGGTTTCGCGAATGTTAGCTGTAGATTGCGATAGAGAACACCCATGTACCTCTTGCGTCCTGCGTCTGCGAAGACCGTGTCACATTATATCGGTACATATGTTAGGAATCGCCCTGTTCGTGGTTGTGTTTATGCCCCCCGTCTTTTTCAGTTATTACTGAGCCTGGACCGAGGCGCAGATATCCTCTAATGTTACATACCGCAGTTAAAGAAAACATAATACCTGCATACAGATGCATGTATGGTCCGGGCCCAGCCATGTTGTCCCGCTGGGAACTGACCGACGAGCCTAGGTGGAGGGCTCAGGGGCTCTTTGCATTGCGTGCCCGGCGCGCCCGCTGCGTGTGATTGCCCAGTGATAACAGTAGGGGAGGTATAGTATGTAGCGTACTGCGTACGATGTCGTGTACATGTCCACCCGATATCTCTCGGGGGTTTGTCGAATTCTCCCGTGGGTGGGGCCCATGGATCGAAGGCGGGGGGTCTGTGGGCTGCAGTGTCCCACCTGCGAAGTCGCCGGGCGCGAATAGGACATTAGGATATGGGCGCACAGCAGGACGGGAAGGAACGGTAACGAGGCTGTTAATATGTGGTTGGAGGAGGAAGGCACGGGTGAGCCGCATGGCGAATTTTCAACTTTTGATTATTTCTTAGCAACATGTTTTTGTTTCTTTCCCCTCGTCTGTCAAATTGAGGGAGAACAACGGTCCTTCGTGATCTCGGCGGAAATGGAGAGGGTGATGGCGTGTTTCTGGAGTGGAGCCCCGCCGTTACGCTAGCGAGGCACGAGGCTTGTCCCCCACGAGTTCGAATTCGGCTTCTGCAACGGTTTTGGTGGGGCGGTCGGCCCAGGCCGAGGCCCCTGCAGGTTTTAATTCCTCAGGTCGCCCGTACAGTGCGAGACGAGATTGGAAACTGGAGCTTGACGTGGGCTTCAACCTAAGGCTTCCACAGCTGACATGAGTCTGATTGATTGTAACTCATTGGCTTAAAGCTGAGGTGCCCGACGTTTTTTCCGAGCGCGCGCCTAAGGTTTTACGGAAGCTAGGCACACAGAGGGGGCCGTCGAGCATTTTGCAATGGAGCACCCCCAGGCCCTTCCGGGTGAGATGCGGCAGCCCAGTGCAGGAGGGAGCGCGCAGCAGGAGACTCCCCGGGAGTTGCATTCCACGACAACAGGCCCACTCATTCGAGAACCACTCTTCCTTTTCGGTCCTGCAGCTCCGAAGCTGACGCCAGACAATCCATCAATCCACCGTTTCCAAATACCTCCTTGAAATCACCCGTGAGTTGCGAGTCGACAAACAATGCACAACACTGCCGTATGGGGTTATCCAAGGAGCCGGGGACTATCCAAGCTTGGTCAGGAGCCCCTCTCTCTGCGCATGTCCCTAGGTTGTGGGTAGTCATCCGACCGGCTTTCGCGAACCGGTATGCCAGCCGGCATCTCGCATCTCGATCTACCCCGATAAGGCAACCTGTTCTAGGTGACGCGGCATAGCAAGATGGAGTGTGCAGCATAGAGTATCACACATACTCTCCCTCCTCCCCATGACCTGCTATTTGCTAGGAAAGGGAGCCGTGCAGATGAGATACTTCAGGCGTATCGTGGGCCTCACCTTTGCATCTTGTGGGGGTTCCCCGCGCCGTCCACAAATTCCTGCAACCCGTCTTCGGCCATTCACCCCTCGATCCCATTCACGGGGAAGCATGGCAGTCTTCCGGTTCCTAACAGAAAACGACTCGTCGCTTCCACAAAATCATGCTATTTGCCAGAGTGAAAGTTGTGGGACGCTCCCGGCATCGTTGATTCGCGACCGATGAGATTTCGTGGAGGTGAAGAGCAGCCCCTCCGATCGAGCGGAGCCGCGAAATATTACCGACCTGTTGCGCAAGGGTCGGCATACGGTTCTAGGCTGGGTCCATGAGCGACTCGGCCATTAAGGATTCGGTCGTATTCAGTTTCAAGCCCGCGCATATTTTGCCGCGGATTTAGTGGATACGAGCGCTTTCTTCTTTCTGGGAGCAAGATAAGTCGATGCGGCATGAAGATCAAGTTGCGCCGGCTTGTGTGTGGTTTATGGTATCCCCAAGTGGTGTTGCTCGGGGTGCCAGAGTAAGATAATTAGTAGGTATTTTGGCTCTGGCGCTTTCTGCACGGTTCGAGCTCATTTTTAGGTGTTTATGATGGGATGGCCATAGGCCTCTTAATTCCATCATTTACGTTCCCATCGGCTCGTTTGTTCTTGGACACGAGACGGTTGGTTCATTGGACATTCGTATTTAGTATATTCCAGTAAGACCACACACTCTCGAGGTACGATCGCCTCTTCGGTCCAGCTTCTCGCCCCCAGCGGCGGGCCGGGCCGGCAGTGAGCAGCCTCGTCTCCCCCGATAACTAAAAAGAATTCAAGAAAAAAGATTAAGGCAAGCCCACGAAAACACAATTTGATGAATGCAAGGACGCCGTTAACGCGACACGTAGACAGCCCAAACCCATTAACAAATTCCTTAGTGCCCATGCCATCTCGCTCACAACATGGCAGCTATTCTGACTGATCCCACCCCGCGGAGATGAACCAAAGATTCCCATATATAGTTCGACTAGAAACATTGCACAAAGCCGGGCCCAGGCGTTTGGTCCTGCGGTATTTCGCGAGGGGCGGTCACCGTGGCGTGTACCTTTCCGCTGGAGAACTTAACGCGCCCCGGCTAAGCCTGGTGCTGGGGGGTACTTCCATAATGTGTACTGGAGGGTGCCGTTGACGGCGTGTGGGACGTAGACTTCGGTCGGCCTGGCCGGGACTGGGTAGCCCCGGTGCTCTGGATCTTGCCATGCGGTTGCGGTCCTCTGGCGAGGGCTCTGACTAGGAGAACGTGGTGCTTCGGTATCGAAGGAAAAACGACCAGAGACCTATGGCAAGAGTTTAATGAATGGGTTCGCCTGGGACCGGCATAACGACAATCTACTTACCATACACATGTGGCAGGGGTGGCCGTTGCAGTAGGTCGTCCCCGGGCAGTTGTGAGTAAGCCAGTATTTGCACTTGAATCTGTCAAAACCGCCGCCAGCGCTGCCACGACCTCCGTCGCGACCAGGGCCGCCAGTAGGCCCGTCGCCGATAACGACGATACCGCTCTCGCCGCCACTAGTGCCGGCGCCCTTATTACCTCCACTACTGCCATTGCTGGCCATTTTGAAGGCTGGTGAGTGGTGTGAATGGCGTTGTCGCTGGGGAAATTTGAGACACCTTGGGGGTCGAACTTTTACGCGTATTTCTAAGTGAATGTGTGCAAAATGTTGGCGAGCCCGGAGAGCATGGATGATCATGGTAGGCGGTGATACCGAAGGCAGGTTGATACTTTATACACAGAAGTCCTCACCTCAACTCCATGCCGTCAAGCTCCGGTTGAACCCCCAGCTGGAGACATGAGCAGGGGGTGTGCTCAGAAGGGTGTCTCGGACCGGGCCCATTCTAGTGTAGACAAACCTAATCCCTGCTTCTGTTTCGAATCCCCTGGGAGGTTGCAATCCATCAGTCTGCGTGCGCACGGTGTGGTTCCCTAGCAGCGCCGAGCGTGGGGGGTCCAAACCAAGAATTACGGGGTATGGTCGCCCTGGTGCCGTGGAGGTGAACAAGGCCTCTCAGGAGGTCGATCCACGTGGTCGAAGATTTCAACGTTGATAACCATAGTACGGACAAGGGGTACCGCAGCCGCGGAGGCCAAGCGCTACATAGTGCACTACGTCGCCGGCTACGGAAACCTCGTAAGTTGAAAACCGGCATCTTAAGAACGCGTGAAATAGTGGCCCACGGAGAGTGAGTGACTCAAGTCGTAGATTGCCCGTCTAAGTTGCTAAAATATCACACCTGGAATGATTGAGGTCATCCGTTTGTTACTGGCGAATGGGGAGTCTCTGCGGTTGTCCGGACCCGCTCCGCGCCGGTTTACGCAGTAACCTGACGGCCTGAGTGAGTTCAAGTCGAGGATCCTGCCAAGCAGTCATGGAACGCTGGCCGGGAGTCGTTCTGGTGCATGATGCAACGCTAGCATGGGTCGCCGAAGGCGCAACTCCAACCGAGATGCAGGCGGGGCTTCTCCGTTGTCATCTTGCCGGAACCGAAAGTCGCACAGATCCGGAATTCTAGAACTGTGGGTGAAAAACAAATTGGAGTGCCATTGGAGAAGGCGCTCACCGGCTTCCTTCCTCAGAAGGGACGACGGTCTTTCTTCCCGAGCTTAGGTACGATGGAAAGGAAGTGGGAATGGGCCAAGGCCTCGAAATCACCTAGGTTCACTGTGTCGTCTCGAGGTATCGCACGTTACATAACACTGTATAAACATGATAGGAACCCCGGTGGTCTAAACAGTTCTGTGTCTTCTTATTTTCCATTATAAAAAGAAAAGTCACACCCCGACTACCTCGTCCTGTGATGAAAGTACCCCGAAAGCTTTTGCGGCAAAGCCGCACCGTCGCCGGCTTGGTTGGATCCCGCGATTGGTGACCACAGGGGATATCTCACATCTTAGCCGTTCACTTCGCTGTCCAATAATAGGTATCGGCAGAATTAGATGGGTGGAAGTCAAATGGCCAGGCTACTTGGGGAGGAAAGTATACGGATCATTTTGAGCGGGTTGCATATCAATTCTTAGGACCGTCTTCAGACGAACACCAGGAAACGGCTTTTCCCATGGCAACCTGTCCAAGTATTGCCATCCCAGCCTCGGGATCGTAGTTTAAACCAGCGATTAGGATTTGGCGAGAGATACAACATATATCGGCCCCGGCCTGACACCATCATCTTGTTCAACTAAGTACCTAACGAAAACTTGCCGAGCAAGAGCTATCTCGGCATCACGTCCTGTTACAGTGCTCGCCTGCAGGGTACCGATTTCAACCACAAATTTTCATTGATGACCCGACGGGCCGCACCGTCAAGAGTGCCTCTTACCAACTAAGGGCGGCGAACCAATGCCTCGGCATTTTTGGCCATGTTTGCCGAGAACGGAATATGTTGTTGATATCCCGTCACCTTTCCTGCTCGAGCAGTTTGTATGCATAGCCAGGATTGTGCGACATTGCTATTTCAGGTTTGATAGGGCCGTGACCTGCACGATCTCGCCTCGGCTAGCGACAGGATCGGTCGGGGTCGTACGGTAATGGTCTGCCGGGGTACTCTATTCCTGCATTGTGAGTGGAGGGAGGTAGATTGAAACCATCCCAAGCCAACCTACGGGGAACTAAATGCGTTTCCGAAGGCCGAAAACACCGAGCAACATGCTACCTAACTCAGCCATCCCGACATGGTCGCTTTATCGCCTTTCAACGACGCCCAGAACAGTTGTTGCGAAGCACGGTATATAAACTAAGGTAGGCGGTCTTCTGACTTGATATGCTTGCCTAATAGTCTAAATTCTATGATCATTACGTCCCTCATATGTACCGATTCCGAGTAACGGACCGGCACTCAATCGTTCGGGCCCCGTAGGTAGGATAAATTCTTCTCTTCACGTGTAAGCACTCCTTAAGGAAACCCGGGGACTGGTTGAAGATAGAAGACATAGGGTCAGGATATTAGGAGACTCTCAGGTCGTGGGTCAACTCTTGTAACGATTATGAAGTCTAGACCTCCAAGATCTCATCATCGCCCAATTCACCTCTCGCTCAAAAGCACCCCGACCACCGGCAATTGGCCAATGGAGGGGCCAGGTGTGCCATACCTTCCGGTATCTGCGGCCGTACGACCCCAACATTCATCTCGTTACGCAACATTACTTTCGACATATACCTCCTGCGGGGAACTTGTGCGCTCCCGCTTCCCCCTGGCGGAGACAACACAACTTGCGGAGCTTTCTTCTAGGTACAAGAAGCACGGTTTGAAGAATCGGCAACCAAAGGAAGGCTATTCAGTACACAGAATTACAACAACACCGCGACATCAAGGAACCAGAGCGTGTTTCCAGCCCAGCACCTCCAAACAATGACAGTAAGTTTAACGGTGCAAACGTTGACTAATCAACGCTTCATCTTACGGAAAGACGCGCGCGGCATATCGTTACGATACTATGATGTATTATGTGGGCACAGTTCTGAATTTGATGATGCAGATACACCCAGTCGGAAGCTCCCCTTACCACAGTAATATACCGTACATCCACAAGAAAAGGAACGGTAGCCAGCCATCTCAGGGGGTCAAGCACCCAATCCTCCGGCTAGCGAAAACTGCAACCCCACCACCGAGCCCTGACGCGTTGCCACTGGTTACACACCATATTGCTCGGGCGAGTGAAGTGGGTGTGTCATTCTTTGGATTGTGGCGTTTGGCCGCAGGAGGTGACAAGAGTTCCCATTGTGAAGTTGTGACCTTTACGGCGCCTCAGCCCACCACCGTGTTGTCTTGGCCTCGACCGACATCACTCGAGCAGGAGCCTTATACTCTGTCGTGATTTTCCACTTCTCCCGTTCCATTTGAATCGACAACGGTAGCGACGTGGTCGCCTGGCTTACTTATGGAGACGAAAGAATCCGATTTTCCCCCAATGGGGCATCTCGCTCATATCGTATTCCTCACCCGCAACACCATGCCATGACCTCATTACAATCGACGCCAGATGGCATTTGTCTGTACATTGTTCTCTTGTCCTGTGACAAGACTAGGAAGAAACGGCGTGAACACAACGGCATCTATGAGTTCGTTCCCTATTTCCGCACTCCCTTCCAGTCCCATGTCCTATGCGTCGTAATACACAAGAAGTTTCACTCGCAGCCACCATTTTATCACCCCACAGCGTCGATGCTCAACGACCGCCTTTCATAGCCTGACGGCGGCGGATCTTTTCTGTTACGCGAGTGAGCGCAGACTTGATCTCGCCCTTTTCAAAAGTCTCGACGTCGTAGTAATTGGGTGCGATTTCCTATTTTTGCCGTTAGCAAAAGCTACCAGCGCCGTCCTCGTGTTGGGAAAGGGGGTCACTCACAATGAGCCATTCGGGCCGGACATTGGTCACAGTTCGCACGTACTGCTTGGTCGTAAGCACAAACTCGTTGTACACGACCCAGTCATAGGGACTGGTGACGACAGTGCCCGGATGAATCATGACTAGCTGGTCGTCCTTGACCGTCTTGTACACCTTGGAGTTGGAGCTCTCACGCATGGCCACCTGCATGAAGAACCCCGCGAGTAGGGCCCGCCGAATGTTGGTGTAATAGTCCTTGTCGTGGAATGGTGTGCTGATAAACTCGATCCCGTGGGTCTCCATCGTGCGCTTGAGCTGCGACCGCACGTCATCGGCGGTCGAGAGATGCCGGAAGGATAAGAAGTGTTCGTGGCACCATTTCTTCACGTCCTCGCCGGCCTGCTCAGCACCCTTGTATGCATGGTAGGCGTTGAGCAGGGTAAGGTGATCGCCGTCGGGGTGGGCAAATTGCTGCTTCATCTCGTCGGCACGCTTACGTGCGTTGTTGGGTCGAACCCATATTTGCGGGACGGAGAGAAGCGAGGTGATAGAGAGGATCTCGTTCGAGCAGTAGAACTCGGGGGAAGAAATGAGCATAACGGCCAAGGCTGGGTCGAGCGGAAACTCGGACGCCATGCCGCCTAGAGTCGTCAATTCGCCGTCATCATCCAAGCAAGCGAGGTAGTTGAGTTCCTCGAGGGCGCGCATCATGGTCTCGGGGGCTGGGGGGTCCATCAAGTCAAAGTGGACCAGGTCCTCGACACCCAGTTTCTTTAGCTCAAGGACGGTGTTGGCAAGGTTGGACCGCAGGATCTCGGGGTATGTCTGTTCGATAAGCTCCTTCTTGAAGGCGGCCTCCGTGTATAGGCGGAAGCATTTACCGGGCCGGGTACGACCGGCACGACCGGCACGTTGTTGTGCTGACGCCTTGGAGATCGGTGAAACGAGCAGCGACTCTACTCTGGTACGAGGGTTGTAGATCTTCTGCTTGCCGAAGCCGGGGTCCACAACGTAGACAATGCCGTCGATTGTCAAAGACGTCTCAGCAATGTTTGTTGCGACGATGCATTTCCGGCCCGGGCGGCCACCCTTACGGTGTGCGTCAGGGGCCTTGTCGAAAATTCGCTGCTGCTGGTGCGGCGGCAAAGTACCATAGAGAGGGTAAACAGACATTGGCCCCGCGTCCGACTCTCGGATCATATCATCCACCTCCAAGCTGATACGGCGGCAGGCATCCTCGATCTCCTCCTCGCCAGTCAAGAAGAGCAAAACGTCACCCTCCGGCTCGCTGGCATGAATCTGTAGCACCGTCCTCACAGCCGCCTCGACGTAGTCCCTCTCCGGCTCGGGAGTGTAAAAGATCTCGACGGGGTGTGTCCGACCAGGCACCGCGAGCAGAGGCGCGTTGAAGAAGTAGCTCTGGAATTTCTGAGCATCGAGGGTGGCAGACATGACAATAATCTTCAGGTCTTTCCTCCTCTCGGCGATTTGCTTGAGCAAGGCCATCAAGATATCGGTCGCGAGGGTACGCTCATGGGCTTCGTCGAGAATGATGCAGCTGTAACGCGACATGTCGTGGTCGTGCATCGCTTCACGCAGCAGCTGACCATCCGTCATGTACTTCAGCAGCGTCTTGGGACCAGTACGATTCTCAAAACGAATACTGTAACCGACCTCCTCGCCCAGCTTCACGTCAAGCTCATCGGAAACACGCTGAGCCACGGACATGGCGGCCACTCGTCTCGGCTGTGTACAAGCGATGAGTTTCCCAGTGAGGTGCGGCAGCTCGTCGTAGAGAACGTATTGTGGAATCTGGGTCGTTTTACCGGAACCGGTCTCACCGACGAAAACGAGGATCTGGGTACTGTGGTACATGTCGAGGAACTCCTGGCGCTGTTTGTGTACCGGGAGGTCGCGGCGGGTCTTGAGGATCTTGAAGTATTGTTGAGAGTGCGGGTGGCCGGTCCACGGGTTGTTGTCCGAGTCTTCGGCTTTCGAAGCCTGAAATGCTGTCGTCTTGTGGCGCTCGAGGTCATCAAGAGGCGAAGCGGCGTCATCATTGAGATGCGCTAGGTACGGGTTCGGTTTCGAGCCCATCTTCGTTTCGCTGTCACCGTTCGTCTTCACCCGCTTCGAGTCCTGGGATGCCTCTCTCTCGGCGCTCGATCGCTTGAGGCTCTTGAATGAATCGGCCATGACAACGGTTTCGAATTTTGCGGGGCGCTGGCAGAGAAAATCGGGTAGGAGCAAACGACTCGGGGTTGGGAAATCTCGTTTGCTTTCCCTTTGTGATCGGTCGCGAGGCTGCAACTTTTTTTCATGTGTTTGGGGAAGGACCGGGCTGGGCCTGCCAAACTTTTGGGTGGGTCTTCGATGATAAGCAATTGGCAGAGGCGCCGTCGAGCTGGGAAACTGCATACATGCACATACCGAAGATGGCCGCCGACGTTGACCCATACAGCGTGCAACGACTTATTGATATGTAACGATCTGGTGACACTCTCCGCTGTATTTTTTTCCTGATATATATCTTTAAATCTTTCGGATGTTGTCATACAGACAGAAAACATTGGCAATGTTGAGAAAGGACCCAGCTTCTTCTAGCATTGAATCGTGTTAATTGCATAGGTACAGTACATGAGCTACTATGCAGTTATTAGTTACATACAGGGTAATTACCTAGACAGGAGAGAGCCCAGGGCGTAAGGACCCCGCACCCGCCTGTGCCGCCTCAGGTACCACTCCCACGGGAGGGACCCTGAGTTCAGAAATTCACAGAGTGAGCAAGCAGGGGTGGATGTGGTGGGTTGGTCCTCAGGACAAATTGTGAAACCCCAAGGCTATCCTCTTCCAACCCAAATCCCACGAGAATGACCTCTTTGAGATTTGACATGCTCCGGAAATTTCAAAAACTTTCTTTTCCCTTCCGCTATGATTGGAGATAAAAACTAAACGTTATCTTCTCTCGTTTTCCCATCCAAGATAGTTACCCTGGTTCTCTCCGGAGAACCCCGCTAAACTGAGATTTATTTTTCTTTTCCAGGAAAAAACAACCCCGCTACCTACCGCCATGTCGTCGAACAGCACCCTCAACCCGGAATCGGACAGTTTTGAGAACCGGCCTGCATTTTACATTGGACAGCATGATCCAAACCGAAGAGAACCACTGTCGGACGACCAGTATACTCAGGTTCTCAACAGTGGAGTATGTTCTGTTGTAAATCGATGTTCGCTTCTCAACCTAAAAGCTCACCCAGAATAGTTCCGCTTTGTCACAGCGCCCATTACCACCGAGCACTTCTTCAACCGCGTTGTTGCCCTCTATAAGGCGTACCTCGAGGAGCGAGCGCAATGGAGCCAGCCCAATCCATCTTTGCCGGGGCCGGTGGTGCCAACCTTGACCGATGAGGACACACTTCTGTCGCCCAGCAACTACATCGGTTCTCTTGTCCTGTATGCCAGTCCATGGATAGATCTGTGCTCTGCGGATCCCCACATCTCGAGCATCTCACGCCAGGTTTTAAATCTTGAGGCTGCGTATGCCAACTTTTGTGGTGCGAGAACTATCATCATCCCCGGTCCCAGGGAAGATAGCAGTGGTCGCGACGTTGCTCAGTACGCTCGCGCCATCCGGGAGGCAATGAATGTAGCGGGCCGCGCCAACGTCATCATCCACATGCCCATGTACCGGGAACCGGGCTTAGGGGAGAAGGTAGAAACGCTCTCATCGATATTTGGCCCTGGCGATGGATCGAAGGAGGATGCCGGCGAAATCGATCTTTTTAGTGCCTGGGATTCCTGGCACACCATTCGGTCGGTCTGCAATTACTCTATGAGGTTGTTCGTCGGTTAGTCTTACCCTCGCTTATTTGTGAGTATCTGAAAACTAACCCGTCGTAGCTCTCCGCATCCCCAAGCGTGTCCCTGAGAAGACCCTCCAGGAGCGGTGGTTTGCCGAACCACTTCATTATTTGACCATCAGCCGGGAGGTTTTCCAGCTCAACCGTGCCGGTCACCCGTCGCTTAGTAGGAACCACCAAGATCTAATCGGCCGTTACATGAGGCTCCGCAGCCTCCCTTGGCTACTCCTTAGCGATGTTGGCCCAAGCCCGGAGGAACTGGCGGCGATCCCTGATCCGACTGCGTCCGAGTTCCCATCGCTGGATGAGGCGAGCCGTGCTCTGAAGGAGAACCGCATGCCGCATATGCCACCGATAAATGAATACGTTGAGTACATGAGGTATCTCGAACGCCAGCAACCTGCATTTTCGGCGATGGAGACACCGACCCTGACCAGTTTCCAAGACTGGCTGCAACCACCTCTGCAGCCTCTGGCTGATAATCTCGAATCGGCAACGTACGAAGTATTTGAGGGTGACCCCGTCAAGTACGACCAGTATGAAAAGGCCATTGCTGAAGCCATGACTGAGTGGAGGCAGCTGAAGAAACCCACGTCGACGGCCACGGCGGAGAATCCGGACAGTCCTGAGCTAGTAGTAACCGTGGCGGGTGCTGGGCGTGGGCCCCTAGTAGCACGCGCTCTCCGTGCTGCTAAGACAACGTCGACTCCCATCCAAATCTGGGCCGTTGAGAAGAACCAGGACGCATACGTCTACCTCCTGAGAAGGAACAAGGTAGAATGGGACAACAAAGTGACGCTCGTCAAGACTGACATGCGTGGCTGGGAGGGCCCGCGCCTCAAGGGCAGGGAGGACACGATCGGCAAGGTGGATATTCTCATTACGGAACTTCTCGGCTCATTCGGTGACAATGAGCTTTCCCCCGAATGTCTTGACGGTATCCAAAATCACCTCGCCCGTCCTCATGGGATCTCCATCCCGCATTCCTACACGGCCCATCTGAGCCCCATCTCGACACCGCGTCTCTTCGCGGACATCAGCTCGCGCGTAATCGGTGACCCTAGTGCCTTCGAGACTCCCTGGGTCGTCCGCCTCTTCGCCCTCGACTATGTCGCACAGCGGGCACCGGACCACCCGCGGTTCCAGCAGGCGTGGGAATTTGTCCACCCCGTTGAGGTACTCCGTGCGGACGAGTTCGCGGCGGTGCACGGGAAGGCGGCCCGATATGTCACGGGCGGTGTGGGTAGCATGTCTGGTACCAGCGGCACCAACGAGCACAACAAACGGCACTGCCATCTAACGTTCGTGTGTCCCACACGCGGCGTGATCCACGGGTTAGCTGGGTTCTTCGAGTCAGTGCTGTATGCGTCGCAGACGGGCCAGGGCAAGGAGCCGGTGGAGATCAGCATCCTACCCGATCAAATCGATCGCAAGAGCAAGGATATGATCTCATGGTTCCCTATTTTCTTCCCGCTGAAGGTAAGTTTCGCTCTCCTTATCGTCCACCACCTTCTTTCAACCATTTCCCACTGCGTATGGTGCTAACCCCTCATAGAAACCGCTTTATTTCCCGCAGGACACCGAGCTCGAAGTAAGCATGTGGCGCCAAACAGACGACAATAAGGTTTGGTACGAGTGGTTGGTGGAGGTGTACGCTTGGGTTGGGCCGAAGACGCGGATTAAGGTTGGGGCGACTGATTTGCACAGCAGCCGCAAGGTTGCTTGCTTGATGTAGGAGGGTTGACGTCGGGGGTTATATTGTAGACCGGCCTAACATGGGAGCGGGTTGTCAGCGTCCCTTAATCTCGGATGCTCGACGACTGAGAGGGATGCCAACCTCTTGTAGATTTTGTACCACAGGGTGGGGGTGAAGAGCACCATCCCACCGTTGCGCTCTGCGGATCTCTTCCCCATTCAACTCTGTCAACTTCGGGCCCTCCCTCCTGTAGCAGCTTCGTGCCATGGGAATACATTCATACCGCCCTTCTTATCACCCTTCATCATAAGACTAACCACACCATTTTGGCCTGACAAGTCACCCATACATCCTTTTCATTTAAATTCCCGCCGATGAATCCTTGTTCTCAGCATACCAACCCCCCCCCCCCCCCCCCCCCGGGCCCTTCGACAAAGAACAAAATTTCACTCCATTATCATCGCCGTTTGTCTTGGTCCTCTCATCAATCCTCCATCCTTGTATCGTCCCCACCCTTGCTGTCCTCACCCGTCGCGGCCGTCACATACAGCACATTGTTGCAGCGTATCAGTACTTGGCCCAAAGCACCAGTAAACTTGCGGTCAATAAATTCTTCCGTGTTGCTCAACTGGATGTTCATGTAGCTGTCGATGCTCTATTGCGGGGAAGCAAAGTTAGTTAATGACCACCACTCAACGGAACTAGAACGAAAGAGGGGAAGAGAGAAGGGAACTATCTGGGAAGGAGAGATATATAAAATACGCACCACCAGTCTCCCCTTGTACTCCGTCTCGCCCCACTTGAGACGCACTACCACGTCCTTGTTGACCAGGTCCTGCAGGAACGGCCGCGGGTTAACGGGCACGAAACTCATGATGTCGGCTTCTTCCCCCTCTTTATCTCCTTCTTCTTATATTTCCCTGAATTTCCTCTGGTAATGACAGACTAGGCAACCGCTAGTTCCCGATTTGAGGGTGTAGCGGGGGCGTGGATTCGAGAGGTACTGGCGACGCTGGGGGTTGCTGTAGTCGTCGTCGTTCGTGTGATCGGGGCGGGAGAAGAAGGACCCGATGATCGAATTAACTTTTGAAGTGGGGGACGGCAAACTTTGGTGATACGGCGATGTATCTAGACCGTGGCGACTGAGGTTTCGTTGGCTGGGGTGAAAGCAGAGGGTTTTGCTTTGGGTTGGTTTGAGGACGCGGTTCGCGGTGGTGAACAGCTCCCTGAGTGATTGAACTGGTAATTTTTGGCTTGGCATTTTTTTGGGCGAGCGGCTGGCATCAGGTGGCACCGGCTGAGAGCTCTGGCACCCATCAAATAAATGAGGACACTCCGAACAAAACCTACCTATTCTTCGACGATAAGTTGCATTTGCCGTTTTGAAAGATAAAGTTGGTGGTAAAGTTGATCTGAAATGCACCTGTCAAGCCAATGATCACCGGATAAGCACCAGACTACCTAACTCGCACTAAGGTATCAAGTCCCAAGCGCCGAAGCATATGAATACATTCTCCTGAGAGAAATCTAGGAATACTCGTACATAACGTACACAAATATATGTGTGCTCCAACAACAGGGTCCAGCTTCATGCCCACCTGTCGACGTGCCAACATCCATCAACGTATGTGTTGGTGAGGTATCACAAACAACCCAAAATTAACGCCCGGATAACCAAAACAGATCCAAAGGAATAACCCGGTGGTTTTCACCCCCGCAGCCCGGATTGTAGCCGCAAAAAGATGTTGGCCATGCCCAGCCCAGCCCGACCCAAATATCCCACAGGCCGTTTGTCTCGAGGGGCTAGTCACCGCGTGCTGGCCGCGATTTGCGACGGGAGTCAAAACCAACCAATGCTGGGACACAGCAAACTTGGCCCTTCATCCCGCCATTATTAAATCCAAGGCATCTGCGCTGTCGCTCCCTTCGGCTGCCTATCGGCCCACCCATTTGCTTCCGAAGCGGGCGTCGCCCTGTCCCTCTCCCTCTCCATTTGTGTCTCCCTCCGCCTCCCCCTATTCCCATCTCGTTCCCCCGTTTCCCGCTGATTCTCCCTACCCCCGCCCCGCGTCCGCACCGACACCGCTTCATTTGGCGCCTCCAATTCCACCACATCATACCCCGCCGGCACCAAGCTCTCGCGCGTGCCCATCAATGACGATGACATCGCATACGACTGCGACACGGTGAACGCGGGGGATCTGGTGGCGAGGTCCTTTTTGGAATGCGCCATGGAGGGTCTTCGCGGCGAGGCGGCCTCCTCGGAGAGCTCGAAGCGCCATGCAGCCGCTGCGCTTTCATGCCGCAACTTCTTGGGCAGGCTGGCAGCGGAAGAGGACGAAAACATGGGTTCCTTTGGGGGGACGGGGGGTGGGGTGAACGAGGGCCATTGGGTGTCCTGTTTCTCGAGGCGATGTTTCCGGCGCCAGCGGAGGAAGAAAAAGAGGCTTATTGCGCCGGCGATCAAGAGGCCGGCGACGGCGGAACCGATTGCGATGCCGACGATGGCGGCTGTGCTTATGCCGTCGTTGGTGGCTGAGGAAGAAAGGGAGGATAGCGGGGGGGAAGTTTGGGCTGGGACGGGAAGCCGACTCGGCGATGGCGATGTTTGCGTCATGGCTGATAGACCCTCCTGAGGTGGTGGTGGTGGGTTAGTCTTCTAGGAAGCTCATTCCAATTCGTTGCAGTCGCACTTACAAGATCGCCAATTCTTGGCGCCGGTGTTGGGTCACTAGACCGGAAGCGGATCTGGATGCCGTAGGCTGTGATGGCGTTCGCTGTCTCGGTTACGGACGTCGTCCCGTCGATCGTTCCGTCTTTCACGACCGTGACGCCGAGGACCCCTTCCGCGCGTGACCACGCCGTCGTGCACCCGACGAACGGCTGGCCTGAATTGCCGGAAGCTAGGCAAGTGTAAGACAGGTTGCTATCACCCAGATAATATAATTTAGCGAGCCGATCGCATGGATCGTGGAGGTAAGGCCTGTGCGATGGTTGAACCTACCCCGGACAACACACGGCAGCCGTCTCTGTTTCGATACCCGTGGAGGCGAGTGTCGAGCAGGCGATCGTGTACCCGTGCGGACACCAGCCTGGAGAGTAATAGTTCGTCGGGACTGGATTGTAGCTCTTGGGGAAGCAATTGGAGTCGGCTGTAAAAAGAGGGCCCGCAACATAACTCGAGCTGGTTCGGGACCAGACTTGATAGAGCTGGGGGTCGGTAGCGATACAGCTTGCTGGAGGCGTGAATGTGGTAGTCAAGGGGCCGACAGCTGTCATAGCTGATACCGAGCCGTCTAGCGCATGAGGCTCGCTATCGTCAAAATCTCCAGGCACAAACTGGAACCACCCGCTTAACCGGATCCAGCCAGTTGATGGCTCAAAACAGGATTCAAAGAAGCGCCTTCAAGGTGCGGTGAAATGAGATATTGAAGGCAGGGGGAAATTTGGGGAATGTATTGAGACGTGGAATTCCAAAGACCTGAACCAGCGGGAGCAACTTTCTCTGTGGGCTGGATTTGCTGGGCCGTGCCAAGGGGCACTTCGGCCTCGACGATACGCGCCTCGCACTTACTGTGCTCGATGCAGGCGAGAACGCGCCACTCGTTCTCTGGGTTGGGGTCCGGATTGGGGGGCGGCGGCGCGGTACGGTTCTCGAAACCCGTGCTGGTGGGCTGCATGAACAAGCAACAACTCATCACTTCGTCAAGCCTCGCGTGCCTCGCTACCCCGGCCGGTCCGGGATTAAGAGGCTTAAGACAATGTTGCTATTCGACACCGCCATCTCCGCAACGCCCGTCAGCCAACTTATCACGTTTTACTTGTGCATCAGCAAATCCGGCCGAAAAACAACAATCCAGCCAACAGGTGGTATTGGGCTTTGGTGATTTTGGGTTGGGTCGTTGCAACAGCGGGTGTAGGACGTTGATGTTAGTGTTCCCGAGACCAACAAACAGCTTCCGGCCCCCAGTGCGGTTTCAAAACGGAAACTGGGAGCCGCCACTCCGACTATTTTCCCCACAAACGAGGCGGAGTTGTCATCCGTGTTGTTATGAGGTCCATGTTGGCCGGAAGTTGGAACACAACACCGAGGAGTTGACGGGCGGTTGCTGAGCTCAGTGTTGGCGGGGCCGGCTGAGCTGGGTTGTCTATCCGTATCTCGGGCCAAAAGGGCATCTTGGAGGGAGGTTGCCATCGGTACCTGCATCAAGTCGGCCATGCCGCTTGCCCGCTGCTTCAGGTGACAAGACGGTCAACCCCGAATTCCCTCTCGCCAAGTCTCCATTCCATCTTGCGACTCGAGGCGTCTTTCGACCCTGCTGTCTACAGTTTTGAACTCCTTAGATGTAGATCAACCACCCAGTGCGCGATTGCGTGACGGACGCAGCGGAAATGGCTCAAAAAGTACGGATCCGTAGAACCAACAAGATGAGCCCCTGGCCGGCAGCGAAGCCCTGCAGCAGCAGCACCAACAGACTCGGCTTCGTGTCGATCGATGAGCTGAATTGGAAATGTTTCAAATGAAAACAAACAGCCTTCCCGGTGTTGGCCGTCGCTCTCCCGAGACCGAGCCGAGTCGGGCGTTTCGTTGGGCGCGTCGCGCCCCCAAAGTCAAGGTTTCACCGACGGTTCGTCCCTCTCGTGCTCGAAGCCATCGGAATGGGGCGAAATGGATCGGGTTCAGAGCCTCGTGGTGAGGAAAAGAGCTGGAAGAGAAGCGGAATCTGGGGAATCGCACTGGTTGGTCTTGGCAGCAGCAGCATCTTTTGTAGCCCGTGCCCTGATATTATTTGCCCCACTTTAACGTTGCTTTCTAGGGTCGCACGGGTCGTTAAACTTAGGTTGCCTGCGTTCTCAGAACAATGCGGAAACACCAGAAATTTGTCAGAAAAGGGAGGCAACGACCTTCAATATTCCGCTTTGGGAAATTATCTCAGTCGCTACATCAACCCATTATTGGGGCAAAGCAGGGTCGATGAAATACCGGCGGGTTCACCTCTTTATTGCTGGTTTGTGACGTTGACCATGAGTTCCACCTTTTCCTGCTGCCGAGTTTATGCCCCTTGAGGCCAATACACCGAGCAAACAAGACCTAAACCGCCTCCGCTGAAAAGATGGACGCCCGACAAAAGTTAATCAACTCTTTCTACGATGCCGGCCATAAAGCCTTTGACCCTGACACACCAGCGGGCAACCGGGCCCAAGCCGTGCAGGATTTCCACAACTTGGTTGACAGGCAAGTCCGGCGAGTGCCTACCTGCGTGGGCACGCCATCTGCTGCCCTGCGGTCCTGACCGGTTTCCAGAACCAAAACCCTCAACGCACTCGGCGCACTCAACGCCTTGCTCAAGGCGGGCGCCACGCCACCATGGCTACGCAGCGGCGTGATGGATAAGCTAGCCCGACTACCCTCGGAGCGCCCGCAGGACGGTGTGCGAGCCACCTTGGAGTTCGTTTTTTCGATGCACCCGTCGAGTACCATGATGTCCGTAGCCGCGGCTGAAGCGGCCGTCCCACAGAAAAAAGGGGCGCTCATTACCCATGAGGCTCTCACTCTTGCGAGTAACCTTCTGTCCAAACCACCTAAGGCGGTGTCTCCGGAGACGTGGTATGCAGGCATATCGCCTCAGTTGTTGGGGCTGCTTGACGGAGGGGAAGGACCGGAACTTGTGAAGGCTGCCGCATATGTTATCGGGTTTGGTATTCTGGGGACAAAGGAGTTCGGAGCACCCGGTATTTTTGTCCTCCCGTTATTTCCCTCTTCTATCCGAGCTGACCGGTTGTGTAGGAACTGCCGGGTGGAAATTCTTTGCAGAGCCGATGCTTCACCACATTAAACCCCCTCCGGGGGCTTCAAAGGACTCGGTCGTTGACGCCGACGGTGTCATAAATCTCAGCCGAGGTCAGATTGTAGTTTCGCCTGAGAACCTAGTGACGGCACTCCGCCGGTTACAGTCTCTAGTCGTTGCGCACCCGAACCCTGGGCTGTGCAAGCGGCTTCTGACGCCCCTTCTGCTCCCTCTTTGGGCTCTTGCATCCTGGCCGGACGCCAAAGAGACGGCCTGCGAACCCGCGCTGTCACTCATGAAGATTTTTCTCCAAATAACGGCTTCCCCAAATCTTGTTGCGACCCTCATTCGAAACCTTGGCTATCTTGGCGGGTATGACAAGCAGAACCCAGAGTGGGTTTACGACGGCGTCAACGGCGGCCAAATAGCCATCGTGGATTTGAGGCGTGCCCTACGGGCTTCTGCCCCCCCGATCATCCCCCAAGGCATTGACCAAAAGATATCAAAGCTTTTCGAGGTCATTACCCTGACATACTCAGATGGTGATCTCTCGACTATATTCCTTCAACTTCTCAAAAAATGGTTGAAGTCGACTGCGGATAGTAAGGGGTTGGGCATCAAGATAGAGCAGGCAGACGAGGAGGATGCGGTCACTCAGCTGACCGAGATGAAAACTCTCCGGGCCATGATGGAGAAGTTTCCCGAGAAGCTTGCGGCGCAGCCGAAACACATTCTTGACCTTGCCGCTCAGCTTCTGGCGGCCCCAGGAGAAGCCTTGGATGGTAATGATGAGGTTACTGGTGTGACACTTAGTCTTCTCAACATGGTCATCACTGCCCCAGGTTTTCAGAAGTCGCACGTCGACCCGGAGACCTTACGACTCATAGAGTCCTCTCTCGACACACTATCCAGATCATCGACAGATGCCTCTCCTACAGCTACGAACCTCCGTCTTCTACTCCTCTACCGAGACGAGATCGACCCGGACGCTCCCACCACCACAGCACCTACGGACCGGCAAGTTGAGGACCGCAAGGCTTATAATCTTGCCGTCTCCTACATCACGGCAGCAGACTCCCCTCCGCCTGTTAGATCTGAAGGCCTGAATCTCATTTCCAAACTCGTTGCGGCTCGTTCCCCGGCTCTCGACATTCCTGGTATCCTAGTCCTCCTCGCCACCCTCATCGCTGACTCCGACGAATACATCTACCTACGCATCATCAAGCTCTACACCCTCCTCTGCAACGGTCACCCACGATCTGTGCTGCGCGACCTGACGGACCACTTCGTCGACGCCAAGGAAAAGCATGCCGTCGACACCCGCTTACGGTTTGGTGAGGCCATACTACAGGTCATCCAACGTATGGGTGAGACATTCACGGGAGGCCTAGCTGAAGAGACGGGCCACGGACTTCTATCGGTTGCGGGGAGACGGGGACATCGGCCAAAAACAGAGGCGCGACAGGCACGCGACACGAAGACGCAAGAGAGGAAAGAGAAGGAAGCCGAAGAGGCCTGGGGCGGCGAGATGCCCGACATGAGCGATACCATGACAGCCGAAGAGAAGCTGCGCAACGAAGTACTGGAGCAGATTGTACAGGGCTGGGAGAGTCAGCGAGGGATGGAGGACGTGCGGGTCCGAACGTCGGCGTTGTCGGTGTTGGGCGCAGCTGTTGAGGTGAACGTCGCCGGACTCGGACAACAGGTCGTTACAGCGGCGGTCGATTTGTCGGTTGCGGTACTGCAGCTGGAGCGCGAAGTGGAAAAGGGGATTCTCCGACGGGCTGCGGCGGCTTTTGTGTTAAGTTTTCTCAATGCACTGCAGAAGGCGGATGAGAGCGGACAGGGTTTGGGCTTTGGGTTTGGGCCGCGGGCGCAGGAGGATGTGTTGCGCACGCTGAGGTATGTCGTGGATACTGATGAGGACGGGTTGGTTGTGGAACATGCGAGAGAGGCGGTGGCTGGTCTGGAGGAGTGGCAAGCTATAAAGCTTCTGCCTATTGGGAGAAACCAGCAGCTGGTGTTTGGCGGTGGGTTGACAAGGTTGGCTGGGTTGGATATTAACCCAGAGAGGTCTGCTGCTGCTACCTCCGCCGCCGAGAATCCGACCAGGGTAAGGATTGAGGAAATTGAGTAACGTTCAAATGGTGATTAAATCAATAGACAAATGGTTTCGTCCCAAAACCACGAATAATCCTGCATCGATGAATCGCCGTATGGGGGCTCAACGTAAGTTGACAGAGGGATTCTCGTTCTTGATTATGGTCGTGTTATTACCTTTCATGCGTAGTAATCAAGATTTTGCCCAAGGAGATTAGACAAAACTCATAACCCGGGCTTTGAGGGCAGCCGCGCTTGCGTGGGATATCCCGAGTAGGACGGAGCGGTTCTGTTAAGCGTTGTCAAGTTCATTCTAGGGTTAGGGTTGTATGTTATCCTGGCAGCCCGTGACAGCGCATAAAATGTGTGTGAGTGCCATTCCCGACGCGTCAACCCCACCACGGATCTCACACTTCATCACTCCACGGCAAATCGGTGTGATATCGGTCGGGGCTTTGACAATGGCCCCGCGGCAGGAGATTCTCGATTCGGAGGACGACGACAGCGACTTCAGCAGCGCCCCTGAAACGGGAGACACCAGTGTCGAGACACTCGACGCGGGTGTGTCCCGCATGCTTGAGCCAGAGGAAAGTCATGACGAGAGCCACGAAATCATCGCGGGAACACACATTGCCGCCACCGGTTCGACAGATCCGGCATTTTTCCAGCGCGTTTATGACCGACACCAGGCCATTGGCAACACGCAGGATGTGATCCCCGACACAGCACCACCAGGCCCGCCCGCGTCCAACTGGACTACCGTATCATCGGCACCGACCCCTGGGCAGCGACAGCCGGTAATGGACCCTTCGTCAATTACTCCAGTGACTGATCCGGTGGCCCCCGGCCGCCGGGCCCGCCGGGCAGCGGCAGATATCTCCCCAGCAAATTTCATCGACCTAACGGAGATCTCCTCTCCCAGGGAAGAGACCGCGAGCCGGGGGGTTGGTCTCAGCGATGTGTGGGATATGCCGCCGCCGCCGCCATCCACCACATCGCAGCGGACAACAGCTAGGACGTACGGAAAGAAGCGGAAGGCTGCGCTTCTTAGTCTTGAACAGGGCGACGACGGGCTGCTGGGAAACAGCCCGACAATGATGCCAAGTACCCTGCTGCCGGATACCCAAGACCCGTACGCCTTTCCCGAAGCAACCCCGCCAACGAGGAGATCCCAACGAGAAGCGCCTCACAGCTCAGACCAACGTTCGCCACAGCTCCCACCACATCTGCCACCGCCGGACTCTAGCCCAGTGATGCTCGTACCGACGGGGTTGGAGGGAGCGGCGGAGTACTCACCCAACCGGCCAACGCGCAGCAGTGCGCGGAAGAAGAAACGGACCAGTTTTTTCGGTGATCCTGAGCCGGGCCATGACGATCCTGGGGATAGCAGCATGCCCGACACGGCGGTCCCATCCCTCTACATCACGCAGAGCGCACTCACAGCAAGCCAGAGGCGAGAGTATCGGGTGGTTAGCCCGACGTCGTCTTTGGCGCCGACAGCGGCTATGGTCGAGGGGGCGGAGAGCTCCTCGGTGGCGGACCAGTCGTTTGGGTTTAGGAATGACAAATCTGGCCCGGGCGAGATGGACACGATGTTCAAATCGAGCGGGGCCACGACGATTGCGTACCCGACACCTAGCCGAGTTACGTCGTCCAGGAGGTTGGCTGATGTGGCGGAGGAAGAAGTGGCGACGGAAGGAGTAGGGGAGAGTGGCTACCAGGTTTGTTTCCCTGGGTATAACCTTGCCTTGCTTGCCTTAGCTAGGAGTGATGGATTCGCTAACCACAATTCCACCTCACAGTCCTCACCTGACGTTCTCACCGAAATGGGAACTGCGGCTAGTTCGAGGTCGAAGAGGAGCAGAGCAAAACCTAGTTCGTCCGTGGGCATTCCTTCCTCTAAACTCGACCCGCCAACGTCCACGAGGAGGATGAGACAAAGGAGGGTCACTCGGGAAGCCGAGGATGAATCTTTTGAAGCGGACCCGTTGGGAAGCACGCAAGAGAATACAGCCCCTCAGCAACAGAAAGAGGCACCACAAGAGGGCAATATCATGGGAGTGCATGAAGATGCCCATGATGAGACGCCAATCCGTAACACGGAGCCAGCAGACGCGGAACCGATTGAGCCTCCGGAGGAAACCGCAAAACCTGCCGCAAAAGGCAAGAAGGGGCGAAAGAAGAAAGGCTCAAAGGCCCAACAGGCTCCTCCCCCTGAGCTCGATGAACCCGTTCCTACCAAGTCGGAGCCCGTGAAAGACACCCAGCCACCTGTTAAGGGCAAACAGGGTCGTCAAAACAAAACCAAACCCAAAGTCAAGTCCACGGCAGAAGTGCCCCCCAGCGACGAGTCGGACGCGGAGGCGGAGGCAGAGGTCGACATACCTGACACCGCGCCACAGATCCTATCCGAAGGGGACACCAACCGCCCACCTAGCCCCACAACAACAGCCAGGGGGGATACTAGCGACGCGCCCGGGGAGAGCAAAGAGAATAAGGCCCCTCCAACGAAGGACGTGGAAACGCCCAAGGACAAGCTGGCGGAGAAAGCGGAGAAAAGTACCGTCAAAGATGTCAAGCCGAGTGCGCAAAAAGTACGGTACCGTGTGGGGTTGAGCAAGCGGTCGCACATTGCGCCGCTGTTGAAGTGTCTGAAGAAGCAGACCTAGGTGTGTGTGTGTGTGTGTACATGGGGTGTGCCGTAAACGGCGTATAGAAGATCCGGGGGGGCGTCTGAAATGGCATGGCTGGGATGGAGGAGTCGGACTTTGCTTGCGAATACCCATTTGCTTTTTGGTAAGACGTTTGCTATTGTTTGAGAAGATGGCTTAAGTTGTGGTCTGTGTTACAGGTGGTCAGGACGACCCTTTAGCTGAAGGAGATATTGCGGGAGAAAATAAAGACACGAGTCGAATAGTGGAAGCAGAACTTTCACCCGCGAGGTCGCTAAATATTGCAGTTCTGATCACATTATGCATCAAGTATCAATCATCCGGTTCCGTCACGCCCAACCCGACCAGCACAATAGTGGCCACATCCATGACCGCCACCAACAACCACAACAACCACGCCACACCGGCCGTCAACCAGCTATTCTTCAAATCCACCACTCTTTCCCGGTCCCCAGTCCGCTGTCCTGCACCCCGCCCTTCCCCTGGCGCTGCCTCCTCATCCCCTTCTCCCGGACTCACAACCACACTCATACACCCCGTCCTCCCCGTATACCACACCAACGGAAACGTAATCGGCACCAACGCAATCGCCAACAAATAATTACACCCTATCAACGCCTTACTCAACCCTTCCCTCCCCACCCCCAACGCAATCGCCAACGCCGGGATAGCCGCTGCACACCGCGTGGCCAGCCGTCGCAAGAAGGGGGAAATCCGCAGGGAAAAAGCACCCTCCATGACGAGTTGGCCCGCCACGGTCGAGACGATGCCCGCCGCGGCGCCTGAAATGAGGAGCGAGACGGCGAAGAGCGTGCCTGCGGCGGGCGAGAGGGTTGTGCTGAAGAGGTCGTGGAGGGCGTAGAGGTCGTCGGGGATTTCCTCTGTCGTGTCTTCTCCTCCTCCTGATGGGGGCCGGTAGAAGGCGGCACCGGCGATGATGACGAGGGCCGCGTTGACGAACACGGCGACGGTGAAGAGGGTTACGCAGAGCTCAGCGATGGAGTACCGGAGGCAGTGGCGGATGGCGCGGAGGGAGGGGTGGTAGGATGAGGTGGTGGAAGAGGTGGTGGTGGTGGTGGTGGTGGAGGAAAGAGTCGAGGTAGAGTCCTTCGCGTCAAAGTCGTGCAGGCGCGCGCGGGAGAGCGCGGTACCGACATACAGAGCATGCGGCATCAGGGTGCCGCCGAGGATAGCGCACATCTCGTACAAACCGGTGTCGACAAAGACCTCGCGCGAGGGGACAAACCCGCGAAAGACGGGTCCGGCCTCTGACGGCGGTGGTGACACCATGGCCAGCAGCACACACAGCGATATAAAGACGGCCGCGACCAGGAGGCCGACGAGGGCCTCGAAGACGCGTACGCGCCGCAGCTCGCCGGCCGGGTTGTACACCAGCAGGATCAGCAGGACGTCGGCGACGGAGAGCACGCAAGCGGCGGGTAGGGGTAAGGATGGGATTAGGATGTTGAGGGCGATGGCCTGGCCGATGACTTGGCCGAGGTCGGTGGCAATGATGCTGGCCTCGGCGATGGCGTAGAGGGCTAGCTCGAGCCAGCGCGGGAGGTATTGGTGGTTGAGCTGGGCCAGGTCCTTGCCGGTGACGGTGCCGAGTTTGATACAGAGCGACTTGGCTTGTTAGCCCCTTTTATGACCCTTGGTTGTTCTTATGATAACTACTATAGCTCTAGACTCCACACAACTAATAAACTAATAACTAGGTACCCACCTGGATATAAATGGCAATCACATTCGATACCAGCACCATGAAGAGTAACTTGTATTGAAACGAGCCGCCGGACGCAATGGCAGTTTGGTAGTTGTCCGGGTCGACATATGCCACGCTGACGATGGCGCCCGGGCCGAGGAACTTGAAAAATGTCCAGATCTTGGACCACACTGAGTCTCTGTCCGAGTCCGCCGGCGGTGGTGGGGGTGTGCGCCGCTGGGTCAGAGACGCATGAACGCCGGCCTGTGGCCCCAGTCCGATCCAGTATTTGAGGTATCTCGGCCATTGTCGTCCTCGTCGTAGGCGGGCCGGTTCCGTCTGTGCGGTATACGAGGACACGGCTTGGATAGATTCTTTCTTTTCTGGATCTGGATCTGGATCTGGGGGCTGGGTTGCCAGCGGCCGAGGTACAGGCTGGACGTTGTCTTCCATGGTATAGTGCAGGGTGGACTGGCAATGGCTAGTGAGGAACCATGAAGACACTGGGAGAATAATAATATAAAACAAGAGAGACAGACAGAGTTACAGAAAGATCCGAGACCCGGTGGTCAAAAGTCAACCGCATCCCGGGTGCGGGGACGTCCGGAAGGACATGGGCTGGGAACTTGGTGCAGTGCTGCAGTCGGAATCCTTTGTCATCTGTCTGGGCCGGACCGGCATTAAAATGTAACCTCCTCGCGGGGACGGAAGTTGAATGACTGTTGCACCAAAGGAACCAAAAGGGTAGCCAAAGCAACCCAAGAAACAGGGGTAGTTTGCTCGTGTCGATGTGTTGACACTGCTGCACTACTAATACTAAACATACTTAATAGGAAAAACTTCATCTCGGACACACTTATAGGGACGAGAAAAGTTATAGATTGGGTCACTCGAACCAAGCTCAGGCTAAATCACCAATCACCAAAGAACGAGAGGCTTGGATATATCCTTGTGTAAGTGGAGGTCGTGTCGACCCCAGCGACTTTCTCCTTTAACTTGGGGTTCACCTCGAGGAACACGAGAAAAGAGGGAAAACCGAAAAGGAAGGGGGTGTATAGGTTTCTGGTCCTGCCGTCTCTTGCTAACCTTCCGCCCCGTGCCTTCCCTCTATCTCCGTCCATGAGATGCTTGTAGTTCAGTAAGTCAGCGTCAGCAGGTGGAAACCAAGAGGAAGGTGCGGATGTCAAACATCTCGGTTGATGCGACTTTGATCTCACAGCGGGACGGGATAGGAGGAGAAATCCCCCGCTGTGACCGGACCGGGTGGATACCGGGAGTGTGGAAACCCCCCGGGCTTTCCGGCGTCGAGCTTGCGTACGCCTGCGGTCCGTCTCTCGGAGAGCTTTGTGGGAATTACAGTTCCATGCTCTCAAAAGCAAAACTATTTAATCAATTGATCTGCAATAAAGACCTGGCCCGGGGGTTCCTGCTCTGCATTTTATTCCATTTTTCTTTTTACTTTGCAGCGTTTGCTAAAGATTCTAAAGGACTGTCAAGTTAGTGGGCGGCTTCTGCAGTACTTCGTACAGGGATACACTACGTCCACTGCAGTGTGCCCTGCGAGACCCTGCGTCAACACTATGAGGGGTAAAGATGTACTTTTCCCCAACTGATCAAATCCCTCCAATGCCATCTTCACCTTCAACTTTTGATCAGTGTCCCAAGAACGGATGAGCCGGCGACGTTGTTAACAATGCCACCTTGAATTCACAAGTAAAGATGGTTGACACCGACGACGTGCTCTTCAACATCTCGGCCTTCATCGCCGGCCTGTTTCTCCTCGAGTATGGCGCCGACAAGTTCGTCGACCACACGGCGATTGTCGCCAAGCGGCTCCATGTGTCACCCACACTGATCGGATTGTTGACCTGCGGTGCCGAGTGGGAGGAGGTGAGCTGACTGGATCCCAGGAAGCATGGCGGTATTTTACTGGCTAACTCTCAAAATCTCCAGCTCGTTGTCGTCGCGGTCGCCGTTGGCCGGGGCGACTCGAATCTCGCCCTCGGGAATATCCTAGGCTCATCGGTGGCCAACATCCTGTCGTCCTTCTCGCTCGGCCTCCTGTTCATGCGGCAAACCGATTTCGACCGCAGCTCCAAAATCTACACCGCGGTGCTCCTAGCTGCCACCTCGCTGTTCCTCATCCTCCTCGCCACCGCCGAACTCATCCCGACGTGGATCTCCGGGTCCTTGCTGATCGTGTTGTTTGTCGTTTACGTGGGCTCCGTGGCCTCGCTCATTTACCGGGGCACGCTCACTGCACCGGAGGCCGACTCGGATAGTGACAGTGACAGCGATAGCGAGGACGGAAGCGCGTCCGAGAGCAGCGACAGTGACGCTGAAAGCGAGAACAGCAACGACAGCAGCAAGAAAAACAGCCATAAAAACACTTCCCCCGGCGATTCCGACTCCGACTCCGACTCCGACTCTGACTCCGAGTCCGAGTCCGACCTCGAACCTAACCCGTCCTCCTCCTCCTCCTCCTCCGACCACCAGCTCACCCTCCTGCGCTCATCCAAGTCGAAGGCCAAAAAGACTAAACCCAAGCCCAAGCCCAAACCAAAGCGCAAGCCCCCAAAGCCCCTCCGTCACCACATCACTCAACTCCTCCTCGGCCTCATCGCCTTACTCCTATCCGGCTACGTCCTCGCGCACAGCGCCTCCACCCTCGGGAACGCCCTCGGGCTCTCCTCCACTGCCGTCGGCGCAACCTTGCTCTCGATCGCGACCACGCTCCCCGAGAAACTGATTGCCGTCTTGGGCGGACTCCGGCACCAGCCGGGGATTGTGGTGGCTAATGCGGCTGGGTCAAATATCTTCCTGGTCACGCTCTGTGCGGGGGTCTTGTTTTTGGGAGGAGGTAATGAGGGAGGGGGCTTAGGAAAGGCAGGGGAAGGGTTTGGGCTTTTTGAAGTAGCGGCTGTTTGGGGCGCTGCGGCGGCTATGATGGTGGTGATACTGGTTGGTGGAAAGCGGTGGATGGGAGTGGTGATGTTGGCTGCGTATGTGGTGTTTTTGGTAGGGGAGGTGGTGATGGGGAGGAGCGTGGGTGATGATTAGGGGGGTTGTGAGGGTTAGGGTGTATCGTGACAATTTATGGACAGTGGATACAGCCGCAATCACATGCAATATTCGAGCACCTATCTTTCGATGCTTTTCCGGAGGAACCTCTACAACTTTAGGCAAAGGAAGAGTAACCATACCAGCTATCTATATCCATATCAACATCCAGCTATTTGACTCTTGAGCAGTCTCCTGCAGGTAAACTTAATTACCTAACGGCAATGAGTTTGTTCACTTGTGAAGGTCCCCGTTCCTGCACATCAATGCGAGCCCCCAAACTGCGCTCAATTGCATGCATGGCCCCACCTCGGGCCGTTGCCCGACGGGCAAGGCAGCGAATAAAAACAGGGCTGTCGCCCACACTGTTAGCGGCAGGCATCCGCTGTCAGCGCCGCGGCGCACCACGTCATCAGGGCATCTGCAGCCCAAGCACAGTGAAGCTGGGGTGGAGGGTGTTCTGGGCGCCTTCCCCAACAACCCCCGGATTCTTTTCTTCCTCGACAATGTCTCACGATCATGCCGACTAGACGTGATAACGTCTCACTTTGACGCGTCCTACTTACCCCAAACGCTCCGATAACACTTTCTACTTGAGAACCCTTATGTCTTGGCCATAGCCTGACAGATCCCAGGCGGTGAATCTGCCTGCCTTTGTCTGCTCCTCGCTACCTGTTCAAGTGCTCGGTTCGCTTCGCAGGACTGACCGACCCAACTGTGCGTCCACGCTCACTCAAAGCGTCTAGTTAACTCGACGCGGCTAACCATCGTTTCTCCCACCAGACCGCCCACGATGACAGCCCCAAACCCAACCCCAATATCCACCCACACCCACACCCTCACGCCGCCCTGCCGTCTCGCCCCCATCGCTTCCCCCACTCCGACCCCTGGCCTCGAAGACATCCCCCCTCTCCACGCCCAATTCTTCTACGCCTCCTCGATCCCCATCGACGACCCCCTCTCCGCCTCAACCCTCGCGAGCACCACCACAACCACCAATTCCCCCGCCTCTTCAACCTCAAACCCCGCGGCCGCCTCCTCTTCCTCAGACCCGAATAAACGCCCGCTCCGGCCGTTCTCGCCCGGCGACAATGCCGCGCTGGAACGCGCCTGGCTGCGTCTGGCATCCGACCGGGACCGGCGGAGTCATGCGCTCTCGCGGGCGACAGACCGGAGTCTGAGTCCTGGGTTGTCGAGGGAGAATGCGGAGAAGTTGGCTGGGTTGGTGAATGCGTTGGCGACGAAACACTGGGAGAAACATGATCGCGAGGGGGCCGTGCCCGGGTCTGGGTCTGGGTTTGGGTTTGGGGGTGGTGAGGATGGTATTGGAGGGGATGGTATTGGGGATGGGCGGAGGTGTGGTGGTGGGTTAGGAGGGCTGGCGCCGGGGATTGATGGGATACCGGTGTGTTGTGCCGAGTTGGGGATCGATGCGTCGGCGGAGTTGAGGAAGGAGTTTTGTGCTGTCACGAGGAGAAGGCAGCAGACGCTCGATCATGACAGGGTGTTGGAGGCGGTCATGGCGCAGTTGGTTAGGTTGAGGGTGGAAGCTGAGGGTGGTGTTCGTGACAACAACTCGCCGGTCGAGCCGGGGTTCCCGATGAGCGCGAGCCCGAAAGTACAGGTCGGGAGTCTTGGCGCGAGGTCGCCGACACCACCTGTTGATAGTGCGCCGCTCGCGTCAAGTCTCTCCGGGGGTACCTTTATCCCGCCTCGGCCGCCGGTGGTGGACGACGGGATTTCGGGGAAGCCGTTTGTGCGTGTCGAGGCCACGCCGCGGTCGAATCGGTCGTCAGGTGTCGGCACCCCGGATGACAAGGGGGTGATCCGGAATCTGCTGCGCGGAAGGGCCAGAACTGATAGTCGGGCATCCGCCCGGGGACGTCCCACGACGGAACGACTGGAAGATACGGTTGAGATCCCCGTTGGAATATCAAGGTTGCACATGGTCTCGCTCCCAGTGCTGCAGATGAAACCGATTTACTGGTCACCTGTCAACGACATTGCCACGGTATTGCGGGCGACATGGTTTTACAGGTGAGATTGTCTCTGTCTTTTCTCAAACAAACAACTCTTTACCCGTACCCATAGGCCCTTTACTAACACCGTTACAGAGACACCATGGCGCCTGTGGAGCCCGTCATTGCGAACCAGCTAGAGTCTGGCTACCGCGAGCTGCGACCGTGGACCGAGACATGGCGCGATGAGCTCAGGTCAGCACTAGATGTTGGCCCGCTGGGTGAGGAAAAAGTCTCCCACCGTCTGTGGCCCGAAGTGCCCGAGAAACGAAACAAGCGCAAGGACGGAGTACCTCCAGAGCCACCCATCTCTTCCGATCCCTTTTGCGCGGCCAGGTGTTTCCGCGGCGAGGCCGCTACGGAGGGATCACTCGAACCTGTCCACGCAGAGGAAAACACCGCATTAACAGCCCCTGAGTCGAGGTTATATGCAAATTACCAGGTCATCTACAAGGACGATTCGAGCGCCTTTCTGTTGAAGCCGAGCCAGCGTCCCTCAGCGTACTACGGCCGCAAACCCGTGGCCAAGATCATGAAGGGCATGAACGTCGGTGTCCCCATCGTGCGTGGGTTCGACCATGCTGCCTGGGAGCGGATTCACGATAAGGGTGCAGCCGCTCGTGCCAAACAAGGCCTTGCAGCGAGTGTCACACCGGACGCCGAGCTGCGTCAAACTGCCGAGCAGGGTGGTTGTCCGGCGTGTCGGGTCGACAAGGACCGGGGCCAGGTCACGGATCTGGTCCTCATGGCTCACGGTATCGGCCAGAAACTGTCGGAAAGGGTGGAGAGCTTCCACTTCACGCACGCGGTCAACGGCTTCCGCAGGGCTATCAATATCGAGCTGGAATCACCCACTGTCCGATCCGTTCTTCGGCCTGGCCAAAATGGCATCATGATCCTGCCGGTTAACTGGCGCCACCTCTTGGACTTTGACGACGCCAGCGCTGGCAAGGAAGGTGGCGACAAGACAGGTTACGCTCCCGACGGCTTTACCCTAAAAGACATTGAGCCGCCCACTATCCCGGCCGTTCGCAGCATGATCTCGGACGTCATGTTCGACATCCCTTACTACATGTCTCACCTCAAGCCCAAGATGATCGCCGCCCTCGTCGGCGAAGCCAACCGCATCTACCGTCTTTGGTGCGCCAACAACCCCGGCTTTTCCGAGAAAGGCCGTGTCCACCTCATCGCCCACTCGCTCGGCAGCGCCATGGCCATCGAGGTTCTCTCCAAACAACCCACCCGCGTGCCCCGCCCGCTTGATCTCTCCCCGTCGTCCCCGCCCGATACCCGCTTCTTCGAGTTCGACACCACCAACCTTTTCCTGCTCGGCAGCCCGGCCGGGTTCTTCCTCCTCCTCGACCGCGGCCGTCTGCTCCCGCGCCGGGGGCGTCTCAAGCCGGGCGCCGAGGCCGCCGATACCGTGGCCAAGGAGGTGGTCAGCGATGTCGGCGTCTTCGGCTGCATCGCCGTCGACAACATCTACAACATCCTCGCCAAGGAAGACCCCATCGCCTACCTCCTCAATGGCGCCATCGACCCAGTCTACGCGGCCAACCTCAAGACCGCCTACGTCCCCACCATCAGCACCTCCTTTTTCAAATCCGTCGGCAACGCCATGCGCAGTCTAGCCGGCGTCGGCCCTGCTCCTGCTACCGCCTCTACATCCGCCCACAACCAGCACCAATCATCCGCCACTGCGACCGCCGATGCCCTCCTATCGTCGGCGCAAAAGCCCCCGCACATCTCCCGGCTCCCCTCGCAACTCGAACTCGAAGTGCACGACTTCTCGCGCGAAGAGATTGCCGAGAGGAAAGCCTACTTGCTAAATGACAACGGCCAAATCGACTTTTACCTGCGATCGGGCGGCGGGCCGCTCGAGATCCAGTACCTAAATATGTTGAGTGCGCATACGAGTTACTGGACGAATCAGGATCTGATCCGGTTGTTGTGTTTGGAGATTGGGCGCGTGCCCGGCCGGGCTCATGCGTTACGGTCGATGAGGCCGGTTAAGGTGAAGGGGAGGTTTGTGGGGTAGTTGGGAGAGCGAGAAAGAGAGAGAGAGGGAGAGAAGGGGGGGATGTGGTATTTGGTTATTTGGTGTTGAATTTTAGATGAGCATGGCGTTGGAATGGAAGGGGAGGTTACTGATATTGGCCGTTTGAGGCCCCAGAGTTATTAATTAGATACCCTTGAATAGAATCCGGTTAATCGTCACCGAGTAATTACCACTTGTTCTATCTTTTATTCACCATCCTCGTCCGTTTGGGGGGATATCAGGAGTAAATCAACGTGCAGAACTACCTAGTTAAGTCCCGCAACGCAAAACGCCCCCTCTCAACCAAAACTCAAGTTTACCGATCCAATGCCATCAACTCGGCCTCATCATCCTCATCCATCTCATAATCACTCTCCTCGTTCCCATTTCTCTGCGCAGCGGCGCGCTCCTGCTGCTGCGTCTGCTCCAACGCCTGCAACTCCAACGCCTTGATCCGATCCTCATCCATCTTCTCCTGATGCTTCCGCAGATCCGCCATGCTCCACGTGCTGATCCCCTCCTGGTCGCGCGCACGGAATGGCTGGGCCATGGTCCGCAAGAACCGCCGCGCGCTGCTGACCGCCATATCGGTACTGAGGTTAACGTCGGCGTCAAGCAGGGCCTGGTTGATCCACTTGGGCAGCTGCGGCCGCTTGCGCTGGAAACGCCGGTCGGCGAGCACCATCAGGCCGTAGTCGTCCTTGCCACGCAACACGCGGCCCAGACACTGCGCAGCGTGGCGCATGGCATCGAAGGAGAGGAAGTCGTTCTCGCGGATCCGGTAGGTCTCGCGTAGGAATTCGAGGCGCGCCTTGAGGATACGGGATTCGGTGTACTGGAAGGGGACGCCGATGCAGAGCACTGTGCGACCGTACTGATGGTCGAAGTCGATGCCCTCGGACACCTTGCCACGGGCGACGCAGAGGAGCACGGCGCCGCGGCCGTTGCAGCAGGCCGTGCGGTAGGTCTCGAGGGCGAGCGAGGTCTCCTGCGCGTCGGGCGTCTCGACGAGGATGAGCTTGTATTTCCAGACCTCGTCGAGGATGCCCATTCCTTGCCACATGCTGATGATGGACTCCATGTAGAGGTAGGACGGGAAGAACACGACCAGGCCGTCGGGCGTGATCTTGGCGAACTCGGTGAGGAGGCTGCCGTAGTTGCGCACCACGCTTGGCTCGTTGCGAACCTGGAAGCTGGTCGAGATGGACGCCTGGTCGCTGCCGCGGGTCACAATCATCGGGAGGAAAGACCGCCGCGCGAGCGTCATGCTGTAGGACTCCTGCACAACCGTCGGGAAGTCGAGCATCTTGGGGTACATCTCTAGCGGAGACATGGTACCAGACGTGATGACGACCGAGCTGAAGCGGTCAAACACGGGTTTGATAGCGATGGCCGCGTCCAAACAGGTGAAATGCAGCACGGGGTTCGGCACTTCAGCCGTGTCGGACTCGAACGGCTCGAGTATCAGAAGAAAGCCCTTCTCGTAGGTCGCCACCAGGGTCGCAAACGTAGCGACTTCTTGCAGAGGTTGGTAGTCCTCGATGTTGGTGAGCTCAAGCGTCCGCACCAGCGACGTCAGTCGCTCAGCGCAGAAGCGAAGCGGTTTTTTCTCGATGAAGGTATGCTCTTTGAGATGGGCGAGGAAGGACGGGGGGGTTTCCGAGATCACCTGGCGCACTTTCATCCGCGTCTAGGCCCGCCATGTCAGTATGAGGCAACAAAACCCAAGAGTACGTACGAGCCACTGACCTTCAGATACTCGATGAACCGTTTGAGAAAGGCAACGAAATGCTCAGCCCTCCTGATGTTACCAGGGACCGCCTCTTTGAGCAAGTCTTCTGGGAGGGCTATTCTAACAGTTAGCAAAACCAACAATCGCATTGCGCTTCAACGATGGGAACATACTCGGATTTGCCATAAAGGAGTCCTCCTGGCGGCCATCATCAGCTCCCCTGAGACCCTCAACAAGCTTCTCGTACTCGTCCTGCAGCTTCTGCTGGTCCGAGTCTCTCATCTCATTGATCTTGTTCTCCAGGTTATGAGCACCCCTCGTGGCTTTCCGTAGCGAGTCGTCTGTTATATCTGTGCTTAAAGACTCGATGCACACATTGTCGATGTTATGCGCTTCGTCGAAGACCACGATGCAGTCTTTGGACAGGTCCTTGGAAACACGCTCGGCAATCTTGGGGTCCAAGAGGTAGTGGTAGGAGTAGATAATGACATTGCAGTATTGCATCTAGAGGAGTGTTAGCATCTTGTAGGAGAAGAAACGTGCTGCTGAAAGGAGACTGACCATCCGCCGGGCAGTGAAATAGGGGCACTGTTTGTGTTGCTCCCCATACCGCAAAAGGCCATCTAACGTCCAGACGCCATTGGGAATCAAGTTATGAGGCTCGAGGAGATCAAGGTTCTAAAGCTATTGTCAGCGCACCACCAGCCATAGTCAGTCAAGAGCACCCACGTCGTGGTATACGCAGACTTCCACGTCCTCCCCCTTCTCCTTCTTCTCCTTGACAAACCCGGCCGTCAGACTCCTGCAGCGAGCATCAACGACGTTCCCGCTCTTCTCCCGTTTTACGGATGGGTGGAGACAGAGGTTCTTTCGACTGGTCAGACCAAGACCCCGGAACTCTTCTTCATGCCCCAACCGTTCCGTGCGGAACTTCATCAAGGACTTCAGTTCTGCCAGTGCCTTTTCGATCTCAGACATTGTTCCTGATGTAACTTGTCAGCGTTGCGCTCATATAATGTTCGACTATTGTTGGGCCACGGACGAGAGCAGTAAATAAGCTTGCGGTGTGACGGATAGTACTGCTGGTAGGCCACGATGAGAGACAGCAGAGTGACGGTCTTCCCTGTGCCCGAGGGCATTTCCAGCACGCAGTTGCCCCCGGCATCGAGCGTTTCTGTATATCGCTATCAGTATCTCAGTGCACAGTGGACCCAGCAAGATGCTCACTTTTCAAATCCACCATGTAGCTAAGGCGGTGGAGGTTTAAGGTTAGCCATCATCTACAGGAGCATCTTCGGGCTCAAACGTACGCATATTGCTCTAGGAAAGTATTAGCGATCGGGGGCCCGTATTATTTACCAGAGCTAGTGATACTTGCCTGGGTATATACGCGGATATGGGAAAAGCACGGGCAAGTCGCTGTTGTCATCGGGTCAGCCAAGGACATGTGGGTTTCGATGCTAGGTCGACATACTCAATGTTGAACTCCATTGTGGGCGTCTATTTGAGGGGCGATCATCTAGTTTCTAGAACAGGATTCTCATCACCAGACCCAGTCGACTCGTGCAGACTACCTTGAGAGCTTGTCGCCGTCGTCGCTCCTTGTCAAAGCTTGCCCTCACCCTTTCTCTCCCCACTCCGGGCCGCGCGACCCCAAGGCGCGTTCCTGTGTTGCAATATTTTGTGCCTTTCTAACCCAGCTTCGGTTTTAGAGAGCTTTTATTGATGCCGCTTTGATGAATTGTAGATCGAGAGTCGCCGACTTGATGGTTTAGAGGTTAAAGGTCACGTGGGAGGTGCTGCCTGGCGACATTTCGGAAAGGTAGGTTGAAAGTGGGTCAAGTTTTGGCAGCTGCCCGACGGCCACCAGTCACACCGAGGTGAGCTGCCCGAGCCAACCCCCCAGCGCCCGCAGTGCCCAAAGCGCCCAATCAACCCCCACCAGTCGCCGAAATTCCAGCGCAACTTTGTTGCCGAACCAAAAACCATCAGTCGACGGCTCAACCAAACTCCCCCCAACTACCTAGGTAGGGCGTTCGCATCCCGCGGGGAGTTTAATTCTTCCCCCCCTCCTTCGCCTAGAGAGTACCACAGTGTCACCGCGTCCAGCATGATTCGGCGATTGTTTAATTGCGACAGTATTGTGGTCGCCTATCACAGTTGCGTTCGGGCACGTCTTGTCGCAACACGGGGCCGACACGGCGTGGGCAACACGATACGGGGCTCTCGTGTGTCGGGCACTTAGGTTGTGGACAGCGCTGCCGTGCTGTCTTTCCCCCGAAGGACGTTCTGTGTTGCTCTGGAACCCCGCCGACGGCAATCCCGATGCGCGTCCCTCTTTCCGACACCCACTAGCACCCCACCATTGGAACCACGGGCACGATTCAAGCCGACGCTCCTGCTTCCCGCAACGCTGAAGACCATACTGCAACGCCGACAAGGCCCTGGATTCTTGTGTCGCCCTCGCTTCCGCCGACCGTAGAAGCTTTCTGGAAAGACGAAATGTTCCATGCATCCCACCCAGACTATTGCCCGCATCAAAAACACAGTGCAACCCTCACGACCATTCGAGTAGGTTTTCCCCACCCCCGCCGTTGCATCCGACCTAGGGACCAGCCAAGAACGTGGTCATTTCTTGCGCGGCCATCCATGATCGTAGAGAGGATAGGGGTCGGCAAGTCAGGTCGCAAGCTACCAGAACAGATGATGCTGTGGGTGGGAGCCGATGACGCGAGGCAACGGCCTTTCATCAATGGCTTCGCATTACCACCACGGCCATACCGATCTCTCCACCGCGCCGGTAACATCGTGCTATTGTGCGAACCTCGTGTCCCTGTCCCCTAACTCCCCACTAAGCGACTCCAAGAGACGTCCACTAAGTCGACCGTGACGACCTCATCGGCCAGCCCGGCCGGGTCTCTGTGCCTCGTCACGCCGCCAGCTCATTTCCGGACCCGGGTGGAAGGGTGGCAGATGCTTCCCCACGTGGGCGCCGCAAACGGTCTCCCGCCATGCCCGCCATGCCCGCGCGCCGGGCCCGTGGGTTGAGGCCCTCAGCGTCGCGCCCGTCCTCTCCGCTCGTTCCTGGCGGGGGAAGTGGTGAGGATGGGCGATATGTGCGGCTCTTCCCCCGCCATTCGTCGTCGGGAAGGACGTATGCGAAAAACACCGAATCCGCACCGACATAGAGACTACTCATCAACAACAGGTATCAAACCGATCGTCTGTGGCGGATTCCCCCATGTTCGTTTCAAATACGGCTGTTTTTAGCACACGTGTATCTCACCAACCCCCCTCCCCACATCAGCGAACAATCGAGATGTGTGAGAGCGTGTGTGTATCCCCTTCCCTCCAGATCTCACACAACGGATTCTTCCTCAACCGGGTCTAGGATCGCACTTTGTTTCGAAACTTGCGGGGCCGGGCGTTCCTGGCGAGGGCTTCGCGGGAATCCTGATCCCACGCACATCCCGAAGCCCCTTCACCCTTCGCTCCGACTGGGCAGCGAGGCCGAGTCCACGAGAGACTCGATGTCCGCGCCGCAAGACTGCATATAAGTGTGTAACCTCCACCCACCACAAACCGGTTCAGAAAGATGAATGAGTGGATGTACCACATTCTCGTCCCGCAACAGCCCTTCGCAATCCGAGGAGGGTGGCGTCAGATTGAGAGTCTGACATGCCCGTCGGGGGTGTCCCTTCTCTCATCGAGTCTCACATCTCACATCTCACATCTCACTGGTCCAAGAGAGTGAGAGAAGCACGCCGACGGCACAGACGGCATGCACAGAAGGTTTCCAGAACGACTCGCCTTGCCCGTCCCCACGACAGGTGCGACTGGCTCGCGGGGAAGCAGGGGTGCGGCTGAGAAGAATCGAAACCCGAGAAAGGATACGCTATCTGGCTGGCCCGGTGATGCCGTTGTGGGCTGATTAGTGTAGTGTCGACGGGACTTGCCCTGACCTTGACCACACACCCAACCCCGATCACTCATCGGCACGTAATTCCTAGGGTCGTTGCTCGAGCGCCCAAAGAGGTAAAAGAACGAAAGCATGCCTTCAAGGCGACCAAGGGTAGCCCTCCACCTTACCTGTCTTGGCCACGATACTCCCCCATCGTGTCCAATGTCTCGTCACTCTTGGCCCAGATTTGGGAAAGATGAGTGGGAGATCGATAGTACGCGTGAGCACGAAGGGATCCATCCGAGTGCGACGCATTCACGGAGAGACCGATAGCTTAGAAGCGATGTTATTTCCCACGATATCAATATTGGTGGATGTGACAACGCGGGTCAGGGTTTCCCCTCTTTCGGTTTGAAAGTGGCATGAGCATTGAGCAGGCAGGGCCTTTCGCATCGAAGAGGAAGGATAACGGTGTTGCACGCGCTGACTCGTGATGGTTCCGCTTTCTTGGTGATGCCTGTCGCGGCAGCGGCCGGCGGCAGACCACGAGGACGCACACAGAACAGAGCATAGCGTACCATCGGGGCTGGCATGGCTTGGTTATCGGGAGGTTTATCGTTCTGCCTGCCTGCCCCTCAGCTCGAGCTCACAGCCACCCCGCACATCACACGAAGCATCGCAACCCTCCCATTCGCCAATTCCCAGAGGTTTTAGTGGGGGTGGCGGGATGGGGGGACAGCCACGAGCAGACTGGGGGCCGGAGAGAAAATGGGGGGCCAGAAAGGATGAGATCCGGATGGACGCGGGGCTTCGGAGACCAGAGCGGACCAGGAACAGGAACGGGGGGATGGGGGCTGCGCTTGTGGGCGGCTGTCGAGCCCATCAGCCACAGTCCCGTCAACCATAAATTCCAATCTGGGCAAGCTCCGTGCAGATTAGCCGCAGGCACCGAGTTAAATGGTGCGAGAGAGAAAGCACCCCATTTATCTCTGCAGGGGACCAAAGTTGGAGCGAAGAAAAAGAGGGGAACAGAAGTGGGTTCAAAAATCAAGACATTAAATTAAAATAAAAAGATTTTTTTTTTAAAAAAAAAAATAACGATAAAATCACACAAAGTGGGCAAAATCCACTCCCCTGGCAGCACCCCATCCAATTCCCACTGTAGTGTACTTCATGGCGATAACCCAAACTCAAAACTGCCCGGGGATAACTATCACCGAGAGATCTTCCAGGCTTCCCATCATCAATACTGACCCCTCCCCCCGACGGGCCCGAACGCTCGTCTTGTGCCGTAACCCCTTTGTCTAGCCCTGATATTAGCGGGTATGTATGTGTGTGGTGTTTCCAAATAGTTGGTGCCATCCGATTATGTTGGTTGGGAGGATTTGCGTGTAAAAAAAAGAAGGGCAAAAGAAAAATGATTAAATTTTGAACAAGCCACACCTCAACCCGTGCTGTGCCGTTACATACACGCCCCCACACACACTCTCTCCGGTTGTCAATGATTCCGACGATTCTCAGGTGCATGTATGCTCAGTGGATGGGTGTTGCCGGTGCTGCTAGCAGCCGAGCGCCCCAGGCAACCAGATTTTGGCAAGGTGGGCTGTGCTCGCTCACCCGCAGCGCAGCGCAGCACAAGTTGACTTGACTTGGCATCAAGAATAATCTGAAACGCTGCCGAAGTGCGGGGTGATACCACCAAAGAAGAACAGGAAAGGCTGTGGCAGAAAAGAGAATGGGTATTGTGTGCGTGTGGATGCTGATTTGCCGCTTGGTGTCCGGCCCCCCATGCAACTGACTTCGGCTTGCGGGCAAGGTGGTGATACCTACTAGATTACCTACATACACACTTACCCCATGTCCCGACCAACTTACAGAACCTTGGGTAACTTTCCCCATCCGGTATGCAGTTGGACGAAACCTGAAGCGGGATCAGGCTACTCGTCTGCTTCGTTGTGACAATGCAATCAATATCCGTGATGGCGAAAAGAAATCTATGCTCAAATGGATTCTGGAAAGGGAACAAAAATAGACGCATCACGCATCACGCATCACGCCCTGAGCTAGGCAACACGGGCGCACATCGTGTTGTGCCTTGGCTTTACTTGCCGTGTGGTGTCGTTAGTTCGTAAGTGAGGTAGTTGGTTGACTCAATGGAGGGATCTGTCCCACCTCTGATGCGTCTCTGCATCGGTAAACGGTCGTGTTTCGTTTCGTCTCTGCAGGAATTGACCCGGTGTTGGTCGTTAATGTTGTGTTCACGCATTTGTGTCGTCACACAGGTAGGGTTGCGGGGAAGGTTAAAAAAAGGAAGGCGAGGATAAAGGGTCCTATCGCCAACTCCTTCGGTCTGAAGCTGAGACTGAGAAGTTACCTAATAGGATAGAATTCATGGCGGCGGCGGCCTGCCCGAGGACCGTTGGTGATGCGTGGGGTGTCCGGATGGCCCAGAGGGCGATTTGGCTCGGCTTGGCCTCCTGTTGGCGGCTGACGCATCAACAAAAGTGTTGTTGTTGTCGTTGTCCACAAGGCTGCGGGCAGTTATTCATCAGCTTTCATTTCTGCGTGGATGTCTCACTCACTTACACCT